TCAACCGTGTAATGCCATTTACTTATAGCTGTTGTTTTGTTATTCAAGTGGTTCTGCACTAAATTCATTGCCAAGAATTTTTATACGCACTTACAGCAGGGATACCAAAAGTAGATAGTCCAGAAAGAGATTTAGACATAAAAAGACTGTGGCTTTGAGTCAGACACCTTGTATCAATGCTCTTTATAATTGGCTGTTTAAAGGTATGCTTTTCGAAAAATAATTTGAAAAATTTGTATTAGAACAATTACGTTATTATCATATAAAAAAGGTTTGAACTAGCAATGTTGAGTGTCGTTAACAAAGCAATAATTGTAGATAAGTGTCTATTCGAAGAATTAGACAACAACGTCCTATTGTATTCCAACCAGATAGGATGAGTATTAAAGTACGATAGGAAAAAATTAAGTTGGAGAGAGTCTTAACTTTTTGTCAAGGTTGTATTGCGTTCAAGATTGTTTCCTGAAACACTTTATGGAACAAAAAGTTTTCGAAACGAAAGTTTTCGGAAAGTTTTTCACTATTACGTGTAAAAAGTCAAGAAACATATTGAAGACCAAGGATAATCCTTGAGGGCTTGTGCGAGTTTTTCGCATCAAAGTATCTCCGAACAAATTGAGAGGAATTGAAAGAATTTGTTTAGATGCAGATCTTTCCGTCTTGCGTAAGGACTATGGAGTAACTGGTCGGCCGACGGGCAGTTCAAAACAGATACCACAACATCGTTTTCTAATGACATCGAAAATTCACTTTGTCTGAGCTTGTCAGCTTTACAGTAATCTATTCAGTGACGAAGATAGCAACTTCTAAATTTTGACTTATTATTTTTTTTAGCAATACAAAAAGTACAGACTACTGCGATAAACTATTTTTTTTTCTTTCAGTCTGCACTGGTAAGTTTATTTACTTCTCCAATCCTATTATTAGAAAGGATATCCACAGTCGAAATGACATCCTTCTCTCTAGCGCGAATGAACGTGAATTTGAAGACTCAGAGCGGATTTATAAATCATTACAGTTAAAAACAAAGTTTCTTTTTTCTTACATGACGCTCTGTGACAGCCTGTGTCGCCTGTATTTATTTTGAACTAGTACAGCGATAACCTTTCACAGATTAGGTCCTCTCTTTAGGGGACGGCATCTGTTGATTCGTCTATATTTAACGCCTTACGAACCTGTCAGACAAGTGATCTTATTTTTCTGTAATGTGACGGCTGTGCTGTTTCTTTATCGAGACTCGTTCAAATTTTTTTTTACTCTTGTTGATTAAAAAAGAGGCTTTTATTTTTGACTGTTGTTTTAAACTCAACTCATTTAAATGCAACGCCAAGCTTACTTATGCGTGATATTTAGCTTGAGTCGTTGAGGATAGGAATAAATTAGTTTTTGCGATTGTTTTCCCTCGTGATCGCGTGTCGACGCACGGTTAGGTTGCTGTCAGCATGAAATGGGTGATTTCTAACAAGGAAAAACTGTAATCTATCAGTTGGAAACATCGCATTTAAGGCATCGAGGGAACTCTCAAGGATAGACGATGTTTTGTGGGGTTATAATTCATCGACTGTCATTGGCTTTGTGTTGTTTGGCGCTGTTTCAAGTTACAGTATTTGCTTCAAACGGTAGGCTATGTAGTAGATAAATTCAATTTAACTGATAATACAATTCTCCCATTTGCGCATGCAAATTTATAATAATCCAACCTTAAACATTCATAACAACTAAACCGCCAGGGGTGGCGAAATTATGGAATAACATTTTCGAGTCATCAGTCACGAAATCGACGCTTGCTAATATTGAAATACTGTTCCTTTTTACACTGAAATTCCACCGAAGATTATCGTTTGGAATTCTTTTCTAAGACGTTTCCTACGATTTGAGTTAGTTTGTCTAGATTAAAGATGCGATTTTAAGCCCGCCGGCCCCATCAATGATTTAAAATACAGTTCTCATATAATAAGGGACCAACCGAAGCTTTATGGAACAATGAACACAAATTATAAATAACTCTTATACACCTCATTATCTTATATTCTAGCTAAATTGTGATTGTTAGTGAATTATTACCTATGGTGAATCTTCGAAGCTACCCAGTCCGTTTTCCAATCCGTAACTCTTGGATACATTTTACAGCTTTATCAATACCGATTTGAACAAACAGTTTTCATCGTTTGATCAGTTAGTAGTTCAGAAGTTGTTATTGTGATATTCCATAGCTAAATAGTGCAAGGGACCAAACAGTGATAGGATTGTTACAAAGGAGCTGGCTCTGCGTGAGAGATAAGCGATAAGTTTAGTTCAATTCTTTAACACCGAACCAAATGGAACGATTCAATGAGAAGCCGGCTGAGCTTGTGCCGCCACGAGATTATCATGGGGAACGACTGAAGCCGCAACAGAATATTTTGCAAGCTCGTACTCGTAGAATTGTTTTTTGGAACATCTTGTTTTCACTTCTCACGGATAGTGATTATTTAAATGCACTAAAGCGGAAAAATTGGAGAAGGACGCGCTTGAAAGAGCTTCCAGACGGAGATTGTTATGTCACTGAGGTTAATTTATGCTTCATATGCTAAAGGTCACGAGAGGTCTCCCTTGGGAGTCACGCAAAATATTTTGGTAACTGCTGACCAAAGCATGGTCAGCACAAACATTGTTTCGAGGACATGAAGTAGGAGACATGATAGCTTGCAGTGTAGGCGTCTTATTAGGGCGATTTAACGTTACAAGCTCGCGATAGTTTATTCTACTAGGCATGTTTGATTCAGTGCTAGAGTGGACGGGGAAGGCCGCACCCCCTTCCCTCTGTTTCCTATTGACCGTCTCCCACCCTCTTGGCACAAATTTCTTTCTCTCCCCAGCCTTCTGCTGTTATTAAAATCAAAGATGGTAGCTACGGTTTTCACCGAGAAAGTACTTCGCACTCGCTCGTCAGATTAGGTTTGCTCTGCACGCAAGAGACACTGATGTGCACTTCACTTGCTCACTCACTTACGTTAACTCTTTGCCCATCAGGATTTTTAACGCAACTTTGGAGTTTTTCATTTTATAGAAAGTTTGTGAGAAGATGATTCGAACAAAAGACACATTGATCACTGCAACTGAAAGTAACCTGTGGTGATCTCCTATGCAGATGGTTTTTCTGTTGGTTTCTTAAAGCAACATACACCCTCCATCAGAAAGCGTTTTATAACGAGACTAAACAACGTCTGCGATGGAGACTTCTTGAAAAGGCCATTAATTTTTTTGTTTATTTCTTTTTTACTAGTGTTTTGTTTGTTTGTTTTGTTCGCTTATTTGTCTTTGTCTGCGCACTGTCATAGCAACCTATCTTACCAATGTTTAGCAATTGTTTTTCAAAAAAAATTCTACCACTCTTTTGACCAATCAGATTCAAAATTAGAACGAACGGCGACTTTGTCTTTCGTATGTGACCGGATATATAGTCAGGTTACTGAATTGGTTTCGAAATGACGAAGCTCATTTCGAATTTAAAGTACATTTGAAGCTAAGGGTAAGTTGCTCTTCGGAATCTCAAAGCGCACTCAGTGGTGAAATTCTATAAGTACTTCTAAACGGCACAGAAACATTTATGTCAGGTATACGAAGCAAACACCTCCTTCAAATACATTTAGAGAGAATTTCCTTTGGCCGGCCTTTTTGCAATTGCTTTACTGGACAATGAATAATCGTTAGGTGAAACTGGACATGTTACGAGCTAAGAGCCATCTTATTTTTCTTCAGAGCCAGAGGACAAGACATTTGAACCGGGAGAAAATATCACCCTTGTTTGTGGTAACGGAAGCCTGTCCTCCTCCACTTTTTTAAAATGGACCAAGGACGGAAACATTTTATTTAACACTACCTCTCACAATATAAGTTTAGTCCTTTCTAACCTCACGAAAGAAGATGCTGGATTGTACATTTGCACAGCAAATAATTCAAAGGTATTGAAGAAAATTCAACTCGTCTCCCCATCAGATGGTGAGTACAAACTGTGTAACTGTGGCACACTTCTGAGAGGTTACGATTGCATTCAAATCTACTCACTAGGGTTGTTCAAAGGTCTTCTGCTACTGTACCCACTCTGTGGATGTAGTTTTTATATTGGTGCTTACCACATAGACGATCGGTACTTTTCGTTAACGTGCTGATTGTTCATCTCTGAACAGCCAGAGAGACAGAATCTAGCGTTGAGACTGTTTAATACCCGATATTTATTGGTATTTTGCACTGGAATAAACTTATTTTTGGGTTCTTCACTGTTACATTCTAAAAAAATTGGATTGGATGCACGTCACTGTCGGTGAAACTGGGAAATATCTACCGAATTCGCTCGGTAAATGTCCACCAGAAAGACTTCACCTCCACTTCGGTGGACAGTTGTTAGATACATTATAGTGACCAAAGCAATACAAGAAGGGCTTTCTGAGACGTGGAGGCGCTTTTACAGTTTGATGCTCTACGTTAACATTCTATTGGAATCTGGAAGCATGCATGCCAATTTTTTTCAATTTGATCGCCAAAAATAAGGGATAAAGTCCAATTATGACTTAGAACTCTTCTTTAACTATGTTTCTGGAAAGCCGCACCCACACTGGTTATGATAAAATTAACATGCATGTAAAGACCGTAGTTGAAATAACCACTGATAAGAGGGCCAGATCTGGAAATTTGACCAATTACATGTAGAAGCCCGGACTTAAAAAGGAATACTTACAGTCATGATGCACCGAATGAAGTAGTTAGAATCGGCCGTCTGATCGGTAAACTTTTCAAATCCGGCTCTCTCACTGGTTATTTTCTAACCTTGGCTCTTTGAAATGCCACCAAAGACCACTTTTGTTGATTTGACTCCTCTTCAGTTCAAGAAGAAACAGAACAGCCGCCAGAGGAACAAGACGATGGACTCAGTAATGTTGACTACATCGCCATCGCTCTCGCACTTGGCTTGACAGTTTTTATCATTGTTTTTATGGCGGTATTCCTTTACCGGGCAAAAAGACGCCGAAAGAATGAATACTACAAAAGACGATGGAGAGTCAATGTCAACGGAAATGTAAGTACTCAACAGTCAAACACTCGCTGTGGAATTTGGACTAGCCCCTTAAATAAGTTATTCTTTTCTATGTCTGATTCTCACGATCATGCCACTACATATTCTTAAATCATAATAAATGAATGCCTAAAGCCACGAATTTGGAATCTTTTCTCTCTTCTCCGAGCTCCTTCGGGCTTCGGCCTCAAATGTTTTGTTTGATCGATCCAAGGGCCGGAAGATCTCTCCCGCTTGATCAAAACTAAAGCGGACCAGTGTAAAGTTCTTGAAAACATTCTTCAGTCGGCGAGATGCAACTGTTTGTGACTCATGCAGCATAATCGGCCCCTCTAATTTTAACACGACTTTTAACCTTTTTTTTACGGCTAAAGGAAATTGAAACTACCTTATCTATGTTGAATGTGTTTTGTTTTGGGCGAGACGATTCATTACTGTGCATCAAGGGAATATCAGTTAATATTCTTTTGTCTGTACTCATAAGATTAGAAGAGACAGATTTACAATAGACTTAGAAAATAGCCACCCAAAGTTTCTGCAATTCCCAGCCTTTCCCCCACTTCTACACTTTTTCATTGTTGGGTGTAAGGGAAGATCCCTTTGAGATAAGAATACACTCTTAATAAGACAAACGGAACTACTTGAGCCCGCTTTACAGACCTTAGTAAATTTTGAGTTCAAACATGAATGCGATTAAACCATTTTCAATATTTCCAATAGCAAAACGTGGCTGTTGAAGAGGAAAACGTGAGAAAACCCGGTTATCCAATAAATGATTTCCAGGTGAGAATGGCTCCCAAAGAACCCCGTAAATCTTCACGGCAGAACAACAGACCAGCGGAATATCACTGGCTGGAGACTTTAGGAAGGGACGAACATACTGATGGGAACGCTAACGCACCTGGGCGACCTATGTACCAGTACACTGCATACGTGTAATATGATTGGACATTTTTGACTTGTTAAAATATATTTTTTAAATTAAAAGAAATCTGTCGAAATAGTTCGTAGTCAGGAGCCAATTAATGTGCTCCTGTCGCGAGTCATCAGTTCAAAGGCTATCCTTTGCAGATTGTTACTGATCAGCTTTTAAAAATTTTCCCTGTTTTGAATATGCCTTCATAGGGCTCTGCTTGAGCTGGTGACACTTTTTGATCTGCGGAATTATTTTTAGGGGAAAGTTGCAGTTAAAAGTGATGCATTGTTGAAACAAACTCTCTTCCTTTTATCATTAGAGTTTTCTAGATCACACTTTAACGACTGTGACGATTTTGGGACGCACTGTTACAAACAATCTAGACACTCTGTCTCCCCCTGAAACACTCCAGCCCATCAGCCAAGCTACTGTGAGAGCGTTTTTAGCAGGAAGGAATGGGGGGGGGGGGGAATATTTCTTCCCTAGTTATCGGAGTTTTGTCAACCGCGTCGGCCTGTCCTCTCCCCGGATTCTGAACTAGGCGTGATCCTGGAAATGATGTCAGCTAGTTTCACCGGACAAGGACGCCATAAAACGAACACATATTTTGTGGATTATTAATTCACTACATAGCTATCGCCTTTTGCAAATTCTTGTAAGAGGAACAGAAGATATTAATTCCAATCAGAAAAAAATTTTTCTAGTACTTCAGATCTGGAGAAGGAAACGTTAATATCGCAAACTGGTCGAAGAGCTTAGCCTAATTTTTCGTTTTCGCGTTGTTGGCCCCGAGAATTTTTTAGCTGTTCAGCGCAGCGAGGGTGCGATGAATCGAAACCACAACAAATCGTGTCAGTCATAAAAAGACTAAAAACAGGGCCATACGAATTCACGCTTCTTATTTTAGCTTTTCATAAGAAATTCTTACCCCAATAAGACTAGATGTTAAAGCTTTACAACTATTATTTCCTTATTTACTCTGGTTGCCTTAAACAACTTGATTCCACTGGTTAACTAGATTCAGCTAAGCCAATTTCAAAAGGCGTGATTTCTCCGTGAAACGAATCCACTAACCAAAAATAACACCGGATGTATATATATTGCGTAGATTTGCAATGTTAAATGCCAACCAATGTTTTTAGTCCTTGAACTAAATTAATAAAGGGATTTTTCATCATCACCAGATTTCAGTGTTCTTTTAATTATCAGCCAAGGCATAACAATCAATAAAAAATTTCTTTGATCTACAATGATCTCATGAATAGTCTCACCCCTCTAGCGAAGGGCTAACCCTCGAAACGTTAGTTTAGAAACTCTTTACGGTGGCTAATTTCCATTATCAACTAAAATGGCTGTGAATGTATGAAAATCATATATGCGAACTCGCAGTTCATATCTACGATTTTCATATATCCACCGTCATTTATTCATCACTTCACAGGTTTACCACGAAGCAACATAATGATCAGCTCCCAATTGGCTTGTTAGCTCAGTTGCTAGAGTACTGCACCGGTATCGCAGAAGTCATGGGTTCAAATCTCATACAAGCCTGAATTTTTTTTTTCGACCTTATTTTCAACAGGCTAGTCAAGTAGTTTTTATTGCTACGAAGATCACTTTCATATTCAATATCAACTCAATTGATGAAACCAAGTTATCTTGTTGTATTGCCCCACCGAATTAACACCTCAGTTTCTTTAGACACTTTCCCCTTTATTCACCGATCAGTATTTAATTTCAAATAATTTTGTCTCAGTTTTGATTATGGTGACAATAACGTTGTGTTATCCAATCAGGCTGTCTGATCATACTCGTGATTGACAAATCGTCGCGATAGTCATTTTGTTAATCACTCATACGATTACAAACCCAGTTGGACCAGTTTAGCTAATCGGTCTTATCACTATTAGACAGAGCCATGATTAAATTATTTAGTTACACTGGTAAATTGTCAGACGACAGTAGAGGCGATGAAGAATCTTGAACGCAGTGCAAGTTGATTCAAGTCAGTATCTTTCAAGTTCTTACCTGTTTTCCATGTACGTGCACGCAACTTCCTAAAGATTACTAAACCGCAGATTAAGGCCTTACGAAGATATTTTGAACGCTTTAAGACGAAATTTGTATTGACGCGCAGCTATCCTCTATACTGTCCGGCATATCCAACTTACTAAGCCGTGTACTCGAACCATGAAGTTAACGAGTCATATGAAAGAATCAGATGTCAGGCGCGATGGATGTAATGCCAAAAATGCTATATTAGTGATCTTTGTGCTGGGTGACGTTAGGGGGTCTTGGCTGACAACTCATCATTTTTACATATTTCTCTTACGAAACGTGACTTTCCGCTGCAAAACTTGATCTTTAATCCCCTACGGAGTTGTTTTGATCAGTTCATGATATCGTTGTGATGGATTTCTCTCTGCCGTTCTGAAAGTTACAGCTTCATTTCCAAGTTAGAGGTAACGATTTCCTTTTCAATAATATTGAAGAATATTGGATTTTGACGATTCTTAGAAGGTAGACACTTTGTTACGGCCCTCACGCGCTTTCTATTATGGTTGCTTTAATCAAACGACCAAGGGGTTGTTGCCACTGTAAATGTAAACATACTTCATTGTAAACACCAATGGTCAAAACAACAGTTAAAAGAGTTGTAATTGTGTCTAGACATGATATTTTCGTACAAAAACGCTTTCTTCTGTGATTTATTTTGAGTGGCAGAGACTGATCGACCTTTGATCGGCCAGCACAAATCACTAGTCTATCACACAGGGAACGATACAAAGACAAAACAAAAAAAACAAACTATAAATTATAAAACAAACAGAAAAATTAAAAAACAAACAAGCGGCACCACGATCCTTTCGGCTAATATTGGTATCAATTATAAATTTGCACTGTTTGATGTCACGTTGTTCAAGAATCTACTGTCTGAAATCAAGCCACGTCTATGTTACACATTTGCATTCAAGATTTTATATTCTGCATCGAATAAAATCGAAAATATATGACCTATCTAGTATTCGAAAGAAAGTATTTGAAAGGCTGAAAACTTGGGCTGACCAATTTTTGGTTGGCGAAATGTCATTGCTGTTGCGCGCACCTACTGGCGACAAAACTATTTGAAAACAGGAAAAACAATCTTTTATGATATCGGATGCTCAAATCTGTTGCACTCGAGAAATACTATCAGGAAGATACAACTTAAAGGATTAGTAAGACTCTGAACATGTTTAACTGTTAAAAAACGGGTTTAACAGGTCCTTTAGAAGGAGGGGTCATTAGCAACGGTTTTGAAAGGGTGAAGTCGGCTTACTAGTTTAACGCTTTAACTCCCAAGATCTGATTGTTAATTCTCCACTCTAGCTACTGCACATTTCCTTGTAAATAAGTCACGAGAATTTAGCGTTAGATCAAGATAACAACTTTTACCTGATACATTTGAGTATTCTCGTTACCTGTTTGCTGGATAGTACATGGATATTGTTGAGAGAAGTTACTTGTTAATCCCTTCTAGAAGTTAACGGTGAGAGCCAATACAAGTGTCAATAACATAACGCAACCAGGAACATTATTACTTCTCCTGGATGGGCTACTAGGGTTTCGTAGTAGAGCCACTCCCACCCCCCCTCCCCTTTCCCTTCCCTAACAGTTTAATCACATTTGTCCCGTTTCCGGTAACCAATTAGTAGACTACGAGGTAGAGAAAGGATCTGTGGGGTCAAGTGTCGAAGTTATGGGAACTCAACAAGATAAGCCAGCCGTAGCTAGAAACAAAACCTATAGATCCGGAATCTTATGTGTTAGATGTTACGCCTCTGTCTCGGGGCTTCACCCACAATGCTTGTGTTTATATGTACTTTCAATTGCGAAAAAAATAATTTTTGAATTTACTCTACCAAGAAATAAGAGAAAAACCTCATCATTAGTCGTATTAGACGATAAAAGTCAACAAAGCCTTAAGTGACAATTAACAAGCGTATTCAGTCGGTAAGTCGAAACCATTTATGACAAGAGAAAAATTTTGAAAAATTTCATATATTTGGGGTATCATATGAACCGTGAATCAGGAGAGCGTAACCTTACCTAATCCTAAGAGTAGATTTATTGTTCATTACGTTTGCGTGCCTACAACTTAGCATCAAACCGGGTGAGTTCGTTTTTTTGTTTTTGTTTTTGTTTTTGTGTTTGCTTTGAGCTGTTCAGTCGTCAGTAGGTTTATGCATAAACGCTGACAATTAACTGTTTTCTGTCTCCGTTCAAAATATAGAGTTGTTTTCGTTTTTGATCACCAAGAAGTAATTATTACTGCGTCATGTCGATAATATGATTAAATCACGCAGGGTGCTGTATCAAAGACACCTCTAAAACTCTTTTTTTGTCATTTTTTTGCCCTTGGAACAAATTTCCATATGCTTCCAGAGCTTCTTGATATTTTCAACCAAACAGACTCGTAAAGTCTAATCAAGTGGTAAAATTTTGTTATAGAGTAGCTTTTAGTAAAATGGTCGGTGGGTCAGTTGCGTTTGCGTGCTAACGTCGTGGCTTCTTCCGCCCATAACTGATTGAAGAAACAAGTTAAGTCTGAAAATTAAACAGCCAAACCTAAACTTAGACAGTCTTATAAGAAAAATGAAACTTAAGAACAAGAAAACAAAACAAACAACGAACAACTAATAATGTTTTTGAATGAATGTGCAATTTCCAGCATTTGTATCCGAACTTACCTCTGTGATGTGCATTCAGCTTCTCCGGGGAACATTGCGTGCCATCCCAGTTTCGAGACAAAGCCCATAAGGATGATTCATATCAAACGTTTTTAATTTTAGATCAAAGGAAGTTGCTTCAGATTAAACAAATTTCATATAAGATCAAAAGATCTTCGTTATGAATCTGATGGGATCAGTCGTTTTGGTTTACAGGCCCTCCACGGTGATCCGGAGGTTTTGAAAACTGTGATTCTCCGCCTTAGAATAAAAAGTTCATTCGAGAGAAATATACAACTTGCAATTTTAAGCACATCGTTTTGAGGGAGGAAAACTAGTATGGAAAAGGCGGTTGCACCACAAGCTCTTCTCAGGGCTGATAACTGATGGGTGTAATTGTTTATAGACTAGACCCTTGTCAAAACGCCAACCCGCACTTTTAAGACAACGTACAAGTTCGCAATTTATTCTCAATGGGAGGGAGGAAGTGGTAAAGGAGGATTAGTTTTGTCCCACTCTGCTCCTAGCGAGATAAAGAATTTCCTCTATTCACGGCAAAAAGCCGAGGAGCGGGAAAAAGATAGGCAGCTCCTTACAGCGCATGGCGCTTACATCTTGTCAACTTTGTTGATAAATTGTTTACGAGGAGGCGGCAATTAAGAGACTTTTGGTTTCAGTCCATCTGTGTCTAGACGCCTTAAAACTTAATTATTTCATGATATCCTTACCGCGATATGTAGAGATCATGTTATGCCATTGACAAGTGAAACCAACAATGTCGTCATGGTTACCGAGCAAGTCACGCCATTTTCTTAAAGGAAATCATTCTTAGGGAGAGAACTTGCCTTCTTTTTGCGACGCGATAAAAACTCATTAATTCAACCATCCAGAAAATCCAGAAAGTGATATACAAAACGCAACATGTCCTATTGTGGATAGGATTTTATCTTCTCCTATCGAGGTTATCTCACACTCGTTCGCTTTGAGAACTTTAGGGAGACATTAGTAACGGTCCAAGAGTAAGATTTGTATCCTCTTTGGGCCTTAAGATCTGAAGCGAAATGCTACTCTTGTTTAGAGAGCGTCTAAATAGAGAGCTTGCACAACAGTCAATTGATTTAAGCGAACGCTGTGATTTAGTCCGGCGCAAGCAAGCGGCAGTCGCGAAGTCAAGCAGAGAAGCCACGCGGCTAAAGAGAATGATATCTAAAGGAACGCGGGAAATTTCAGTGATGAAAAGCTGGAATAACCTCTACGTACGATTTTGACTGCATTTGCACTAACCTGTTTGGAAGGTTTCCACTTGAGGGCAAAGATCGCCTGCCTTTCAACCAGACCAGCTGTGGGAGGAGGGAGGGGGGGGGAGAAGATATTTACTATCCAGTCGTAGCCCAGAGATTATTCCAGGATGGTTTCTCTACAGCTGCGAGTTTAAAGCCTTGATAGGGTGGGGGACGGTAGGCTTTTGCTGACTGTGTTGCATGTTTTAGTGGCTTGGCGTATTTACCCCCCAATCTGAAAGGGGTGTCTAGTATCAAAAATACAGGGGGAAGTGTGGTTCAAATTGACACCGGACTTTTAAATGAGTTTGTTTGTGCGAGTGGGTATGTTGTTCTTTTTCGATGAATATTTTAGGTACAATTTTTTTTTCATCCGGTCAGAATAAGGTCAAAATCCAGCTTAGCACTTAAAAGTAAACCTATCTCCCGGAATTTATGTATGATGTGAGCAACAAAACTGACCCTTTGCCAAGATATGAGACCAAATCAAGCTCTCCTCGTCAAAAACCAGGAATTGATGTTTGAACCGTTTAATAAATATCGCATGTCAGTGTCGCGTGACTATTCATGTTGCCAGGGAAGTTCGGTTGTCTTTTATTCCTTGCCAATTGTTTTAGAAAAGCGGCACCTCTTTCAGATTCGCAACTTTGTAAACTCCATTGTGGTTAATTCACTCGTGTTTCCCCCGGTGTTTATCCAGTAATTTTCGTTAGTTCCTCAACCTCTGAATTTGCGAGTTTGTGAAAATAAAGCCTCACTGTCTGCTGGTCGGTCGTTGAATTAAGGGTTACTTTATTTCATTAACACCGAACCGCGCATAATTTCATATCATTTTGCGTCTGACATTATCACATTGTTCTTGAATAACGAAATCTCCTGGGTGCCCATAAAAGTTCGACCACATAAATTCGAATGTGATCGACATACATATTATTTACCAAATAGATGGAACGAATAAGTTATGAAGAATGTTCTATTCTTTCTTAGAGACTCTGGCAAAGGTAGAAATTTTATATGTAATAAAACCGAAACGAAAGTATCGACAAAGACACGCGAGAAATCCGAACAAAGATCCTATAACAATAAACAATGAGTAGTTTAAGATAAACCCGCTGAAAAGGCTTCAAGAGAAGGGAAGTTCACGTCAAACGCGAGATTGTCAAAACTGTCAGGGTTGTTTAAAAAGCGCTAATGTTTACAGAAGTAAATTCAAATGACCTTGGGTACTGGAACTCGTATAAGCTAAGTATTCTTTAAGGCTTTTGAAAATAAATCAGCTTAAATTCTATAATCGTTGAAACAAGATAATTTTGACGACAACGAAAGGCAATGCCTCGTGAAAAAACATTACAGGTACCCTTTAATTTAACAGAGTGGAAAAAGTTAAAAAAAAATTAACGAACAACTCAGTGAAAGATTATGTAAAAGGTTGCCTTGGTTTCAGAGTATTCTCAATAATTATTTTTTTTGGAAAGCAAATATTATTCCATCTATCAAGTTTGTTACTGATGGGTAAAATGAACTTTAGACGATGTCAAATTGGTGGTTACAAGTATTACCTTTGCCGATTATTACCAATGTGATTTCTCTAGAATAGTTTCCGTCTCTTTACGTAAAAGTGCACTAGTCTAGTTTTTTTTTCGTTCTAACAATGCTTCTTTAATAAAGATACAGTGACTTCATTTAAAGAACTCTTTCATCATACCTTTTCTTTTTCCTTTTCCTTTCCCACCTGCCTGTTTTACACAATCAGAGGCAAATAGAACAGTTTTTAACTAACAAATGTATATTTACATATTTTAACTCATTCTCATGCAAATATATTCCGAAATTTTTGTTACGCACAGGATGAAACTTTTACGGCTCTCGTGCTCGCACCACAAAGATTAGGAGTTATTACATGACCTAACGTCTAAATTTTTGTTTTGCAAGACTCAGTGGTGCCAAAGTCCATCCAGTGTCCAGAAAAGCTGACGTCAAATCAATTCTTGAAGCTTGGCACGTGGATTCAACGAAAACGCCGGTCGACAAGACTTCACGTTTACAACGTTTAATTCCACCGCGTGGCTCATTCAAACAAATGTAAATTGGTGGTGGGAGATTAAGCAACTTAGCTCTGAGACACTCTGAACTTTGACAGAGAAATGTTTGTGTTATTGAGCCTCTTGGTGGGGACTGTTTTGTTGCAGTCTGTTTGTGTCGTCTCTGCAGGTAAGTGGAGGATACGTATCGTAATAGTAACGTATAGTTTAACTTTGGTACTTTCCGCGTTGAAGGGAGTCATCAAGGAAACTGTAAATTGAATTATCATCATTTAATTCTAGGGAAGTGGCGAGAAACCCGAATAATGTCGAAATCGGACTTGTCAGAATAAACCTTACTTAATTCGGAGTAAAATATCACCATTATTTCTCGAATGTTGGCAACAAAAACAGGTACATTTGCATAAAACCTGATCGAAACGCGACGTCTAGTTCTCTAGTGATCTGATTTATTTTGATCATTGCTTTATTAAGATGCTTCTTTTGGAAGCATACATCGCCCCCTTTTGGAGGTTTATTTCGAAAATTTATTACACAGAGCTTCTTGGGTGAATGATTGTTTATCTTAAGTGACCTCGTTTAAAGACTCCAACTATCGAACTGTAACGATTGACGTAACATACTCGTAATATCTGGTGGGCTTGCAAACAGACTGCAGGCAAAATTCGAAACCATTGGCATAATTCTAAGAAACAACGTGATTTTATGTTGCTCGAGACTGATTGATTGTTGTCTTCAAAAGCGATCAAATGATAATCAATGTTTTCATTTTCCAAACTTATTTTGACCACTTTAAAAACGAATATAACATATTCATTACTGACTAATCTCAGCGATCTTGCAGCAAATACAAATGCATATGTTATCAAATCAGAAAAACGATTGTGATGTTTTCCAGACAGAGATTACAATCAGCCTACTAGTTTGGCGTGAATTTAGAATCACGATAATTTCTTTTTTCGCTAGGCACCAGAAGGCGAGATTTTATGCTTAAGTGGACAGGTGAAACACTGTAAACCCATTTCACAAATCGATTGGTAATTTTCTAAAGACACATTGTTTTTTCCAAAATACTAAACTCAATTTCGACTCTTTCCTAAATCCCCCAGGCTGATACAGCGCTGGTTTATGGCCAAGCAGTCCTTCTCAACTTATTTATATGCAAATTAAACTGAAAAATACTTATAACAACATCATTAATATTTAACTGAAAAGCTCGACCTTCTAAGTGAGCACGAGGGAGGATTTTAGATGCCACATCTTCACGAATTCGTTTTCATTTTCTGTAAAAGCTCGCCTTGACTTGTTTGTTTACAAACCTGTACAACGTCTTACTAACAAAAACTGATTAGTCAAATAATAAAAACTATCGAGGCGTTAAAAATATTCTTTTCTGTTAAGGGCTCATTGTTTCCCCAAGGTCAGATCAATTATTTTCCAAAGTTGTACGTAACGTGAATCCGTTAGGTCTGTTCCGATTGTGCTCGGAAACTTTTGATCAACTTTTAGCGTTAAGAGCAACTCTTTGTAGTTCTACCAACCTCGAGCAACTTTTGCTTTCTGAGCATTTTTTGAGCAAATATCGGTTTAGAGCACATAACAAGCACACAAATGTATACGATTTCATAAACAACTGCAGTTTATGCGAATTTCATGAAATTTTTATCAACCTTTTCAACACACAACCTGTGACTTGACAACGCTTCGCAGGCCTATTGCGATTCATATCTAATGTTTTAACGGATAATCGGCTGAAATGACGTTCAGCAAGAATTGAACCATGCGTTTTGTTCCGTTAGACTGAAGTAACCATAAATATTGCCCATGTTTGCGAGCAACTCTAAGTTTCAACCTATTTTTCTAGACCTATTTCCGCAATTATTGTGAATAACGAAAAATAAAGCTTTTAATTAACTTTCATAGAAATATATCAAGAGATTTAGGTAGTAAATTTTGAAATTTAGGTAGTAAATTTTGAAATTTAGGTAGCCACTTTTTGGATTTTTGGCTATTTTTTGGAAACTTTATGGCATTCCAGTGAGCAACTTTCCAGCATTGTAGGAGCAAAATCGGGACAGGTCTATAATCCAGACAAATGACAATAGCTCTTTGTATCGATCGACAAAAGCGTTGTGACATAAACGTCTGGGAGGAGCGATACACTGAGTGACAAACACACATGTTTCTACGCAGAAAAAAAATGATACAGCCCTCGAATTTGACATTTTTGTAAAGATGGGTAAAAAATACCATGCAATAAGCGAATGATCATGAATTGTGTATAGGTTCATTCCGTAAGTGATGAGCTTTTTTTTTCCATCAATTTAAAAAAAGTTGATTGGACACCAATATACAATAAGCTGAATTATGCTCGCCTACTGATTGGCTCTTACCTATGATTGATTGGAGGACGGACACAGATAACGTCACCATTAGCAACATTTTGCTTTTCTATTTCCGTGGGTCTGTACGGTAGAGACTTTTAGATCCACTTTTGATGTGTTCACCGCAAACGTCAAACCTCGGTCAGCAGTTTGTAGTTAGAAGTTAGAGGTTTCGAGACTTTCAGCTTTTAGATCGACGTCGGCTTTCACCTGAAAAAATCAACATTTGCATTGCCTTCTTGAATTTTTTTATTTATAATATATAATATTTTTAATCAGCATAAGAAACACAGGCCCCTTTCTGACGAAAATGAATCTCTTTCTTAAACCAACAGGTAAGCCTGAAATTATAGGTAAAGGAACGGCTGTTTCTACCAAGGAGGATGACATAGCACATTTCACGTGCAAGTCACGTGGGAGTCCCAGGCCTTTCCTTCGATGGGAGCGTCACGGAGTAACGATTAAAGATACAGATGAAGGGGTCGCTGTTTTGGAAAAGAGTAATTCCACTTTAGAAGAAAGTCATTTATTCGTTGCTGTAACTGACAATGAGAGACGGGGGATTTACATTTGTGTGGCAAGAAACGAAGAAGGAGAAACAACAATGTCTTTTAAAATTGGTGGTACGTATAAGTTAAACATTATTACGATATTTCGTACTGATGCATGGGGTGGAGTTCATCCTAGTTCTGCTTCCCCTGATGATACAAAAACTGGGCTCTATGGCTTTTGCTTATTCATTTTCCCACACACAGTTAAAGACAAATGAACACTGTTGCATTTTTAGAGCTAAACAGAGAAATCTAAAGAGTCGCCGGCTGTTTACGGCGATAGCATCTTCCCCGTACTGTTGTCTACATATTTCCTGGGCTGCCAACAGAGAGTATTGGTTTGACAATCAAAATATTCTTAAGTTGGTGATCATTTCCTCTATTCTCCTAACCTTAATGTTTGATTCAGGGGTGACTTTGTGGGGAGAAATTAGATGAAGTCACTCATCTAAGGTCAGAGAACGGTTTTGTGCAGTTTGCTGATGCAGCAGTTGGCTTGTTCCTCTGTCGACCCGAGTAGGTCAAATCAAGGATTGTTTACGAGTGTTGTCTTATAGAAGCGTATTTTTGTGATTGTTTTTTTTTATGTCAGAATACCCCCTGGAGGGACTAACTTCTACGGACAAAGCTGCCATTGGTATATCAGTTGGGTTAACGCTGTTCTTCGTGATATCCATTGCGATTTTAATGAAGCGCGGATCAAAACAGATCAAGAAATCTGTCCGGAGGCAAAGAGCAAGAACCTTGTCACAGTCTTCTTCTTCTCAGGTAAGCGAAGAGTAAGTATGCCAACTACACCCCAACATCAGTCAGAATCTACATTCTCCAAACATTTCTGAGGGTGTTGACAAGGAGAATTTGTTAAACAATCAAGAACTTCCTTAGCTGAGGATCATTTCCTCAATTCTCTTGACCTTCGTGTTTGATTCAGGGGTGACATTGTAAGGAGAAATTAAATGGTGGTCACTCTAAGAGGTAAACAGGTTAGAGGATGCGTAAATCTTACTAAAGGTTTTGGTGTTTAGTGTCGCTGAGAATTTCGAAAGTTATGCCGTATTTTTAAGAGCCCGCGGCGAGGGTTAAAATACAGACAATAAATGAAAATAATCAGCGATACTTCACACTAAAACTTTGAATCATTTATTCTCATCCAACCGCTTCATTTTATTCACGCAAGTGTAGTCTGATCACCCCTTTAAACGCTATTGGAGACGACTGATTCCCACTCCGTTGCCCCTGAAAACCATGTGATCCTACGCAAAAACCTCCAACCCCCACCCCCCTCAGGTGATAAATAATGGCAGGTTCCTTGATCAAAATACATTAATCAAACATGAGATACTCCTACACCTCCGAACCCCCTGAAAACCATGTGATCCTTCCCAAAAACCCCAACCCCCACCTCCCTCAGGCGAAAAATAATGACGGTATTTAGTCCAAATACATGAATCAAAGATGAGACTTGAAGTAAAAAGTTAACCCTGCGTTAGACAGAAGATTTAATCAGACCTCCGATCCTAGGCTAAGAGTAGTCTTTCTTACTGAATTCAACTGCTTGGAAACGCGTTGAATCTGGTCGTGGAAACATCATGGTTGCGTTTACCGCTCTGTCACTGTCAAGTGCGGAAGTCCTTTTTTATTTCTTTCCTTTAAACCCCTAACGTTCTGGTCTCTCTTACTTTTTCAGGGTGCGGAACACGTTGCCCTAGTGCACTCCACGCCAAATAAGGATAGCGATAAAGAAATTAGAAACGGTGCACCAGCTCATCATGATCCAGACGATGATGGAGCTACAAGTCTTAATTGCACATCGACGGTGTGAACCAAGAGACAAGTAAATGGGTTTTAAACAATTCACGTCACGACCAAGCTTTCACGAGGTTTTACTCAGACTAAACGTAATGGGAATCTCATTCGATGTAGTCGTAGCAATATCCGCTTGGTGATTGGAACAAGCACTTTCGCCTGTCTCGTTGGTTTTGTAGTTACGTACACTAGATAGAGGTACTTGAGTAAACCTGAAGAGTGTATAATTGTGAAACTAAGAAAAGACCAAAAAAGAAGAAGGCACTTTCTTTGCCTGTTTTCTCTTCTTGGTGTCGCCTAAATTCATTTGGCGCTCTGTCTCCGTGGCTATTTTTTTTTAATTTGAAAAGCGGTTTCTCGTGTGGTGGTTTCCATTTGCTACTTTTTTTCTAAATCGATTTTGGAACAATTGTCAACTGATTGTAAAGAGGAATCCAGGATTGCTTTGTTTTTGCTTTCCTTGCTCTGTAATTGTTACAGAACACTCATGTCACGCTCTGTAATTGTTACAGAAAACTCGTGTCACGCTCTCAATCAATCGGATGCAAAACTTAAACCAATCACGACTTAGTCGCACACGTTTTCCCGCGCTTCAAGAAGTTTAGTTGGTTTTATTTTGAGTTCTTATTAGCTCTTTAAGGTATTTCCTTTCTTCTGATTGGCCGTTGCTATAATTTTATTTAAGCTTTTGCAACACTGAATCAAAAAGCGCCCTAATGCGCATGATTTGTGACTTACTTTCGTCAGTGAACAATGATTTTTTTTTACGCTTAGCTAACACAGAGCATTTCGATTGCATATGTAAACCAGTTAAAAACGAAGTGATTCTTACAGCCTGTGCGAGCAGAGGCTAACATCTCAAGTAGCCGATGAGAATTTAGCGTAGATACAAGCACTAAGCGCAGGAAAATTTGAATGATGAAGTCTGGACTGATTTCGTATTGCATTCGCTTGGTCGGGAAGATGACGCAAGTTCTCAAGCCCGAACACACAGTTCAGTAAAGCAAATCCAAAGCACTCCCAGATTACTTTAGCCAAAAGTTTCCTCATGTAGGCTATTGCGTTTTAAATGACCTCCACTTTTTCTTCGCTATATTTCATGTTCTCCGCACTTTCCATACGTTAAAAACAAAAGAACCTCATAAAAACAGAGCTTTCGGTGGTTTGCACACCTACAAGATTAGCCTAAGTTTAAATTACCATCCTTTTTTACCACAGCAATATCTTGGAAATGATTATCAATTATTAATTTACCAGACATACAAAAAATCAACTGCAGTCATACATAAAGGACTATATTTTGAATTTATCTGCTGATGTCTAGTATTTATTTCCTGTGCACCGATTTTTTTAAAACACAAATAGCTTGATTTTTTAAATTTTAATTCCCTCTATTCTATAATATATTACAAATGAGAGCTGGGGTACAACGCGAGGGTGTATCAAAACGTAGGGTCTTACTCCAGATTTAAAATACAGAGAAGGATTTTTACTCCGCTTGTTTTACTCTTTTTTTTCACCTGATTGAGCGAAAAGTTGATAGATAAGGAGTTTTCGGTCAAGTTTCTTTTTGGAAAGTATCTTTTTCAATGCCCTGAGGGCGTCGTATTTTTTGGGTTTCATTTGAAACTGGGAAATTTTGAAGAGGTTTGAATTGTAGGTTTTAAATTCCTTTTCCATTCATACGATCACGCTACTTTACTTCCAGAGGACAACTCGTTCCCCACCCCTTCCCCACCCCCTCAGCAATCTAAGGGTAGCACCTGTTTAAATCTAAAAACCAAGGGGCGATTATTTAAACAAAAAGTTATTTAGTTGATCAGTGGACCTCAAAATGTCCATATAAGGTCATATAAGTGAGTTGTTTTTAAGCAAATAGAAATGTTCTTGCGTAAAATGCTTTTAATGAACATTTATTCTATAGTATTCACCGAACCCGGGAAGAATAATAATTGTTATAGTATAAAATAATTGCTCGGGTGATTATCAGAGCGAAAATAAATGCTTCTCGAGCAGGGTGATTAGAAAACGGATATGACGTGATTCTCGACTAATTAGGGCGCTTGCATTTTCATAATCACCTGAGCAACTATTTGATTACAAAAAGGGACTAAAGACAGATGGTTATTAAATCTTTTTTTAAAGAGAGCTTCATGAAACTTTTATCCAATACAGGGCCGTGGGAATAAAAGAGTGGTATCAGTGTAAGCTTAAGTAGGAATATTTTTTAAGCTTTAGATGTATCAGTGTTTTATTTTTGTTACTCGATGCTGAGTTTCCTTGCAAAGAAGAAATATATGTATATACATATTTTGAAGAGGAGTGGGTTATTTTGTGGCAGGCACAATTTATTGTAACACCTCATAGGACTCACGTGCATAGGAAGGTATGAAAATCAAATTGCGTTTGAGGAGAATATTAGACGTAGACAAAAGGGCCATTTCCGACATGTCCAAAGCCTTTGTTTTAAAACGAGGGCAAGTGCGAAGCCTTTTTAAAAAATGTAAATAATTCCTCTATTCTGACGCAATCAAAACACTTGCACACAAGAGAGGTTTTGCGCTCGGCCTCATTTTGAAAACGAAGGTGCTTCAAACTCGGAAACAACTAAGTCGTCCAGTCTCCCGCTTATGCTGAATTGTCTCACAATATTTCACAAAATAAGTCCAATTAGTCATGCTAAAGTCCAACTTATGAAAAAATTTAGCATACGAATAGTTCAAAATCGCATAAAATATTCAAATTTGAATAAAATAACTATGTTCCCAGACGCTTTCGATTACTAATCTAAAATTGTTTACATAAAACGCAGCTATTTGAAAAGATGATGCCTTGTTTCATAACTGCGCGAAACATACTCTAAACCCCTGTCTTAACTCTATTCGTAACGTTAGATTAGGGACTTGTCAGAAATTAGCCGGGGGGGAGGGGGGGGTGGGAATTTTAAATTTGGGTTCGGAAATTAGGTGACCCATCCCTGCAATGGGAGTGAAATTTGCTAACCCTCCCCTTGAGCTTGGCCTAAAATATCATGACCCTCTCCCTCTTGTACAGTGATGAATAGGATAGCCAGAACTCTACTAACATTATTAATAACAACATTATTCATGATTTCAATAAGACTATATAGCATTGTTATAAATGAAAAGTACATGTTTGTTAAATTCTTGCTATAGTACTTCACAGTTTATATCCATAACGTTCCGTAAACCGTTGTATTTTTCTCTTTTTTTTGCCAAATAAAGAACTTCCTTTTTCTTCTGTGGGTGAACCTCTACATGATCACGGGTATATATTTGCATGACCCTCCCCCTTTTAACTGCCCATTTTTCATGACCCCTCCCTTTTCTGAGGCTCAAAAAGTTGTGACCCCCCCTCTGTTTCCCCCCCTCCCCCTGCTAATTTCTGACAAGTCCCTTAGCGGGGAACATTTTCTGGAAAAGAGAGAAAGTCGTCAAGTGACAAGGAAGTCTGTGGCACGGTCAAATTAGTTCTCACCCCGGCTAAACATGGGGCTATGTCATTGTAGTAGCCGATGTAACACTTCAATGCTTTCTCTTTGTTCCGGTTTGGGTTGAAAACGCGAGACTACTGAAGCAGAGGATGTTGGGAGGTAGGGGAATTGCAATGGAGTCTTTCTACACCTCGCTCCTCGGAGTGTTCTTTGGGCTGGCTCGATAACTAGCCACCATCGGGAAATGAGCCCATGCTCATCAAACGAAGACCATGCAACGCTTTCAACAGAGCGGTTAAACGTCTGCGCATGTGCAAACCTTATAATGACTAGAGAGAGGTCTAGATGGTGTGATTTCAGGCTATGAGAACCATGTTGTCTCACAAAAATCACAAGCAATCCGACACAACTCAGTATAAAGTCTCGGTGTTTTAGAAGTGCATAATTTAATTGGCTTAAAACAAAACATAATGATAAATGAACATGATACCCGTCTTAAGCTTCGTGTTTGAAAAGTCTCGAGTTTTCCTTTCCCATTCTATTGTTTCCTTTAAGAGATTTTTAAAAACGTCTCAATTTTCTTTCGCTTTTGTTGAGAGAAAACAGTTGTTTCTTATGATTTCCTTCGAATTTTTACGCGGGAAATTGGCGCGCGGGCGCCCAAAATTGATCTCCACGCGCATGCCCTACGTTTAACCGCTGCTCCGCTGCATGCATAATGAGCTTGAAATAGTAAATGAAAGCTAATACTAATTAACAGATTGATCGAGAATTCACAGACGGATTGTAAAAATCCCAAGGAAATGCTGACTTTTGGGCGTCATAACTATTCATCGGAACTTTAGCCCTTGGCCCATTTTAAGAGGAAAGGACTTAATTTTATCTACTAATTATTCCTTTTTTTTTCAACTTCATTGAATGTGGTCATGGGGGAACCTGAGGCTCTAGTCCAGATCGTCTCTGCAATTCTAAAAGAAATTGTTTATCTTTCCGTTTTTACACGTGCACATCACAAGGACATCAGCGTCTGAGCTGCTAAAAGAAATCACGCCACATTCTAAAGGGACATCACGCCACTTTCTAAAAGTAAATCATACCAAAGACTCTTACTGACCTCTGACACCTGCTGATATTATCACTATGAAAGTTAAGATATTTTTAAGTAAAGCAAAATTCTGATCGCGAGCTATGAAGTATCTACAAGTTATGAACTATTCTTGTCAAAAGGCCTCTCATCATTTTCTCTGATGACTTGTCAAGAGCAAAGACCAACGGAAAATCATAGAATGTTTCCACAGACTTGAATTTCAATTCGCGAAAACCAGCATAACCACATTTCCATATTATTTTGAAAAAGTCGAAAATAGGAGTTAAGCACCTCTTTTTGATTGTCTTCATGGGGCCATCACGAGATGTCAAATTCCAATTACTGCCAGTACCAAATTTAAAGGATCGCCCATCACCGGAAAGGATATATCAAATTTGCGGACTTGCAAGGAAATATGAGAGTCAGATAGGCGCGCGACTTCGCATACAACAGGTCTACAGCTTCTGTCCTCAGACAGTTGGATACGTTGAGCGGCATGGAAGCTAAGTTTTTCTCGGCGGTGATGATTTTGATTACTCTCTTGTTCGCTGATGGCGATGAAGGTAAGTGAGTCTTTCCTTCTAGGATAAAAAAAATCTGGTCTTAGACTAAATTGTAATGCTTTTCTTAGCTCTATTTTCGGGCAGCCATGCCTAATGGGCAAAGTTTCAAGCGATGTAACTTTGAACAGAAACAAAATACAACAAATGCTGATAAATGAGCTTGATCTATAGGATTAATTCCGCGACTCTTGACCCATTTAAGGTGATGATCCACCAATTCTCATCACGATTGCCTGAAGCGCGATGATGAAACGTTAGCTCCAGCTTTTCAACGAGCGTTTTAATTTTTTTTTTCTTTTTTTTTTCATAACGTTATCTTTCCTTTTCTTTTTGCGTTTGCGCCATTTGTTCCTCTATAGCTCGCCATTGTTGTTTCGTTGGCACTCTAGAAGATTTGAACTGTGATCGTGTGCGAACTAAATACTAATAAAATATGTAACTCTCATACACTGTTATGATACCAGAAAGGCTTGATCATTTGCCGTTCAATCTTCGACAAAATCGGGAGCGACCTCAGTTTAGCGACCTACACAAATCAGTACCTTTATCTTTCATTTTTCTTCAATTATCTATTTATTTATCATTGAATTCACCGCTGCACTGTAGTTTCCGTTTGAGCTGTATGTATGTCGCAGATTTTTGTTGATATAAATCTTCTATTCGTTTCGTAATTTTTTAAACTGAGAATTAAGAAAGGCCAAATACGGCCTGAAATACGTGTTCTCATCGTTTAAACTAACACTACGGCCGTCAGCAACCGCGGTGAGCGGCAACAAATGCAACAAATCACGTGCGGTAATGTCAAATGTTGTTTCAGGTTACTTCATCAATGTTCATTTATCGGCTCCCTTGCAAAGATTGTTGCCGATAAAGCTCGACAAATTGATAATTATTTTTCTAGATAAGAGAAGTTTCCGTCCCTCTGTAGGGGTGAACTTATCTTACCGGTTTCCACCACTTCAAACCATCAGACCGCGTTGTTCCCGATCGTCAGTGTAACAATATGTGATCATTGTTTACCTTCTCGATATTATTTAAATATCCTCACTCTCATCGTTTGTTTCGCGATACTGACTCACGGGAAATTGTTGCTTGCAAATTTTCAACGGCGATACACGGCTTTTCCCCACCAAGTGACTGATGGAGCTTCCGTAAACTTGTCGCTAAATGTCTGCAGACAGATGCTATAAGTACCTTTTGTTCTCTTCGTTATTCCGGCATGTTGTTGACCGGCTTTTGTAGGCATCCAGGCTCCGGGAGGTCGTTTTTCTTTCTCCTTATTGATGTTAATGGACTAAGTCAGGAGATCATTGTTGAAAGGTTCTTCGACTCGTTTTACGGTATATCATTGGAGGCCATATCGATCTCGAGATGAACAATTGATTACTTTGGTGTCACTCATAGTCCTTGCAATCTGGTCAGCTACCAGCAGTTCTATTAAGTACAAGTCAGTGCTCCCTTTTCGTTTCTAACTCTGATAAATTTACTATTCAATGAGAAAGTGATAATTCAAATCGCAGGAAAACGGATGATAAAACAAAGGCATTTAAGGGCCAGTTTTTCCAAAAATTTTGCTGTTTTGCTTCTACATCTTTTTAGGTGTACTAATCGAAATCCTGTTATTTTGGGAAGCGGAATCAAAAGGAGTGCGTCGTGCAAGTTTGGTCTGGAAGTATACACATCAATTTTCATTCAAACGAGTTCGCGTGCGTTTTAGTTCAGACCATAGTTAGTAGAGGGGACTCCCTCCATTAACTATGTTCAGACCAAGTAACTGTCGCTCCACTCAATAACTTATTACTGTGTATCGTAAGACAAACGTCAGACATTCACCTACTCCAGCTAAACAATGTTCTTCAAAATGAGAGTGGTTTCGTTTTGTTTTACTGGCCATCATTTTTTAGGTTCATCAGTTACTGCAAGAGCTCCAACCTCTCGGAAGACAGCTAACGGTGAAATCGCTCATTTTACCTGCACCTTAAAATACAATCTTTCTTCTGCCGAAATCACGTGGCAGAAACAAGGGCACAATCTGAGAGATGGTAGCTCTGGTGTAGTGATAATATCCTGGAACAACGGCACCATCTTGGAAAGTCATCTTCTTGTTGCAGTGACGGATGATGACGAAAGGAGAGGTACTTACACATGTGTTGGGACAGATGAAGATGGACAATCACGAAGATCATTTGTGATACAAGGTGAGCTTTCATTTAAGCAATACTTGATCAGAGACATTTTCAATTGAGTGTCGAAAATAATCCACGACTTCTTTTGCTTTGCTTTACGTCGAACCATTACGGTTCAGGCACTTCAGGCAGTTTCCAACCCACATATAAGTCGCACTTTCTACATTGTGTTACACTGGTAAACAAAACAGTTTTCATTTGGTGTCGAAAGTAATCCGCGATCATTGCCTTGGCTCTCCTTTGTCCCGAAAAGTCGCGCCCTCCTTTCAACCAATCAAATGCAAAACAAACCCGACTTAGTCGCTCGCGTCCTCCCGCGCTTCAAGCGATTTGTTTGTTTTCCCTTTGAATGTCATTGGCTAATGATAATATAAACCTTTGTTCTGACTGGTCGTTGGGATTACTTTGGTCAAAAGTCGTAATCTGATAACTACATTTTCCGGTGCTTGTGAACTTTCTTGGGTAATTTTGGTAACGTAAACGAATCTTTCATGAGACAAAATAAATTCGTATGTTCATTATTACTTATGCAATAATAGCCAATATCATTTCGATATATTTTCAGGCCAAGCAGCAAAGAAGCTGAGTGACGTTGATTACACTGCCATTGGCGTGGCGATTGGAATCTTTCTGTGTCTTTCTACGGTGATTCTTGTTTACTTGGTCCGGGGCCGAAAGCGTCTTCAAGAAGGAAAGTTAAGAACAATGACAACAATATCTCAATCAGTAACTGGGCATGTAAGTCGCCTTTAGATTCGTCTATTTATTTTACTTACGCTTTCCTGGGCGTACCTAAAACATCATGCTCATTGAGAAAGCAAATTATTTTGCAGTATACCTGCCTCGAATTCTGTCAAGAAACAGATTTTCTCAGATCTAGCCATTGTTAAGAGTATTAGGTTATCAAGCTTTCGAAAGAGGCACCTGCCGAGAAAATGAGTCATACGCGTAAGAGAAATAAGAATTGGTGATTTTGTGAGAGTGGCTTTGGCGTACTTGTGTGGGTCTCTCATGTCACTTGCATGCGCCAGTTTATCGAGAGCCTACAATGTATTATAACATTTACAGATACTACATACTAAGCTGTCAAATTCTATGCGTGCGCCTGTTTAATACGATGGTTTCTTCGAGCTGAAGGCGATTTCCATGTATGGGACGAATAGAAATACGATATTCATATCAAATTAAAAATCAGTTATACTTATGACTACGACACGATATCTGTTTATTCGCACTCAGAATGTTGTGACAAATTCTCTTTTTGTTTTCCTTTTTATATATATGTAGGACAATGCTGCTGTCGAAGAAGGAGTGAACACAAGTGCTGGAATCACCCTTAATACTCTAACTGATCAGAGCCCTTCTAATAAGGACTCTAAGCTGTAAAGCTTGCGTCTTAGAAAGTCGCCCGTCACCACCGTCCTCCTCGGCTTGCGTATTCCTGCCTGCTTCCTTACAGCTGATAGCAGACTATTTAAGCTTTTTTTGTAAGACGCATGGTGAATAGTTCCACTTTAGGACCTCTTCAGCCTGACAAATACCCTGGTATGCAATGGTGGAGGGGTTTATATCCGAGCTGATAAAAACTTTGAAATTATTTTATGGAGAAGAGCAGGTTAGAGTACTGAGGCCCAGTCTTTTTATCCTCTCATCACTTGAACAAAAAATCGAGTGGAACCTGTGTATTGTGGTTTTATTTACAGTCCGAGATGTTCTTCTCCTCGAATTTCAATTTCAAAATTTTCTCAAAATGCACGCGGGATGTGGGATTGGCTACAGGAGTCTATAAGGAATAACGCTTGATGCTGTTCATCATGGAATGAGCAGATAGCCTTACGAATTAAAGAGACGCGCCCTTATCACGAAAAACCATGCATTGTATAAGGAAAAGATTTATAAAAAGGTTCAACTTTTTCTTCTTGCTCTTCCCTTGTGCAGTTTGATAGCTTGTAATGAAGTATGACAAAAAGACAACAACAATAACGACACGCTTTGTTTACATGGCTATAACAGGATATTAAAGTGTTTCAGAACAATTAGAATTTAACTATTGTCAAAGGAAAGGAAAAAGAAATTTTAAGGGAATTATTTTTATTATTAAATATTTTTGCTGCAATTAGTTGGCCTCTTATTTCAAAGTAAGGTGAGATGAATGATTATCAGAGAGTACCTCGTTAAAAGTTGTCCTTCAATAAAATTTTGAACTCTTCTTTAGAGAAGAATATCTGCTGTAGACAAATACCTAGGACAATCTAATGAGATGGGAGGTTCATCTTCAACTTTGTTGCAATTACAAGCACATTTGTCGTAAACGCTTATGCCAACGCCCAAATTTTATGCTACAAACATTGAAAAGACTATCATGTGGGGTTACGATTTTGGTGAAACTTAATAAGTTTCCCACGCGACCCCGAGCCCCCCACTTCGTACTCGAAGAAGTGCCCCCTCCCCCCTCCCTCGTCTCATCATGAATTTGCGCAAATATTTGAGGTTGAGAACGTCTTTATTTTACTCTCTTTTTTTCGGTGGTGAGAAGTATGAATTAAGGTAAAAGAAATGTATAACTGTGGTCTAACATAACAATCAACTCAATTACTTAAGGACTTTTTTTAGCATTCCCATTACGGTTTTCTCATTGCGCGATTCACTGAGGAACAACTCAGTCTGTAGTCGAACTTAGTGTGAACTGCTAAAACTTCTAAGAACTTCTAAAAAGTTCATGGAAGAAAGCTCATTACAAATCGCTGAACAGTCATTATTTAGAGGTTTCTTTTTCACCTCCGAGTGGACTGAAATAACATATTATACCAGACAGCTTTAAGAACATGTTAAGAACGTTTCAGGCTAAAGTCGCAAAAAAGAAAAAATACAAGAACTTTCAGTCACTACCCCAAAATTAGATGTTCTCGTAAAAAACATAAATAAATAGATAAAAAGAGTGCGTACCGGCGTCTGCTCTGAGAAATCACTTATGGGGCTCCTGTCGTAAGTAAAGTTAACCCTTTTACTAGAAGTGATTAACATGAAACTTCTCCCTATAATACCCATGCATTATCCAGCAAACAGGTAATGAGAATACTCAAACTTATAAGGTAGAAGTTGTTGTCATGATCTAACACCAATTTCTCGTAACTAGCTTGCAAAGAAATGTGTAGTAGCTAGAGAGAAGAATTATAATCAGCCATTGGGAGTTGAAGAGTTGAAGAGTTAAGACTTGTTACACTCACAAGGAAGGAAGAATGTGTTTCCGGTTTTTTCTAGTTCAGTCCCTAAATCCAGTTCAGTTTGACGGGCTATAATGAAGAGGAATATTTTTATTTTTCAGCAAAGTTCCATCTTTTGCTTTGGTGGCCTCTGTGCAACCTTACGGGAGCCCCTTACGTTTTCGTTCATCTCCCCCATAGAAATTATTGTTATCTCCAAATCGAGGCTACCGGGAAAACGCATGGCGAACATAGTTCTTAGATAATCAATATGGCGGCCGAGATTTTCGGAGTCAGAGAAGACAGAAAGCGAGAGTCGAGGAAGGAGGAAGAAGACGATGAATCGTCAGATAGGTATACCCAATGATAAAATGAATAATTTGCGAATTATTTTGAGTTCTTTTTAGCAATTTCTCTCTTTCTTACAACTTGTACAGTGATTCAGAAGAAGGAACCCGTGTTGTGAAGGACGAAAAGACAACATCTGAGCGTAAGCATGATCACAAGAAAAAGAAGAAAAAGCATAAACACAAACACAAGAGTCATAAGCACAAGCATAAACACCACAAGAGAAGAGACAAGGATCACGCTCCTGAAAACGGCGAACCTGCCGAGAAAAAGTCTAAAATTGCAGACGAACTTTTGGAACTCGAGAAAAGGAAAGCGTTTTTACAGGAACAGCTGGCAGAAGCTTCTCGAATTAATGAGAAACAATCAGCAGGAAATCATAGAATTCCGGTGACTAAGACAGATGATGAAGGTAAAGACAAGCATAGAGACAGACAAAAAAGGGAGGATCATGAACTTGACAGAAAGCATAAGGTGATTGAAGCGAGAGACTTTGATGGCCAAGAAAAACAAAAGGGAAGACGGAAAAGCCCAAGAAGAGAAAGTGATGGAAGAGAGGATGGCAAGGAAAATAGTAAGCCAAGCACTGATTTTGTCAGAGATGAAAAATTGAACAATCACTCACACAGTCACAGTTCTAGAAGACATAGTGGTTCTTATGATAGCAAAACGGAATCAAAAGTCAGGCATGATTCAAGTGTAAAAAGTAATGATGCTGAAAAGGAAAAATCTGCTGCTCCAAGGAGAGATTCAACAAAAACTGATGCAAGCAGAAAAGACAGTGAAACAAAATCAGGATCACTCAGACATCATTCAAAATCTAGATCACCAAAAAGAAGTTCTGTGTCTGACAAGGAACAAAAATCAAGAGAGAGACCAAGAAAGTCAGGTAGTAGGTCCCCAAGGAGAACTTTATCCAAGGAAAGGAAAAGTAAACAGGATTTAAGCAGAAGAAGTAGCAGATCTCCTAGACGACAGAGAAGGTCATCCTCTAGATCACATAGACACAGCAAGTCACCAAAGAGAAGAAGCAGATCTCCAAGACGTCGCAGTCGCTCACCAAGGAGGAGGAGTAAATCTCCTGGACGGCGCAGCAGGTCTCGGTCACCTCGGCGGAAAAGACGTGACAATGATAAATTCAAGGGAAGTTACTCTGAGGGGCAAGGTCATAAGGGGGATTCAGATCCAGAGTAAGTGTTATTTTCTTTTTGTTAGTCACAGGAATTAAAAAATTTTGAACCAGGTTTACATGAATGGCAAATGGCAAGAAATAAACTTAAAGAGGCTCCATAAGGTTTTTTGACAGCGCGAGATCTGGGTGCAAACATAAAGCAAGCTTTAAAAGTGTCAACAAGCAAAACAAACATGGCAGCTTGATATGATCTTATGATTGTTATCTGAAAAGGTGAGTTAAAACAGGGTTTCTAGGGTTTCCAGCAACTGCACCCATAATATTCATAGATCTTACAAGCCTGAAAAAGAGGTCAACCAATTAGAAAACACAGTGGGAAAGATTACCAAAAGACAACAGATTTGAAAGTTTACGCCTGCTCAGTTGTAGTTCATGGCAAAGTTTTATTCCATAATGTTTTGCAACAGAGAATATAGGGATCTTTGGAGCAAGATTTGTCTCATTTCCATCTGCAGAATTCCCTTAGATTTGCTGGACCGTTAAACATAATATTTTTTGTGTCCTTCTTAGTGCTCGTGTATTAAAAAAAATTTCTTACACCAAATTTGAGATACAGGAAGAAAACACAAACTTGCAAGTGGTAAGGAAACTGCCTTTGTAACTCCTTCTTTTTTGGCCTTTAAATGATTGGCAGGACAAATTTCACAAATTTTGAGAGATTTCACTGAAGCACATTGAAGTAAATCACAAGCAAAGTCAAATTATCACTGGCAAGGGCCTCCATTTGTAGAGCCTTAGCTTAATCACAAAAATCGTTTTGGTAATTTTTAATACAGCATATCATTGTCCAAACCTTGCTCATTGCTTTTTGATGGCTTTTAGTGACCTTGAAGGGCAAAAACGTAAGAATTTTCTAGAAAGCGCTAGGCTGGTACGCGGGTGCCAACATTGAGCAAAAGCCTTAAAGAGCCTCCTTAAGCTTTCTGCTTTTCAGCAGTGTGTGCAGTCTGCTCTCTTGTACAAGAACAAGATTTATATTTATTCAGAATATATTTTCAAAATTTTTGTGATGGTTTTTCAAAAACTGATAAGATTGAAAAGAAGTTCCCTCTGCACTTAAATTCAAATTTCCTTTTATAAATTATAGTGTTGACCTCTACAACTTTGAGATGGATGACAAGGAAGAAGATGAAGATGCGATTATTGAGAAAAGAAGGCTGCAGAGATTAGCCATCTTGAAAAAGTACCAAGGCAGTGGCATTTCATCAAATGCTCCGTCCACTGCCAACTCAGTTGTGTCTCAGTCTCCACCTGGAGAGAGATCAGACAGTGAAGACAGTGACACTGTAGAAAAACAAGCCACTGAAGATTTAGAACAGGAAATAGCATTGGCAAGTAGCAAAACAGAGAAGGAGCTGAGAGATGTAAAGGACAACATGGAGACAAAAGAAGAAAGTGAAACAAAATCTGCTGTGGGGGACATGTTTGCTGATGATGATATGTTCTCTGATAATTACAGTGTAAGTTTACCTCAGGAAACATCTAACCCTTTAACTCCAAACTAGAAGTGATTTGCATGAATTTTTACCACATTATCCCACAGACCAGTAATTATAATAGACAAATCTATTACTTGCATAAGAAAGAAGTTCTGCAATTTCAGCTTAAAATAAACATTATCAAGGAGTGATACTGACTAATTTTTTTACATTAAGAACACCACTGCAAGATTGGATCAATGGTTTTTAAAACATTGTATGTCAAAAATTAAATTTTGTTTTGACAATTTAAAGGTTAAACAATTGCAACAACAATCTCTCAGTGCTTACATTTGTCACTAGCACAACAGTTTGGTCAAATCTAAGTATGCAGTTAGTGATCTGATTCTTAACCAATTACACTGTGACTTTTGTTATAATTTCAGAGTCCTGCAAGGACTTTAAAGCTTGAGGCAGGAAAGGAAAATCCTAACCTCACAGACAACTGGGATGATGCTGAGGGATATTACAGTAAGATTACTTGTTGTTCTGATATCAATTAGATGTGCGAAAAACCACTTGTGAATTGGTTACTCTTGTTTTCTGCTTGTTTGTTTGCTTGATTTTGCTTCAAGTTCATTTTTTTCCTTCTGATGGAGTCTAATATGGTCAAATTTTAGATGATGCACAATGGGTATCTCTTAAATGCATAGTGCTATGCTATTACATGGAAGACATGTTTATGTATACATCAAATCTTGATAGTGTTGATTTTTGCTCTTCAGGAATTCGTATCAGTGAAATTCTCGACAAGCGCTACTGTGTTTATGGTTACACTGGAGCAGGGGTGTTTGGAAATGTTGTACGTGCAAGAGATCAAGCAAGAGGAAACCAAGAAGTGGCAGTGAAAATAGCCAGGAATAATGAGATGATGTAAGTAACAAGATAGCTCTGCACTCAATGATGCTCTCAAAGTGCATTACTGCACTGTAACATAGTGGGTGTTTACAGTGTACATGTACCTAACTTTTGCCAGGAGACTGATTTCCTGTTGCCACTCAAACATACATTGCTCACCTATACCACCTCCAGTGATTACTGATATTGCAAATCTTCAGCACATGGACAATAACTGTTAGTGCTCAAAGCTTAATTTTTTTAATTTCACCTTTTGGCAACCCAAAATTATTAACTGGTTACCAGAGATGAAATATTGGCTGCTACAATGTGGGGGAAAAAAACAAAATAAAACAAAACAAAACAATTTACTATGCACATGTATTAAGAGTGAGCAGCATGACTCCACCATTTTTCTTATTACTATAATAAGAATAAGAAGTATTATCATAATATTTATTTCTATAATTATTAAATTATATATTATTCAAGAATTCTCTGGCCTGGGTGACTGGTTGTAATTTTGGTACAGGTAGATTAAGTGCCTTAAATCTAAAAGTCATTAACAGTTCATTCACACCAGCAAAATATGTTTAGTTAAATCAGGTTTAACTGAATGAAAACCAGAAACAGAGGACTGGAAAACTGAATTTTCTGTATGATTCAAGTAATCATTGGCATGTATTTTCAACGTTTACTTGAAAACAAAAAAAAACATTGGTTTAAACAGTGTTAAAGTGTTAAACAAAATACCTGTAAAACTTGTTTAAGCTTTGGTGTTAATGGGTTATAAGACCCTATCACATGTACCTACTACTTGTAAGAGTACCGTGTACAGCCTGCTGACTTAATTTACATGTATCTCATCTCTATCTAAACCACAGGCACAAGACTGGCTTAAAGGAGCTTGAATTTCTGAAGAAGCTGAATGCAGCTGACCCAGATGACAAGTATCACTGTCTGCAATTATATCGACATTTCTTTCACAAGAATCATCTGTGTCTTGTATTTGAATCTCTGAGGTACATGTAGGTTTGTTTTTGAAGTTTACCATTAAACTCAGTAGTCAGCTCTTTGGTTGAGAGGTTTATGTTGTTTATACACAATAGCTTCCTTTTGGTAGGAAGATAAATTTGCAGATTTGTCAGGGGACATTAACTGTTGAAGAGCTGAACAGTTTTTTCAAATGTGAGGCCAAAGACAATGCACAAGGACAATTATATTAGCAAATTTTTACACCAAATAGAGGTTGATTTGTTTAGTATCCTTCAAATAATTTTGCAGTGTGCAGAACAGACTTTACAAACAGCTTACTGTCAAAAACATATACTAAATAAATGTAGAGGTTGACTTTTCTGTTCTGTTGTTTTCATGTTAATTCCATTCAGTATGAACCTCAGAGAGGTTCTACGGAAATATGGTCAGAATGTGGGACTTCACTACAAAGCTGTCCGTTCATATAGTCAGCAATTATTCCTAGCCCTGAAGCTTTTAAAGAAGACAGGTATAATCCATGCAGACATTAAACCTGATAACATTCTGGTAAGTAACTATTTTATGGCCAATGAACAGAACATAGAAAATGGCCACTCTGTGAGCTTTGGCTGAGAGGCAGGATATGAAAAGGAAGTGTAAAAATTTTTCTCTCCTTTGAAATGCGCCTTCTTCTAATCACACTGATTGACATGCCTTGTACTTTGATAAGAAATAAGTGAATTATTTGCAAGCAAAATATCTTCATGCATTGTGTAAAATTTTGAATTTTGAGACATCCATGTACATGTACTTAAGGGAAGGCACTTATTTGGAACAGGGCGCTTATAAGGGACAGGGTGCATATTTCTTTTCCTAGAAATGACAAAATGTAAGGGGGGCACTTATTAGAACAAGGGGGTGTAATCAAGTCACTGCAGTAACAATTATACAGTGAATGTTCATTTAACAGTGGTCACAGGGATGTTGAAAATCACATATCAATATCAGTATCTGGGCAACTGCCCACCTACCCCTCCCCTAACCCAACATTAACCCTAACTTGTTATCAATTGACTGCTGTTGGGTTAGGGAAGGGGTTGGTGGGCAGTTGCCCAGATACTGATATTGATCCAACATCACGTTTCATCACATGGAAGTAAAAGTTGAGGGACTCGGGTGAAGAGCACAATTTTTTTTGCAAGCAATTAAGGAAGATGACCATAATTGATCATAATGTGCTTGTACTCTTATAGGGTTCTAACAGTGCTTATTGGTACAGGGGATGCTCTTTGGTATGAGAGTGCTTACGCAGTAGGGGCACTTTACAACAAAAAGAAATTCAAGGGGGGTGCTTATTAGAACAAGGGGGCATAATTAAGACACTGCAGTAAATTTTATTCGTTTTTCTCACAGGTGAATGAATCAAAACTGGTTGTAAAGCTCTGTGATTTTGGATCAGCTTCATTTTCCTCTGATTGTGATATAACTCCATACCTTGTTAGTCGTTTTTATCGAGCCCCAGAGATAAGTAAGTTTTAATGAAATAAAGGAGAAATGTTTTCACCCATTTCTCCCCTGATCTGATTGCTAATTTTCACTTCTAGTTACTGTGCATTTGCATTTAAACTTCTGAACCCAGGGCCCAGTTGTTTGAAGGCCAATTAGCATTAACACAGGGTTTCAATTTTCATCCAGGTTTCTTTATTTCATTGTTCAAAAGCCTTTTGGGGAAAATTTTCCTTGTTCCTTTTAGAAAATCCAATGATTAACTTGCATGCAGGAAGATTTGAACTAAATTTTCCTTATAAAGTTTTCAGAGCTGAACACTAACCCTGGGTTATCTTAACCCAGCTTTGAACAACCTGAGCTAGGTGTTCAAGGCAGATAACACTATGCAATGGATAAATCGCTATCCAGCAGTTGAGTGTAATTAAAATGTAGCAGATAGTATTATACCCTTCAAACAAATGGGTCCTGGTGTTGTACCCATATATACAATTGGACAGGTTAGAGGGTGTACTCTTATCACTTGTTTGATTGATGAGGGTTTTTTTTTCATATTTGTACTTTATGTTAAATAACATGCATGTATCTGATGGAAAGAACCTAGAGCAAGTTTGACACAAATAGAGGAAAAAAAGAAAAGTGTACAATGCTGCTCTTCCTACATAGGGTGAAGTGTATTCATAATTCTTTGAGGATTACAATTTGCACATGCTAGACTCAATATTGTTAGTCCAACCTACTTTGTGTGAGTCTAATACATAGCTGCACTTTTCTCTTCCTCATACATGTAGGCAATCCTGCAATGTTATAGGAAACATTTTTGCAATGTACCTCTCAAAATTATGCTGTGTAGACAAAAACACATGCACTTGTCAACAACTATAAAATTATTATACACAGTTTTCATTATAAAATTATAATTTTTAAATTTCCTTTCGCTCTCAGTTATAGGTGCAAAGTATGACTACAGTATAGACATGTGGTCTGTAGCAACGACATTATTTGAGCTTTACACGGGAAAGATTATGTTCCCTGGGAAGACCAACAATGAAATGCTGAAGCTTATGATGGATTACAAAGGGAAAATGCCTAACAAGATGATTAGAAAAGGATCACTCAGAGATCAACACTTTGATGAAAACTGCAACTTCCTTTATCATGAGGTGGACAAGGTCACTCAAAGGGTAAGAGTAAAGTAGCTGGCTACAATTTGAAGACACCCACATGTACATGTCACATTTATTGTGACAAGATTGTGTCAACTTCTCCTCAACAATTATTAACCAGCCAACTATTAACCAGCCGCTTTATGGTGAGAACTAAATGTAAATACTTCTACTACAACATGAACTGCTTAAATTTTTAAGGGTCATATTATTTTATAGAATGTGATTCGATCAATTATGTCCTTGGTTTTAAATCTCATTTTTCTTTGTGTTGTAAAGCATTATTAAGAAAATATCATAGCACACCCCTAGCTACATGTATTGGATTATGGATCATTAGGAAAATAGCAACAGAAGATTATCATATACGTACATGTAATGATACATACAGTAATCATTTGACTTTTTACCATTGTAAACAACCATTTTTGATAATTGATTCTATGCAACTGTAACTTTTTTTCTGTTTGTCAAACACACTAGGAAAAGGTTACAGTGATGGGAGCCATCAACCCCAACAAAGAAGTGGTTGAGTCTCTACTGGGCTACAAAAAACTGAATGAGGAACATAAACGTAAAGTCATGCAGCTAAAGGATCTGCTCGACAAATGCCTCATGTTGGACCCAGTCAAAAGGATCTCTCTCAATCAGGCTCTCACACATCCTTTCATCACCGAAAAGGTTTGAGCCGATGAACGCTGTACATAAGACTTCATCTCTCTTTTGTTCATGAATCCATCATGTACTCTTAACAATTTATGACACTTTTCAAGATGAGTTTCATTTGGTAGACATTAGTACTTATTTAATGGCTGAGTTATTTTTTCATGAGTCTTTTCTTTTATGTACATTGCTCAGACTGGATAATGATGAAAATACTGCAAGCTGTTAAACTTGTTTAAGCCATTAAGGGAATTTTAGTATATACATATTGTGACGTGGAAAAGTTCCTGCATCTTTCAGTGCTACGTGTAGTAATATTAGCTCCGATGCCTTCCTGGCTCAACGAGTTAGTGTGAATATGAGTAGAAAGAAAAGTTTACCTTCTTCACCTTGGAAGGTTCAACTTCTTCCTATTCTGAATGTTATGGGGGTTACGAGGCATTTTAGCTATGAAAAAGAATAGATTTGTCTGTCTCTATCGTAGACCAAGGGGATTGTTGGTGTTCTTGATAAAAGTTGATTGCACTTTCTTATTGTTTGTTAATAAAACATTGTGATGTTTTAAGTTTGTTGTTACTAGAGTAATTTATTGACTTTGATAAACTGATTAAAATAAAGAAAAAAGAGTGCGGAACATTGGCAGATGTTGTCATGTTTCTCACAATTTTGATTTGATTAATTCAAGAGTGGGATGTTTGTTAATGTCGTTAATTGTTCACTGAATTTTAAGTTACATCTATTTGAGGCTAAGACCTTGTAAAGTCTCTTTGATAGGATGTCAGGGAACGAGTTGAGAAGAAGTGAAATACATTTATACTTAGCGCAATGTTTTTCTCTTTCCCATTTTAGAAGGAGTTGCATGTTAATCGGTTTACATGTAACCTCGATCGTAAAATTAATAATTTTGTTTTTTTCTCACGTTGCTGACGATTTTTTTTACCTTATTTGTCGCTGCTAGGTTTTGAGCGCGGAAATAGGCTATAGGTTCATATCCTGCCTCCTTTCAGCCAGTTAGAAGGCTGGGAATTCAATAACTGCGTTCCAATTTTTACTAGTAACTGAGAATAACATGCACATTCCATAAACATAAACATTCTGCACTCAATAGGATCTATCCTAAAAGTTCTAATGTGAATGTCAGTGTTTGATGGTGCCTATCAAGTTAACCTACTCGAAATTTGTTTCTTTAAATACATGGTGTGTATTTCATCAAAATTTATGCTGACTGTTTTATCATTTTATAGTTTTTCTTACAGGAGGTACCTTAGTGCGAGTCGGCAACCATTCCAAAGAGTAGAAATACATGTAAATTGTACTGTATTTCTCCAGTATTTAGGGTAATGCAATTCTTGACAATGATTTGTGATGCTCGATCATTGAATTCTTATATTCTGTAAACGCTCTGATACTTATCAAAATACAAGTCCCAATCTTACCTCTGTCCACCAGTTAGACTAAAGCAGGATTTTTATAGACCCATTTCAGGTCTGTGCAAGTTAGTACGAGTTAAAATGAGTGAACTGTGTAAAGCGCGGGAAAACGTGAGTGATTAAGTCGCGATTGGTTTTAGATTCGAATCTGACTGGTTGAGAAAAAGGCGCGAGTTTTCGGGACTAATCGTAAAGCGAATTAAAGCAAAACTAAAGCGAACCCGGATTACTCTGACACTCAATTGAACATTACTTTATGCTGCTGAAACCGGGTTTAACTCCGGCAGTTTTGAGACAGTTGGCTGGTAGACAGCCGATTTTGACTTCTCGGTATTTTTGCTAAATTGTAACATAATGTGCGCTATGTTATTGTACTTTCATTGCTAACGATGTCTTCTCTTACATATTGCCTTTATGCTGGTTGTGCCAATGAATCCATCCTTCGCAGTTATTTGGTGAAATGGATGAAACAGATGTTACCATCTGAATCAGAGGTATTACTGACTGATAACGCAGACAAGATTGGCAGAAGAAAACTTGTGTCTAATCAAAATTTCACGGTTCTCTCGGGTTTGCAGTAGTTGCTTTTCAGTTCTGTGAAGGCCAAGAACAGGGCTTTTTTTTCTTCTTGGAGTGTTTTTCATTAGTTTTCTTAATTAGACTGCGATCCATGGTCGTGACTGTGGTACAAATATCTTAAGATTAACGGAATCTAGCACAAATCTTAAAGTAGCAACATTTTATGAGAAACAATGATGAAAATTTTAGTGTCAGGAACTTGAATTCAACTTTCTCTCAAATTTCGTAGTCCGTAATGTTTTTACAGCTATTTATTTTTTGCAACTTGGTTTCCCATCAAATTTTTTTATTTTCCAATACAGGTGGTAGCGGTCAGTCTCTTGTAACCAAAGGTACTGTGGAAATTCTTTAATTGTTCACAATGATAAAATGTAGATTCGACTTTGATAACGGCGGAGATATTCGGGTACCGCCACAAGGTATCCATAGCAGCGAGACTCAGAATAGCTAGACTTCGAACAGTCCCTGTTTTTCGGCGAAGTTTGCCGCCCGCAAAGAAAAAAGTCGGTGAAAAAAAATTGTTGTTAGCGCCTAAAGCGTAACAGACCTTACCGCCAAGGACTGCTCATAATCTACTGAATAGCGGAAGGTGATGAAATTGACCCATTGCTCGGTTTTAAAATGTAGAGGTATACTCCTTCAAGATAGCTGTAGTCCATTTTCACTCATTTTTCGAGGACGTTTACCTTGATTCATACATCATACATCATACATCAATGTGAAATATAGGTCGAAGTAGCGGAAAATCGCTAACATTATGGGACAACACAAAAAAGGTTTGTCCATTATCGAACTTCTCCGTCGTAAGGAGAGTAGAACGATGCAATTGGCAGTTTAGGTCGCAGTTTTTTTATCGGTACCTGCTTCCACACTTTTCTTTGTAGATTTGGCCGGGGATTTAGCTACTGTTCGTAGTAAAGTAGGTTCGTAACGGCTGGGTGTCCTAAAAATGTGTCTCGACATGGCACACGAGGAGGCCTGATGTTATTGTGCTTGAGTCAACTGGACCGAGTGGTCTGGTATAGAGCCCTTAACAGGGTCTCTGTATTTTGTTCTTGGCCAATCAACGTGTTACAGAAGCCGGGTTCTGCTCCGTGGGGTGTGCCTTTCTTTTTAGTTTTATGTCAATTGTTTTACTGTTCGTGTGTTAGTATCATCGATAATGACAACCGTAGAATATTACATATTTTCAGAAGAGTTTGTGAGTATTTTAGTCTCGAACCGGTTATTCTAGTCACTCACATGCGTTTTCTTTTCCTAGGTATGTTTTGACAGCTCTTCTTTAAACTGGCATACAACCCCTGTATTTGCTTCTTAGTTTTTGCAGAGACACTTACCCCCGATACCTTATTTGCGTTTCTTTCACGTTAGCAAAACAACGTTAGAGATTTCGTCAGGGAATCCTATATAGAGCTTCGCTCTCCTAAGAAAAACCTTAAGAGAACCATAGCGAAACTCGTTGAATTACTGAATTTTACAAACGGTCAAGTGCCGCACCCTTCCGTAAAACTCTTCAGCGCCGTATCAAATTTGCCGTAGTATGAAGCATTGTCCATGAGCCAGCTTTAGTGGTACCCTTAGTGACGTGATATGCACAGCTTTCAACGTAGGAACGACTTTCATCAGATTGGAATTTCTGTTTTCATTGACTTTTGTTATCTGCATATGCTTCAATGGATTAAATCTACCGTGTTCATCAATATTTTTACCCAGCAGAGTGAAGAATTTTCCATGTGTTATTGATCGTACGATCGAATAGTCTTGGACATTGCGCGAGCTTTTAATCCTTTAACCCCTAAGAGTATCTAGCATCCAATTTCTTCCTACAGTATCAGCCTTGAATCAAACATTAAGGCCAGGAGAATAAGGGAAATGATCAACAACTGAAGTAGTTCTTGATTGTTAAACAACCTCTCTCCTTGTCACCACCTTTGAAAATGTACAGAGGCTAGTATAGAGAATATGCATACTGATGTTAGGGTGAAAAGGGTTAGGAATACGCACCTAAAGAAAATCATACGACTTGAAAGGACATTTGACTTAACAGTGTCAGAGGAAGCTACTAAAGATAGCAGATCCACAATTAAAAAAATTAAGTTTCCGCTTAAGGGATTTTTATTTAATTCAAAACTGCACAAAATTTAGTTGTCAAATTACGATAAAGCACTATGCACTTTTTTCAGTTTGATATAAATAGGCTTAAGGAATCCTAACTTACTTCTCAAAAAGATCAAAGTGATTACAATTGTTGCTACTATTTCTACTTTAGACTAGATACTATTTGCTGCTGTGATTGGTTAAATAAATTGCAATACACAAAGTCTTGTCATGCACTGTTAAATGGTATTTTGAGAAAGTTTTCCATTGGGAAAGCCTTCCGTGCCTCCTTTTTTTCTGGAAAGATATCAATTTATGTATTCAGCTCAATTTTCAGTATAAAAGTGGATTACTTGGTTAAATGGGAATTACTTTCAGCGGAAACTGAGAATACATGTAGTTTTTAACCCCTTGCTTTGTATCGAAATCAGTAGATACAAGAGAGAAGCACGGCAAAAAGAATTGTTACCAGCCCAAGGCTGTACGATGCCAGTTTGTTAGGAGAGCTGGAGGGTACATCTTGGCACACCGGCTCAGGCTTCAAAGGAGTGTCGATTTTTGGCTTGTCCACTACTTTCCAACCGAGACCCTGTGAAAAGAATGTTTGGCAAAGTCATCGCTGTTCCATTTTGTCTTTGCAAAAGAACAGGGCTGTTCCTTTTCTGTCCCCACTAAAAGTTATCAGTGTAAGTTTTGAATAAATGCTGGTTGGTTGGATGGGTGTGGGGACCTGTGTGCTCCATTCCCCCGAATTATTCACAAGGCCATCAAATGATTAGGAAATTTAAGTTATACCCACCGGCAGGTCCTTTCCGTCAACACCACTGCAGTGAGCATTTATAGCGTTGGTGTCTCGATAACTGGCTCGCAGTCCGGGAGTCCACTTATCGTTCCACAGAGAGTTGTTTTTTGCGGGATGTTGCCTACATGGATTCATGAAAGATGAGAAACACTAACTTATATGCTTACAGTAAATCGTTTTAACGTGGGACTTAAAGTCGATCATGTGCGATCGTCCGGATGAGGGGTATTCCCGAAAGGGGCTTTGCCGTTCTGAGAGCGACTTTCGCCTGTTTCGTGTTTGGAGTGAGGGCCTATTTCCCAAACAGCGGCGGGAACACAGCGGTCAAACGAAAGCTATACATATGGGCACCGCCTATTTTTTGCCAGGCTCGCGTTAGTTTCCAGCGCAAAACTTTAAAGGAAATTATGAAAAGAGAACGCTGACACATACAATCTATGAAGATAAATTGAACTATTAATGGATAATTATTAAAACAAGAGTGAGGAAAGGAAAACTTCCCGAGCTCAAAGGGTAAGGATAAGGGTATCCCATTGATTAAATAATTAGTTTCGAACTTAAACAAACAAAAAGTCTACACGCCTTCAAAACACCGCGACTAACTAGTTTGGGAGGTTGTTTACCATGAAAGTGGTATGTCAGACCGCCTCCCTAGATTTAATGTGTTTCAATCTTCGCACACGCGCAGACGTTTTACCACTAAACTGTTATCGAGCTAAGTAATCACATGACCAACTTCTTGTTTGTCGTTTGTAACAGGTCTCGTTCGTGAAAACTGATTGGTCAATTTTACCGTGAGGACGTTGGTTGTCAGACTCGACGGGAGCAATGAACCTCTGATAAACACCATTACAATGGAACACTCGACACCAGTTTCTCATGATTCGATAGTATTAGCTCGGCGCTAATTACGATGTTTAAAAGATGATACTTACGAGTAGTGTGATTGATACCAATTTTGCACAGCTGGACACTGGCACGATAAGCAGTTAGACAAATTAATTTTAGGATAGTAGTAATGAAAGGATAGGCACATCTCTTCGGTCGTTCCCAGACCGCCCTGGAAAAAAACAAAACAAGCAAATATTAAAAAAGTGTCTGGCGCGAGAGAGGCACGACGTTTGAATAGCTGCCGAGCAAGAGCATTATTCAGTATGATGAGGAACGTACGATGAAGCTCGGCACGGCAGAAGCACAACATCTGAACTGGATAAATCTCCTCGGTAAATTGCGCGCAAATAACTGTGGGAAAGCCATCCTTGATATAACCAACAGCGTAGACATTTTTTATTTGGGCGGTAAGGGAATATTGGAGATCAACGTGGATGCATTTTTTCATTTCTTCACGGACTTGAGTGTCTTATTTGACACCGTCCATTGGTAATTTTCCGGGAGCTTAGTGAGCGGACTGTGCTGACTGTTCACGGAGTGCACTCTACTCATGATTCACAGATCGGTTTTCAAGTGAATCGCGATTAACGAAAAACACAAATGGCGGAACAAGGGGTCACGGAAATAACCTTAACCCCTTCCTTCCCTATCTTTTACTTCTCCAGTGATAAGAAATCATTTCACTCGTGCGCTTAGGAATCACGGCTATCTGTCAAGAAACAAAAGCTTTGATCCTTCTCAATGAGACTTAGCTCTGGTAACAGATTGTTCGTTCTCAAACTGGAGCTTACAAGTTATAAAGAAGTTTAAAAAAGAGACGTACGGATTTTGGATGGTCCTTTGTATGATATTTGCACCCAGTTATCAAAGTGTCTCCCTGAAAAGAATAATAAAAATAAAAGAAAGAAAAGGAAACGTGAGTAATTTATAAGAGACGATAAGGAAGGAATGTAAGATCAGAACTGTAATTATCAGTCTTCTGAACATCAGCAGAAAGAACAATCGATCTCACGATCGTGGGCGAACAAATGACTAAAAGTTATCATCTTCATTTACATCATCAACAAACAAGAAAAGTGTACACTTCATCATAGCACACCACTGTAGGAACCTTTCCGAGGAAAATGTAAACACTCTGGTCATAAGTTGTGGGGACCTTCAGATTTCCACGTTAAAAGTGCGTTTTCCAGAAAATCCTAACCGGCTCTTGGAGGAGGCATCATTGTAAGGGCCCGAATACCGTAGATGTGGTCGCCAAAATGTTAGCGGATTCAGTAGTATCGGTGTGCAAGCGTTTAAAGGTCTCCACAGCAGGGTTTGGGTAAGAACACAGTTACACACACACAATATCGATTGGACGCACAATTGAAATATTAGCCACCCCTAGCACTGATCAAAATTCTTTCTTACCGGCATGACTGTGGTTTCCTCAGCTGGAATTTGGAACTCCTACAGTCATCAAGAGAAACAATTGGGAGAAACAAGGGCATTAATGAAACACTGAATTGACAAGAAATTTATGTGAATGAAACGATTGTCAAATTGTCAAAGTCTAGTTGCGAGTTTTTTCCCCTAGTTAATCATAACAAACTCACTTGAAAGTTGAAGTCATAGTTATCGTCTCTGATAATCTCTGGAAGTTCGACACCATCCCTGACATGCTTAGTGTACGCTGCATGACCTGCAAGAGGGAAGCGGGAATGAGACGCTGAGGGTGTGATCTTCGTTTATTTATACCTGGCCTTGTTATGAATATGTACAGTGATTCAGTGCATTGTGAGGCAAACAGAGTCATTTCAGTTTCTAGTGACTAGTTTTCAGCATTCAAGCAGACAACATTACATCATATGGGAAAAAAGAATGTGCTGGCTTAGTAGCTGACACTTACCAGCCAAATGCGTGTGGAGAGCAGAGGCAAATATTTTGATTCCTCCGCCGGATAAAGAGGATCCTTTCATACCCTGAGAAATAATATTTTATCATATTTTTATTATGTCTTGATACGCAACTCTAAGGCCTCACAGATTTGCGTAGATGGAAGGTTGAAGGGGGAGAGGGGAGGGTGGTGGCGGAAGTTAACAATAAAAAAAGAGTGAGGAAACCAATAAATGAAGCAAATCGTATTTTGTAGTACAAGGTAATTTGGTATTATCAACTGAGCTGATAACGTAAATTGGCCACCGCAAGGAGTTTCAAAGTTGACGTTTCGAACGTTAGCCCTTCGCCGTTACCTCTAACGAAGGGCTAACACTCGAAACGTCAGCTTTGAAACTCTTTACGGTAGCCAATTTACGTTATCAATTCAGTCGATAATACCAAATTACCATGTTATACTCTCCCACCGACGCTGCGCCACAGTTTCTTTACAAACTCACTCCCTTTGTTCATATTTTGTAGTAGCAGGAATAGTAACCTGAAAAATTATGCTCTGTTCGTGGATTTCTCTTGCCAAACAGTCCAAGAAGTTCAAGAAAGGCCTGTCGTACCAGTGTCAGACTCGCTGCCTTTCCGGACACAGCTTCAGGGGCGCATGCAGCACTGAACAGTTTTTCTTCATTTTTACTAACCTCTTTTGTACAATCTTCAACACAATAGCCTTGTGTTTCCCAACTTTCTTGATGAGGCGGAATGATCATATTTTTAGACACAAGCCATCCAACGGTCAAAATACCAGCTTGGTACTCTCTAACTTGACTTGTGTAATGAAAGCGCAAACCAGAACTGTCTAAAATGCCTGCAACGAAAAGGGAACGGCAGTGAGTTGAAGGCATTGAAAGGAAACAAACAGATACAAATGAAAAACTTTTTTTTTTCATTTCACAGATTACCTGTTTTTTGTAAAGGATTATCGTAATGCATTTCCATTACTACGATCTTTGGACTGTCATTTGTTCCAATGGAAAATCCCACGTGTTCAGGAAAATAAAAGGTCTGTGGATTCAGTTATCATCACATTTGTTAGTCACAGAGGAAGACATGTAACAAATGGTGCTTGCGATGATGGAGCCGTTTCATAACCCTATAACCCCTAGGAGTGATTAGCAACTATTTTCTCCTATCAGTATCACCCCTAAAGCAAACATAGAGGTCATGAGAATAAAGGAAATGATCACCAACTAAAGAAGCTCTTGATTGTTAAACAAATTCTCTTTGTGAATACCATAGGAAATGCATAGAGAGCAGTGTGGAGAAAATGAATACTGATGTTAGGGTGTAAAGGATTAATTGAGCTGTAGGGATTGTCTTAGTTTTAACATATTTTGCTCTGTGTTGGGTTTAAGAAAACAAACAAACAAACCACACCAAAACAAAAAACAAAACAAAAACAAAAACGAAAAAAAAAACGCAATGTATTCTTAATCAAGGTGGTGCAAAACTGCAACTTATCCCGATTTGGTCCGTCGCGTTTTCCCGCGCCCAAATAGTTTTCCGCGTTTTATAGTAGATTCCCGTTAGCTCCTTGAATAATTTCCCTTAACCCTTCAAATCCGCTAGAGACCAAGACAAAACTTCTCTTTATATTATCAGTACAATATCAAGCAGACAAGTAATAAGAATAAAGAGAAATATCAATTGGAGGATTATTGGTTGATCCAATTCCAAATTCTCCAAACTCACATCATATGAATTGTATCACAGACAGTAAGGAGAATTACTAATGAGATCTTGGGAGTTAAAGGTTAATTGTTCCGATTGGCCGCTGAGGTTACTTGTTTGAAATATACCCTCACGCAAGAAGTGATGAGAAAATTTTCCGGCAGCCCCACACCCCTAATAAGAAGCACCCTCGATTCAAAATTTTTAGGACTTTCCTCATACCTATCTAACATCTTCTAACATGGGTTATTGAGCGGAAACTCTATAGCTTAAATGTTTTGTAAGGAGACACAAACCTCGCCTCCAATCGCCCAGGCGGCAATGGTGGAAGGTCCAGTACAACTTTTCACAGCAGGAGGCATGTCAGGGGAATTACCCACTCCTTCATAGCTGAGATTGCTCGAAGGGAAATTGTTGTGATCACACTGGTAAAGTAATATATGGTGAACAATTCCTTCATTACCTTCTTGGATAACAGGTTCGATCTGAGAAGGAAATCGGAGAGAAACAACTTAAACTTCAAACTTGACCAGCCCAGTTTGATCAATGGCAATGAAGATTATTCGCTTTTTCATCTGACAATGGTTCCAAAAGAAATTTGCATGCCCAGTAGAATTTATTTTGTTAAGTCTAAGTATTAATGAAAAGTGTTGGTGACCAACCCTCTCTCGAGCATTAATCGTGGAACTTTCCACAAGCAATTTCTTCTCCACGTCCCTCCTAAATTTGAAGGGAAAATCAAGATTCCTAAACCAAATTGGTTCCAATAACTCACATAGACCGTATTTTCATCGAAATTGTTCATCGAAATTGTTTATAAGCATTGTTTCTAGACATTGCTCCCAGGCTCTGGGAACGAAGTCATGTTTTTCTTAGCTATTTCAAAGCCTTTTCAACGGTATTAAAATATATGCGTAGAGACAATCAAACAGTACAACTGCATAGGTTTACAACTACTTATCAAGTTGTAGACAAGTGATAACGACTTTGCAAAGTGAAAAAAAAAAAAAAAAAAAAAAAAAAGGTAAAGAAGAATAACTTTACCCTAATAACGTCCCGTCTCTCAGGTAGAGTTGGAAACTGGAACACGCGGTAATAGTACGTTGTACGTTTAGGTGGCAATTGTGTCTGTAAGATAATAAAATAAGGATGAATGATAGCAAATAAAGGGGAAAAAAAAACGGTCACAACATTGTCATTCGCGTTTTCCCCCTCTGCACGTAATTTGCTTGTTTTAACTTTGCGATATCTCGCTTGTTTTATGACAAGCCGTTTTAATTATTTTGGTTCGGTTTCACCAGGCTTTCAATAACTTCTCGACACTCTGCCGGGTCACAACAACTGTTACCTTGTTCATAAGGAAGGAGAACGTCTTGGCATCAGCCGGAAGCTTGGGCACGTCTTTAATAGCGTTGAGTAAAAACACACTTCTTGCTCCTCTTATGGTGTGCATTGGAATATTATCTTCAGATTCGGGATCTTCTGGGTGCATAGCGTAGATGACTTTAGTTGTGCCTTCCTGCAATAGAATACAAAGACTTTATCATCTGCTCCAAAGAATAAATAAACTGTTCTCTACATCTTTAGTGCAATTAGTCTAAAAACGGAGTCAAAATAAAGTACCTCAGTATCGAGTTTTCAAAATTACGGTTTGACTAAAAATTACAACTGGGTTACGTATATGCGGTGGGCTAAAATATTGCGTGGGGCCTTGCGTAGAATCGATGAAGGTAGCATCTCTTCTTTACTATTGAAAAGTTTCCCTTAAAAAAGTTTTTTACTCGAGCGAGGAGACTTTCAATAAACAGCAGTAAGCAAAAAGCCTGTTTGTCCTTTCAGAGCATTTCTAAGCTGAAGTTTACCTGTCAGCCTAACTATCGTTTGCTTCGCCCAGTCTTCTTTCCTCGCGTCAAGATTGTTTGAGTAAGGACATATTTTCTTTTTTCACAGGAGCAAATAGACAACGACCTCACGATCCAAACACATGCCCAAAATTTGAATGAACTGAAAATACTTTATCTGCCTTTATTCATTACATGGAAAGTTAAAAATTAACCTTGATTGAATTGTCATCCGTATCGCAAGTTTCAAACTTTCGTTTAAACTTCATAACGGTCTTGCCACTTTCCTCTTGTAGGGCGATCAGGACATAATCCTGCTGAGAGTCGATCTTTGGTGTGGAGTATCCGGTTGCATGACGATCCTGAAAACGAGTGGATCTTGAAGTTATTTGTGGGAAAAACGATATCCGTTTAACTTTAATAACAGAGAGAGGTCACTCCCCTCCCCACCCTCCAGAGACAGAAATTTCATGCACGTGCAGGTCAACAGTAACAAACCAATCAAAGCAGAGAATCAAGTTTCAGGTGCCAGTCGACCTCATCGCCTCAAGACCTGTAAGAAAACAACCTGAGAACTTTCACACCCCCCCCATAGAGAAGATCACTGAGGCGTGCAGCATGAGTCAGCTAAAACGCAGCTGATGTTGCAAAAAAGTTGTCTACGTGTGTTCACTTGGCCATTCACGAGGCAAACAAAGCCATTGAAGCAAAGCGATGGGCAAAACCAAAGACAGCGCCAATTTATCAGTCGTCATATCTGCTGAAACAGTTTGTTAAAGCTTAACACTCCAAGACAGTTTAGTGTTTAGTTCAAAAGACTTCGAGACGGAGGTTAACGATTCCAAAGAGGGGATTTTGATATACCTGTACATTGTTTGCCCCGCAGAGCTACTTAACATACTTAATCAGTATATTTGCGGCAAAATAGGCAAACAACACTTTCATAAAAAAGTTTAACACCATATTAGGTTTATTCCGTATTAAAGTCTGTTCTCTTCCTACTGATTTTCCTATTTCTACTTTGTGGACAGACCAATGTGTCGCCACCCCTTATACACGTAGTGCTAAAAGCCACGATTCAGAAGTTAATTTTGTGAGGACGAAAATTCGCGGAAGTCGGAGGCAAAAGTGAATGTCTACATGACACTGTTGAAAACGCCTTAATTTTGGGTATCAAAAAAATTGTCGAATACACACTTTCAGTTGCACCAAGTACAAAATGACATCAATCGCTAAAAGGAGAGGATTAGTCGGTGATGCAGAAAATAAAAACCATGGAATTTTCAGCACACAGTTCAACCTGTATTAAGCAGCAACGTATTAAGCGGTTAACCTGTATTAAGCGGTCAGTTGTCAAAGTCCCGAATTTGTTTCCCTTTAATCACTCTAACTTTTACCTCTATTACGTAAGCGATTGCAGCCACCCTTTACTAAGTCCTAACGGCTTGTTTATATTGTTTACCACCCTGTGGGTGACTGCTTTATACTATAAAAAATAGTTAAAAAGCAATCTTGAAGAATATTGCCCTTAATGATGGATCATCTGAAAAAAATGTGAAATCAATAAACTGATAAACAAAATAAATTCCTTATGAGAAATTGATCAAAAAATCTTCAAAACGAGTTTGTTTGTTACTTAGTGTTTTTTTTTCTTTTCCTATTGGTTTACGTCTAGGCATGCAAACTACGTACAATTTTTGTTGTCACGGAACGTTTAGTTTTGAATACTAAATAGCGCCGTCGTTCAACCATTAAGTTAACCATGTTGCGTAATCAAGCTGAATAAAACAAGAGAAGTACTGTAAAATAACTCCTGTGAGCTACAGATTTCCGTTAGCTTGTGTCCCTCCCCCACAAAGCTTACCTTGAAGTATGTTTTGCCATCCTTCACCCAGCCGATAACAATATCAGCTCCTTGCATCTTGCCCTGACCTGTGGAAATTCCAAAGCCGACCCATCCAGTTGTTTGGGCTTCCACTGTAAAAGAAATCTCTTTCTTTGCAGTGTCGACATTCCAATATAGCTTCACTTTCTGGCTCTCATCCAAAGCAGCAAAGAAGGAATGTCCTGATGTAAGATCAATGATGGACGACTTCGCTAAACATACGAAGATCAGCAAACAGCAGGCCGATACCTTCGTGATCTTCTGCATCTGACAAAAAGCTGACATTGTGGCAAATTTCTGCAAATGTAGCTTCAACAAGTGCCCGCAAAATCAGACAACAAAAAATTGGTTTGAATGCAGGCCGAATATTGCTCACAGTAACACTTCCAGTGCTGAGTACCGAGAGGATTAAGAGCTCTTCGCTCTTTCTGACACTAATCTAGTGAACAAACATTAATTAAGCGAACAATGTGACGCATTACGTCGAGGTTATAAATACTTTCACACAACAGGCGCTTCAAACAACCTTCCTATGTGAATACTGAGAAGCGTCGAAGCTATCCAAGAGTTAAAAGTCAAAAGTCGATTAGTCAACGGGATCAATTAATTTTTTTAAAGCACAGGATCTGCAAAGCATTGTCGTACACGAGTTACTGATTATTGATTACAATACCACAATTAATCATGTGACTTTAGGGCAAGATTTTCGCATAGCCTCATACTCATTATAATAAAAGTTCTTAGATAAAGAAAACAATGGCTAGAACAATTGCGTTTTAGACTGCAGCTTTGTTTTAGGATAGTAGGGAATTGTACGGAAATCTTTCCCAAAAGAGTATCAATAAAGGTGAGGCACGAAATCTGAATTACACGTCTAATAGTTCTTAAACGGAAAATTTGACTTCAGATGTGCGTAAAGATAGACAAATAACGAAAAACGTATCATCATTTATACCAAATATAATTTGATTATACGGCAACAAATTTATCAACGATTATGCAATGCAAACCAATTGGTAATGCCTTAAAATAAAAAAGCGCTGTCATCCTGTGATATTAATTGGCTCGAAGAGTACTCTCACTTGCACGTAACAATAACGAGCTCGCACTTGTTTTAAGAACCAACCATTTTGGTGTGGATTTCCTTATTTGATATTATTTGAGTGGATTTGATAATAATCATAGAGTCAAGCGTGGTATCATCTGCTATGATATTATCTAATGTTTCTGATTATGCTAAAATCGTTCAAGAATGTAAACAATTGGTCTGACTGGTTACATAAATAAAAGTTTTTGTTCTGTGCCAACTGAATGATCTGACTGAACAGCTCAAGGTGTGATGGACCGGAAGATAAATTTAAGGCTTTTCTTAGACCTGGTGCCCTTTGCAGCCAATGTTCAATCCCGTTACGTAACGCATTTTCCTTTTCCTAGGGCACTAATCCCTCCGCTGATATAACTTCCTACTTTCATAGGCAATGCGTTTAAAAAAGGTACTTGAAGGTATAAAGTCATTAGTAGTGCATGAACACACATGTGGATCGCGACGTTCAAGAATGTTGTCAATTTTCTGCCAGTGAATTCGCAAGATCAGCAAACTTTAGCGAGACGGTCGCACATGCCTCCCGGTGAGAGGCTGATAAAGGAAGGGTTTTTTGAAAGTCAAATTCCAAAGATCAAAACGATTAACCTTATCATATCTAGCATAGAAAAGGTCTTAATATTTTCATTCATCGTAGTTGAAATTACTCAAAAGTTGTGTTTAGAAAGCGAAAAAAGAGTTAGTTCGTAGCCAACCGCTAATCGATTCATACATTTATTCGAAATACCTCGCGTGCCAGCGCATGAACAGATGTCAGTCGTTGCGTTCGATAAGTTAGTAGAGTCGAGCGAATAAGATACAAACAAAAAATCTGTTGTGTATTCTTGTGACCTTTACAATGCTACTCTTCCAATTGTTAACATGGAAAATATACTTTACTAGTTTAGATACGAAACGACTCAACTGACTGGGCACGAAACGATTCAACTTATTAGGTATGAAACGACTCAACTGACTGGTTAAGAAATGATTCAACTTACTAGGTATGAAACGACACAACTGAGTGGGTACGAAACCACTCAACTGACTGGGTACGAAACGATTCAACTTACAAGGTATGAAACGACACAGCTGACTGGGTATGAAACCACTCAACCGACTGGGTACAAAACTAACGACTCAACTTACTGACTACGAAATGACCGGCAACCGAAATAAGATACTGTTCGATGCTGGATTTTGACCTGCTCGTGAATGCGATGTAATCTCAGCACACTTTATTACCTCTCGTTTCAAAGGTGAATTCTAAAAATGTTTAACACACGAAATAGTCGCTTCCGACCTAGTTTTTGACGTTCAAATTGTTCATCTATTGAAATCGCAAGATTATTCATTACTCATGAACAAAAGGGGTCAGTTTCTAAAGAAAAAGAAAGTAAAGAGTTTTAAATGCTAACGTTTCGAGTGTTAGCCCTTCGTCAGTCGCTCTGACGAAGGGCTAACGATCGAAACGTTAGCTTTTAAAACTCTTTACGGTGGCCAATCTACGTTACCACCTCAGTTGATAATACTAAATTGCCCTAGTAATTGCTCACTCTGTTCTCTTAGGGGTCTAACAATCAGTGACTTCTGCGAAATTTAGTAAACCTGCATTCACCAGTCAACCCCCGTCAGATAAGCTCTCTCTAGCGAGGGGGTCCCGCAGGCTTCATAGTGCTATGATGATGAAGAAAGGGGGTTTGAGGGTAAAAATTCAGTCTTCCAAACGATCGACCTAAATATTAGCTCCGACATGGAGAGAATCTCAACATATTTATTCGTTGTGGAAGAAAATTTCTAAAACGTTGTTCCTGGAAAGCGACAACAGGTTGTATGAATTATGTGGAAGCCGAAATAGTGCAAGTTTATAAAACAAAAGAAAGAGAACTTGCGACAAAAAAGAGGACAGAGTGCAATGGTGGATGTTGACCTGCTCGTGAATTCGATATAATCTCGGCACACTTCACAACCTCTCGCTTCAAAGGCGAACTGATGACTGTCTTTTTCTGTAAAGTGTGCCTAAAACCCTGCCAAACAAAGTTATCAGTTGAAATAACCCAACGCCAAGATACCTGCCGTTTGTTTTATTCACACTAGGGAATCGAATTAACAACAGCCATCCCGGCGTTTCTTGAGGCCATCGTCCATAATACTCTGGTTGGTATACTAATATTTCAAAAAGCAAAGTTTTTGCCGAAAAAAGCTGAAGAATTCGCTTCATATTTTCATTCTTTGCTTATTCATTTGCTTGAAATTCGATCGGTTGCTTTAAGCCAGTCTTGCGTCCTGAAATTTTTCGGAGTGTTCCAGTTTCCCTGAGTGCGAGAAGCAAGCAATCTAAGCCACAAACAAAAAAGCAAATATGTGTGCGAGTGCGATTTGTGAATATGTTGCACTACTGAGAGCCAACCAGATTGCAGGGGTCACTTATGTGTAAAATGTTGGAAACTATGCAGTACCTCCGTGTGCGACGGCAGGTTCCGTATTGCTTTGTGCTTTTATCCCTCGCATCAGATGGCAATCTTAATATTATCATGAAATACTCACCGACAAAGGAATACTGTTATGGCCGCTACAGTAGACGTAAATGTCTTGAGTGTCTTGATAACTATCCCATAGTTCAGAAACCAACTCTTCGGTCCAATCATTTGGATTTGGTGGAACTTGTCTAATAAATTGTAGAATGGTGAAATTGGAAGATTTGTATTCACTTTACGTTATCAACCAGCTAGGTAAGCAGCTAAATAGATAGGTCGGTAGATCTGCGGGCAGGTGGATAGGGAAGAAACTGAACCAGGAAGGCAAGAACTGAGTTCAGCTGAAAAGATGGAGGAGAGGATGCAAGAACAGATGGCGGACGGAATGAAACAAGCAATCAGTCCTTCAAGAAGTTGTAGTGTGGTATCTGGTGAGACTCCTTTCCCAATCAGTCCCTTCTCTCGTAGCCAGTTTTGATGGACTCTTGAAACCACAGGCGGCCCAAGCTCCAGCTGTGAGATGATCTTTCTTGCGAAATAAGAGTCATATCGAAATTATAAGAGTTTGTATGGGAATATTTACGACCGCCCTTAGGAATACAAAAATACAGTCAATTTCTTAAGAAAAGTACTTCACCTTACTTCCACAGTGTATCGCTTGTTGTCTGACAGCTTACTATGTTGAAAAGAACCCATTTTAGCGAGTTATCCATTTCTAAGTTTCCAACATAAGAGAAGCCCAAGGCTGCACAATCAAAAAATCCAAGCTCAAAATAACTGGGCGTATCCAACACAGAATCCAAGCACATATACCGTAGTTTCATTTCAGTTCACTAAAAACTCAATCTTCCCCTTGAAACCGACGTTAAGCCGCAGTTTGCTTCAAAAATTTCCAGTTTAGACGTTTCTCACAGCCCGCGTTCACAGTGAAAACCAGCTTGGTAACCCTGCCTCCTTTGCAAACTGTACCTCGCCTGGAACCACACCTTCACTGGCATCAGTAAATCGTTTTAGAATCACGGGTGCTAAGTGACAGTGTGGTCCCCGAGATACAAACAATTATAATTTCGACATGACTGTTATTTCGCAAGATGATCATCTCACAGCTGGAGCTTGAAGGGGTATAAGGTAGAACCAAGGATGGATAAAATACTTATACAGATGATGAGCAGAAATACCTCTTGATCTTTGAGTCGTACCACAATTTGTCATTCCGGGGCTCAAATCTCTGTGCACTTATTTCTCTCGACTTCGCTTTTAAAGTCATTTGTAATAAACAAACTCGCCCACCGTGGTTACTGTAGAATTTATCGACAGCTGGCTTCTGGCTAGACCAGCACTAGGTTAAATTTGCTTTTGGCTAGTAATAATGGAACGATAGGCACATTTCATCATCTGAAGCCAGACCACCCTAAAACAGGAGATAAAAAGATAGATATCCATTTTAATCAGTAGATTCCATAAACATTCCAACAGGATCAACTCGAGACCAAACGAGTAAGCTCGCCATGCAGATTTGACTAAATTATCCGATCAGTTTTGACAAAATGCTTTCTCTTTTACAACCCTGAACAAGTTAAAAAAGGTTCTACGTAACCAAAAAAGATAAATACATTTATAAGCACTGATTGCAAGTTATCAACGTACCAATTTTTGTTTATTTTCTGTTTGATACTTGCAGACTGTTATCAGCGAGTCTCCCTGAAAAACAAATACTAATATATATATATATATTTAAGAGATTACAATCTCTTGACATATTTAATCATATGGTCGATCGTCTGGGTGAGAGTGTAGTCCTGAGAAGGACTGTGGTCGGTAGTGGTGACTCACATTTCAACAACATGAGCAGAAGTCATCATCACGGAGTCCAGTAAATAGTTGTTGTCAGTCGAACGTACTAAGTGCACATTCGACTCTTTACAAAAAGACAATTAACTTGACATGCATCTCATCACGAGCCTTTCCTTTTTTTCTTTTCTTACCGGCAAAACTATCACCTCCTGTCTTGGAACCTGAACCTCCTATAGTTAAAAACATAAAAACAAACCAAGAAAATCTGTTTAAAAACACCAAAAGTCGGGGGATTAAGGAATGAGTACTCCAACAGAGGTTGAAAGGCGCTCACGGTTACCCTTTGATCTGTTGAGGCATCTCTAGATAGGGCTTGGTATAGTGATGTCTTACTTTATTCAATAGAAACTCATCTGAAAGTTGAAATCGTAGTTGTCGTCTCTGATAATCTCTGGAAGTTCGACACCATTCCTGACATGTCGGGTGTATATGGCGCGACCTACGAAAAGGAAGGAATGGGCTCGGAAAATGTAACAACTTTACAATATACACCCGATACAACATTCTTCGATGAAGTAAAAGCCAATCTGATTTAGAATTTTACCGGCTAAATGTGTATGGACTATAGATGCAAATATTCGGATTGCTCTGCACTCCAAAGGTGATCCTTGCAAACCCTGTGAAAATGAATTCCAGGAATGTGACTCCTACATCATCCACGGCGATAAGTGTTTTTACGCCAGTCAAATGTTCCTAATCTGGGTTCTCATCGGCTCCTTTCGGAACTCTGCTGGATTGAGCATGTTTTTTTTGGTGTCTTGAGACTTAGGAGGAACCCGAAATGAAACTTTAGTGGTCTTCGTGTGTTCATTTTTTGCCATCTGTCAACAATCTACGGATGGCAAAGAAATTCGCCAACTCAGAACAGAAATGGGACTGGTCGGCACCAACTGCTGGTAGAGTAAAGGTAACGGCTACCTGAGTTACTTAGAAAGCTTCAAATTTCCTTCAAATGCACTAATCATGACATGCTCGCCGATGAAAAATTTAATGAGAAAAGGGTACTTTAATTCACCTCTTCTGTGCATTCTTTAATGCAATAACCCTCTGTCGTCCAGTTTGCCTGATTGGGTGGTATTATCATCAATGGGTCTACAACCCACCCAACAGACAAAATACCAGCTTGGTACTGTCTGAGTTGACTTGTGTAATGAAATCGTAGACCAGAGCTGTCTATAATGCCTGAAACGAAAAGATCATGGGAATAAGTTAGCTGCATTGATCAGGAATAGTAACAGAAACCAACCATGAAGAAAAACACTACTATCGTTTGGTTTCTATTAACATGTTACCTGCTTTATTTTCAGGATTATCGTAATGCATTTCCATGACTGCAAATTTCGGATGACCTTCGAAGGAGAGTCCCACATGTTCGGGATAATAAAATGACTGATAGTAAGAAATGAAACGTAATAGATCAGTTAAAGAGTGTCATTACAATATTTAAAATTTTGCGCCGTGCAAGGCTGCCTTTGGTATGAAGGTACGCGGAGCCATGTTCTGGGTTGGTGGAGACGAACAAAGGAGCTGGCTAAAGAAATATAGCAGGGCTTTTCTCTGCTCTCGCCACATTTTTCCCCTCGTCCTCATAAACTGAATGCCTCAAACAAGCTAACTTAAGGAAACAAAAAATAACATTAGGTCAACGTGATAGAGAAACACAGAAGATCAAACCATAAACAGAAATAATCCAGGATGTTTAAGGATGAGGAAGGTTGAAACGGCTAGTTTTGTTGTTTGTTGTCACGGAGTTCAGTTGATTTTTTTTTTCGGCTTTCGTTCGCGCAAATTTGTTACCCCTTTGTTTGTAATTTTACGAAGTTTTGAAATTTTTATTTTAGCCAAATGTTGTGGTTCCTTTAACAAGTTTAATACATATTTTCTATGGAGTTTGGTCTCTAGCCTCTTTTTTCATGAATGAATTTTTAACAGGAACTCTCGGAGTGTAGAGGAAGACATACATTTGTGTCCCCTTCGTTTTTTCTCTCACTCATACGGCTTTTTCGCTCGTCCCTACAATTGATTGCCCTGAAGTAGGTAATCCAAATTTAGACTTTATTTTTCCACAGACATATTATACCACAAAGAAAGGGTCGCAAAGGTATCATTACAACATTTGCTAACATACCCACCTGACCTCCAATCGCCCAGGCTGTCATTATCGAGATTCCAATACATTGTAGCACTGGGGGAGGCTTGTCTGGAGAATTGATTTTTCCCTCAAAGTCGACGTGAATCTGCGGAAAATTATCTCCGCACTCGTACAGTATCATGTGATGTACAACCCCCTCGTTTCCTGCTTGAACAATGCGATCGATCTGAAACATCGTAGAGATTTCACCGAAACTTAATTTTTAAACGAAATAATGGGAAGATGTAGACAACGTTAGGTGCAACTGTACATTCTTGGAGCCACGGAGTTTGCTCAGTTATTGTTATTGGATAAAATCACCCTCCCGATGTGAGCTAGGCTATTTTTCAAGTTCCTGTGAAACAAGCGTCCTGCGTATTGCTAAGATCAGCGACTTCGGAAGTGTTGTGTGTGTAAACAGTGTGAGAAAAAATAGGGAATTTGGACTTCCAGTCCTCTGCAGTTCAGTAAATTTGTGTGTGCATCGGAAGACGAAGTCCAAAGGTCTGAAATTCGTTGCAGGGGACTGAGATCTTTTTTTGTCCTTGTTCGGGGCAAAAGAAATAACATTTTTCTTCATCGATGACCATGATGCAAATGTACCATCGTGGCCATTTTAGGCCATATCACTAATTTCATTTCCATTCGCTTTGTCTTCTTTGGTTGATTGCGAAGCAAATTCTAAAAAGAAGAAGTGAATTTAGAACACATTCTTACCTAAACGATGTCATGTCTTCCTGAGAGGTCCGGAAACTCAAACACCCGATACATGTACGTTGTGCGATTTACCGGTACAGCTGTCTGTAGAGAATAAGAGATACGAGAATTAAGGACAGAGAAAGGATAGAGAAAAACGGAGAAACGGGGTGAGATGATGTATCAATCAATTATTGGTAAAAAAGTTTCTCGAGCTGAGAATAAACACAGAATGTAAGGAAGTATAAACCAATGAATTGAAGGATACGAACGTCGGGTCTGACAGAGCGCGGAATCTTCGACTGTGAGGTTATTTCAGCACCATTATGCTAGCTTACGTGAGGGTAAAGAGACTAGGACGGTGTTCCTTGAGGAGGTGCTTACTGATGGGTTAGAACTGACCGATGCTTTCAAGAAGAGATGTTCTGTAGAAATAGGAACCATGTTGGGAAAAAATCAGTCAATTCCGCAATTGCCCCACCTTTACCAAATGCGATTTTCATACAGCTTAAAAAAGTTAATTTCTCCGTCGAAATTTTACAGACAAATTATTTTTAGAAAACCCACTGAAAGTTATTCCCAACAGCCAGAGTCTTGTGAATGTCTTGTAAATGTTTGTAAAGTTCGCTTAGGTTTAAAAATGAGTTATTAACGAAGCTAAAAAAATACATTTAAAAAGTCAAAACCAAACGTTTTCCACACAGTGTCGACATACTTTTAAATATATTTTAGCCTCGTGAATAACGACTACACATTATGTTTTCCAGTTATCAATATGATAACTAACTCAAGCACGGAACTGATACGATAGTAAAGACCACATTCGAAATTATATCTCATCCCTCGTCTATTTTTATGATTAAAACGTTTACTCTGAAACATCTTCCTTAATTGAACGGCCGTAATAAGTAATGGAAAGCACTAGTAATGAACATTAGGCCCATCAGTTTTCTTTCATCACAAATACTATCATCACCTTGTTCATCTTGAAATCGAAGGACTTCGCATCAACGGGTAGTTTGGGTACTTTCTCAAAAGTATTGAGAAGAAAAACACTTCTGGCTCCCATGCATTGGAATATCATCCTCAGAGTTAGGATCGTCTGTATGAAATGCATAGATGAGTTTTGTTGTTCCTCTCTGCAAAACCACAGCAAAAGCCGCATTAATAAGAGAAAACTCAAAGGAAATTCTCATCCTCGCGTGAGTGACGTCACCTGACGTAAATCAGAATTAGAGGTTTTCTGGTGACAGTTATTGTGGAGAATCAGGGGATTCATTTGATTCTAACCCAGATTTAATCAAGAAAAATATCCGAGAGGGTAATAGGTACAGCAGCTCCCTTTCGTAGATTTAAGACCACTTTTCCAGGCTTTTAATCATAAAGACAAAGACGCATACCGCGACTCTGATGTCTTGAGAATCGCAAGTTTCAAACTTTCGTTTAAACTTCATTATGGTCTTGCCACTATCCTCTTGAAGAGATATAGGCTCGTAATCCTGCCGGGAGTCAATCTTTGGTGTTCAGTGGCCAGTTACATGGCGATCCTGAAAATGAAATGATCCAATCGACTCAGTCGCCCAAAGTGACTTAGTCGTTACCATCTAACTCGAAAACGAGTCATCGTTTTACTCTTATTTTTCAGGGTAGATAACACTCTAAAGATTTAAAAGGTGCACTGACTTGAGGCCGGTACTTTTTCAAAGGTGACCCAAGAAGATTCATATTTCTACAAATTAGTGTAATTTTTTTACTCGGGATTCTTGGTTCATTATCTCGACTGGAAATTTGTGGACCAAAGTTTCGGCAGTCAACTTAAATCTCCCTTTTGGATTTCGCCTTAATTGCTCAAGTTGTTAGACTTCTCCTGTTTAAGATGTTATTTTCCACTTAAATGTTTACCTACGATTCAGGTATGCTCCAGTTCTTTACTTATACAATACTAAGTTTTTATTTTGTACTGGAAAGTCTCAGTAAAAAATTGTGATGGAAAGTAAAGTGATCTGTACCCTGTTGCAATAAGATTCAGGATGCTTTCAAAAATTGGCTTGGATCGAACCATTGACCGAGAAAATATTTTCTAAAATAATAAATTCATTTTTTTTGAGAGCACTGGAGGGGTAAAAGCGGTATAAAACATGCAATTTGTTGGCTGTGCAAAAAAAATTAGCGCATACTAGCGTCGGATTATCTAGTTTTCTCATTGCTTCTTCAAAAAATTAAATGTAATATGATAAAGTAAAAAATTCGATATTACGAAACACAAATAATTATACGCTTATTTCCTTCCCTCGAGTCTAAATTACCTTGAAGTATGGCTTTCCATCTTTCACCCAGCCGATAACAATATCAGCTCCTTGCATCTTTCCCTGACCTGTGGAAATTCCAAAGCCGACCCATCCAGTTGTTTGGGCTTCCACTGTAAAAGAAATCTCTTTCTTTGCCGGCAGTGTCAACATTCCAATACAGCTTTACTTTCTGGCTTTCATCCAAAGCAGCAAAGAAGGAATGTCCTGATGAAAGATCTTCTGCGAAGGATTTTGCCAAACGCAAGTATATGGAAAACAAACCAAACAATTTCAAAGCCTTCATTGTCTCTAGTTTTCAAGTTCAATGGACAAATAGCTTGCAAAGGCAGTAATTGTTGTGTTTCAGCAGTCAAAAACTTTTTTTCGTGTGCATCATCAACAATAAAGATTTGACTTCTACTTCCCGACCTTTTGTAATACTACTAATTCTTAGCTGAACTTTCTTTGCTTTTTCCTCGTGCGACTCAACTCTCGAGCCAGAAAATATAGCATGTTGTTCGGCTGCAGATGGCGTGAGATTCACTTGCGTCAAATTCATCCTCTGCTGGCTAGCCACGTAGTGACCGACGTTAGTTTTCTGCTCAATTTCACCATTTACAGACAGCTTAGAATTATTTTCCACGTGAAATCTAGCTCATCGACTGACATACGTACTCAAAGCAAGAAAGATAAACTCTTGACTTGAAGCGAAAGCAAGAAAACGTGGCGGGATTTTTCAATGCTGCTAGCCGCATACGTCAAATTGCCTTTCTTTTGTACCCATCGAAAGCAGTCGGGGGGCAGGTGGGGAGAAATTTCTCGAAGAAGAAAAGTAGGAGGGCAGAAAAAAAGATAGTGAAATCCCTACCTCTTTGAATATCAGGGATGAGGCCGTGTGATTGAAATATCAGCAAAACTAGAACTTGAAGGGAAGGGTATCTCCGTCGGAAGGACGTAAGGGGCCTGGCGACGACAACAATTTCGCGCCAATTTCCCGGGCAAAGTTAATCTTAATGGTGCGCCATTTTGAATCTCTACGTAAACAAAGTGTCACAAACGCGAAAACCCGAATGAAATAGCTAGAGCCATATGTCTGAGAGAACGAGACGGCGCAAAGCACCATGTAAGTATTAGAAAGTGAAAAATCCATTTTTTATATATACATAGATTTAAGCAGCTGTGTTTGTGATGTGATTTTCTTACTCGACTTCGTGGACTGAACAGCAAAATTAAATAAGTGCTGTGCAAGCTTTGTACGCGCAATGATCACGACTCCCAAAGGTATCCAAAAACATAAAGCAGTGATTTCCAGCTCCAGCAGAAGTAATGATTATCAATTAGTGGTTATCAACGGGAGGAGTTACTAAAACGAAAATAAATAGGGCTAAAGGCATACATAGTTGATACAATCTGCCGTCTGCAAATGCCAACTACATGTGACTCACCGCAAAAAAAAAAAAACACAACGGCAAGAACTACTTAAAAAATTTTGTAACGCTTCTGTGTAAAGTAATTATGTTATCGCTGAGGAGAGTATTCTCCCGATGAGCTGAACTCATCCAGCCATGCGAATAGCAAAGGATATTAGCAGTTTGAGTAGCCAACAGAGCACCCCTTAGTGCTGTCAGCTGTTTCAGTTTTTACTAAAATATCATACATCCCAATCAAAATTTCAGCCAGCACCAATGACCAGGACAAAACAAGAAATGCTTCACCAGTTAAAAAGCTGAAATTGGATTCAAATGGTAAAATACCAACTAATGCTTCACCCAGTCTTAAACCAGTAGCATGGGAAAGAGAGTCTGATAAGTCAACATGGACAAAGTTTTCTGCTAATCAGGTTGAGGTTATCAGTGAAGCCTTTAAAGCTGGAAAACCAGATGTGGATATCAAAGATGGCAAGTCTGAGATCACAGTTATATTTGAGAGGATGGTGCAGAGGAATAAGAAAACTGGATGGGAAAAAAGGATTAGATGCACTCTGGTGGACAGAAGTGTAGATCCAGATGAATGTAAGAGGATGATTTGTGCTTGCCTATTCCTTTATAGGTTGTTTCATGGAAAGAGAGTAGGGAGTTGGTGAAAGAAAGACAACTTTATTACCCTTGTTTTAAAACTAGGAGCTGTACATGAGAATGCCCAACCTTTTAAGTAGACCCACTTCAAAACCTGAACTTCTTTTATGAAGAATTTTACCTAAATCTGTTATATTGTCATTTGGCATATCCATTTTGATAAATATTCCTAATCCTGAAGTATGTGTTATTCTGTCTTGGTTGATTATTGCCTCTTTTATTTTTAGTCCCATCCAAAAATTATTTGTTGTTCCCTCTATTTGGAAAGTCATTTTATTAAGTGCAGAAATGATTCAAACTGCTATTTTTATAGGTATTGTGCAAGTAAACTCCAAAAAGTGTGAAATGACTAGGGAATGTTATTATGGCCTCAGAAAGTGCAGTTGCTGAGCATTGTGAAGCAAAACAGACTCAGGATTGATTACAAATATAATAGATGTTAATTTGAACTGAGAGAATTACTGAATTGAATGATGTTTGGATAACAAGGACAATGTGTTGCAAATTTACATCTCCTTTTTGTGGGGTTTGCAGGCATACTACCCCTAAAAAATTTAAATTTGAATCTCTCTGAGACATTTATAGCATTCTGGGACATGTTTGTGTAATTTTTTATGCCGAGCATTGATGTTAGAATCAGTTAAAAATGCTTATTTTCTGTCTGTGATCATAATTCACAAAGTGGCCAGTGCAAAATGGTTTGAGGGGTTTCTGCTGCCTACTGCCCTCTAATGACCACCTGACAATGTCTTTGAACAATTTATTGAAAATTTTTCTAATGGTATGCTTGCCAATTGCTCTCGTTGCAGATACTTGGGAATATGAGGATGCCAAAGGAAATTGGACAGAATACTCTAAGCCTATTGTTTACCTTTTTGAGGCAGCATACATGGTAGGGTTATCCAGCATCAAGTTCAAAGATGATAAAAAAGAACTTATTCTTGATTTAGCAAAGAAAGTTCAAACAACTAAAACTGGAAGGGGAGTGAAGAATGTACATCGAATCAAGGCCACTGATGCTAGTAAGTTAATATTGACAGTGTTCTAATGTCAGAGGGCAATAATCAGTTATTTTATGGTGGTTGTGGAAATGAATGTTGCTGCTATTTTACTGAATTATTAACCAAAATACCTCTTTCAGTTGATGCAAATGATCATTTAGACCTCTCAAAAATATTACGTATAACAAAGACAAAGGTAATTTATCAACCAGTGGTGCAAACAGATCTCTGGTGTAAGGATGTTGATATCTGACAGTGAACAGAAAAGGATGCCAAGAGACAATTTTCAAGAGACCCTTTGAATTTACTAAAAACCAAGAACTATACTAATGGTGGCCACTCATCAGTATGTGTGACAGAAAAATTACATTTGTGTACTTGGGCAAAGTTTGCAAGAATCCTTCTTGATTTTAAATTGGATTAGGGGAATCAAGAAGCACTTCTGATGCTCTCTTCAAAACCTTATTGGGGAAATCAATCCTAGTTTACTATTATTTGATGATTGAATTATGAAAAAAGATTAAGATGAATCTTGTGGTTTAGATATTACAATTTTTCTCACCTTAGTCTCAAAGACCCAACCTAAAGCAGTGACAGCAGATAAGAGTGCTGCAAAGGCAAACAAGAAAGTGAAAAAAGAAGCTGAAGCTGAAAATGGTAAGTGTTATGTAAATCAAACTTTTTCTTGTCACATGGAAAAGTTGGTATGTACCTCAATAAGAGCCACATGTGTGAGTCAAAAATTTGATTAGCATTGTTTCATTCATTAGACCTTTTTCTTTAAAGGTGATGTGAAGTCATTTGTGTTCAGTGGAAAGGCTCCAGTGGACAGTTTCTGCACAATTAAAGACAGCACTCATGTGTTTACAGAAGGAGATGACATTTGGGATGTAATGCTGAACCAGGTAATTCTTCAATCCTTGTCACTTCTAAGATCCCATTATTAATTTTCCTCACTTGCTGCCACACATTTCTTAAAATTCAAAATTGATAATTTTATGGTAAATCAAACTATATTTCAACATTGATTGTTTCCTTTCCTATCATTTCCTCTTTGCTCTGCAATGCATAATAGTATTATTATTAATTAATCTATAGGTGTACTGATGTCAATGAAATTATGTAGTCTTTGTTACCATTTCACAAGTGTTATATATCCAAATGTTCCAATTCCTTGGCAGACAAATGTCATGAACAACAACAACAAATACTATCTCATTCAATTGCTGGAGGATAACCAAGCAAAGAAGTATTATGTCTGGCAAAGATGGGGAAGAGGTAGTGATAGTAACATCTGATCTTTGAAAGTAATGCTATGATGATTTGTGGCTAAAAGGAAAAGAAAAAGTGTTTTTTCTTTGTCTCATGCTCATAACAAGTTGAAAAAACTTCTTTCTCTATTTCTATAAAGAACTCAAATTTTAACATCCTTATTTTGGTTCCTATTTGTTTCCCCAGTAGAGTTTCACTTGAACCAGAAGCTGTGTTTTGTAATGTGTCCTGGGAGTCTGTCTTGTCACAGTCTGCCAGATTTATCACTCACAAAGATTGTGTGCATTTATCCAATCACCATCAGCACGTATGTTTTTTTTTTTTCAGTGGGATTCAATGGTCAAAACAACTTAGTTACCTGTGGGCCAGATCTTGAGGGGGCTAAAAGAGTGTTCACCAAAAAGTAAGGTCAACTTGTTGGCTTTAAAATAATAATTTAAGTGTTTCAAACTATCGATATGACCTGTGACCTAAAAATGAAAAGATATTCGGAAGAATATCTTTTCATGATCATCAAAGTTGATTTACCAGGAAAAAATAATAATAATGGTGAGAAAGACAGCTTGTGCAATATTATTACATGTAATGGCTTTTTAAATGTTGTTGACCCTTTAAGTCCTAGAAGTGATGAACATGTTACTTCTCCCCATAAATATGCACACATACAGCAAATCAATGATGAGAATACTCAAACTTAATGGTAAAAGTTGTTATCTTGATCTAATACCAAATTCTCAAAACAAATTTATAAGAAAATGTGTTGCAGCCAGAGGGAATTTACAACCTGATCTTGGGCATTAAAGGGTTAATGAGAAAATCAACCTGATATCTCAGGGCCAATCAAGGAGATAGAAAAACATTTTTGTAAAAATACAGGGGACACAAACTTGATTTAAGGGAAATGTGTATCTGATTTTCAGATTCACAGACAAGACCAAAAATGATTGGGAGGACAGGCATAACTTTCAAAAAGTCCCAGGGAAGTATGATCTTCTGATCATGGATTACAATGCTGACAAGGAGGAAAAAGATCAAGTTGATGCACCTGTAAAAGAAGAAAAACCTACTTTAGAAAGCAAACTGGACAAAAGAATCCAGAACTTGGTAGAACTGATCTGCAATGTACAGGCAATGGAAGAAATGTTGAAGGAGATGAAGTATGACACCAGAAAGGCACCTCTTGGTAACTATGGGATTTATATAGAAGATACTTAAGTAACAATAGGGTCTTGTTGTTTGATTCAGATTGTCACGTCTCCTGATGAAGATTAGGATGATTTGCCCTGAGGTTGAGAAACCATGGGATACCATATGAAACATGATATTTCATTTCATTCAGTTAGTTTTCAGTAGCAGTAAATGGCACATTGTAATCATTGTTATTTTGGTGAGTTCTCCTCTTAGCAATTGGCTGGTCATATGCATCCTCTATGATTTTCCTTCTTGATCCTCAGTATTTACACCTCCAAAATTTTAATTCCGCTGTATTTAGCTTAAGTCAAGTGGCCTACTATTTTGTTTTGTTATGTCACATCATTCTGCGATTGGAAAATTGAAAGCCATAGAACCAGTGTGGATCATCCAAAGGTCAATCAAATAATTACCTTGTTGTGAGATCTAAGTAAATTGGCTTTATTTCACCCAATCTTTTGTGCATTTTCCATGCAATCTTTCTAGGAAAGCTTACCACAGATCAAATTAAAGCTGGTTATGAAGCCCTGAAGAGGATTGATACCTGCATAAGAAACAGTGACTTTGGCTCTAAACTGGTGAAAGCATGTGATGAGTTCTACACAAGAATTCCTCACTGTTTTGGGTAAGTGAGTAGTATTAAGCCAGCACACCAGCCATCAGAAATAATTGTACTGTATCTGCCACCACATTTTTACCTTGTATTAAGCACTTTCTGAAAATATGCTGAACCCAAACGAGCCCTGCACTTTGAAGAAAATATCTTGATTAGCACTGCTAAGATGTTTTTTATGAAGAGCTAATCATATAAAACCGTCAAATTCCTTCCTCCTTCAGGATGAAAAGACCACCTCTCCTAAGAACAACAGAGGATGTCAAGATCAAACTGGATTTGTTAGAGGTATGTATGGTGTTCTGTTGGTCATAATGAGTTGATCAAGAAATGTGGATATAGACCAAATTCTTTGATAAGTCTACCCCCAGAGTTCTGTGCTGCACATCAACAACAATCCTTTACACATAACAGACTCAGCCAAAAAGGAGGGACTGCTTGTAGAAACGTTTGGCAGACTTTTAAAGCACAAAAAAATTGGGTTGAGAAAGAAAATTCTACAGATGTGGATGAGAGAAGGGAGGAACAGCAGGGTCTTTCCCCATCAGCTTTCCCACTTAATCACTCTCCTTTAACACTACATCAAACATAAGTCCATGATAAATAAGTTACAGGAATGGAAAAGATATGAGTTACAGGACTTCAGAGAGCAGGTTTTGTTCAAAAATGATTTTGCTGCAGTTTAACAATCACTTTGTGTTAACAAATCCAAGTGTTAGATCTGAAAGTTCAACAGGCTTTTCATAAGACAGTCCTACCTTGCCTGATCAGGTGACCAACCAGAATGTAGTATACTCATTCATCTTTCTGACTGCAAAGTTGGTCATTATGATGAAAAATATTAACACATGATTTTTATGAATTCATCTATAAATTTTACAGTCCAGTGTAGCACTGATAAAAGCTATCTAGCCAGACATGACAGTTTTTGGAAATAATTTGCATTTGATACTTGAAAATTTCTTTAACATTTTGTGTTGATTATCGAAACTTTGTACATTGAATTTACTTATGTTGATTATGTCTCTTTTAGGCCTTAGGAGACATTCAAATTGCTGTCAAGGCCTTGCAAGAAGAAGAGGAATCCCTTGAACATCCAATTGACAAGCATTACAAAACACTTCATTGTGCTTTGAAGCCCCTTGATCATGAGCATAATGATTTTAAGGTAGAAGATCTTTTAAATCGTGCTTTCATGCACTACCTTTGAGCTACAGAGAATCCAATGTCAAGTCAGGAAATGAAGTAGTGTCTTGTGGCATATTACTGTGACAAGCATCCCAAACACTGCATGTTCATGTCAGCAATGTCAGAAGTCTAGTGTGTGTTAACCCTTTGATCAGCATCTAATTTCTCTTTACAGTAGTACTGCTGAATCATCGATTAAAATCATAAGAACACAGGAAATGACCGTTAACCTAAGAAGCTTTGAAGAGTGTGGAGAATGTGAATACTGATATTGGGATGCAAAGGGTTAATACTTACGGAAATATTAGAAACTTTTGAGTTTTTTTTAGGGAATAAAGAAAGCTTTGTTTTTCTTTGTAGTGGCAAACTTTTACAAGATATTGGGAAAAACGTGTTCAATCTTACTTAGACTGCATCTCATTAAAATATCCCCTGAGAAATTGCTTTAAAAGCGGAAAACTGTTCTTTGTTTCTTACAGATGATTTCTAAATATCTAAAGAATAGTCATGCTTCTACTCATAATCAGTATGACATGGAACTGCTGGATGTGTTTGCACTGGAACATGAAAAGAAAGATTTCACTGATGTGGGCAACAGGTGAGTAGCTTGTTGGGGATAGTCGCTATGGGAGAAAGAAAAGTGTCCTCTAAATTTCTGGATAGGTCGTTTGAAAAGGTTCTTATTGACCCTACTCTCCCCCTCCCCCAACTCCTACCCACCCCGCAAAAAAGAAATTCTAAAGCAAGACTACTCTTACAACAGCCTCTTTGATAGTTACTAGATGATGAGTAGGCAACTTTTCTAATTCTGTCGTCATTTGTGCAGGATGCTTCTCTGGCATGGATCTCGTTTAACAAACTGGGTTGGCATTTTAAGTCAAGGATTGAGGATAGCTCCGCCAGAGGCTCCAGTGACAGGGTACATGGTAAGAACTCTTTACTTAGAAAAGCAGGTCGATTATTTAAATTTAAGGCTTACAAGAAGACCTTTTCGAAGAAATATCGTGAAAAGATAAGCTAATTGAAAGAAGTACGCTCCATGTTTTTAAATCTGCCACGAAAATTTGACACTAACCGAGTTTTGAGATTAACTAAGGCTGTTCGTTACGTCACTTGACCTTCCTCGTTTTTCGCTCCACAACCACCATAGGGCCGCTGTTAACTTTGACGCTCCGCTTGCTTACTGGACGCATCAAAAAGGCTAGCCAAACAACCGCTGCGCACGAAACTTCTAAGTTATCGGATTCACTTGTTTATTTATTTACTCATTTTTTTCATTCAGTTGTTCATCTTTTATTCATTGCAAGTTTCTGGCAGAACTCAAACATAGAGAACTTATTACATATACTAAGCCTTGGTTTCTTACGTTACATTCCACGCACCCATCATTTAATTTTTTTTTCTCGAATTATATCCTAGTTTGGTAAGGGTATCTATTTCGCTGACATGTCATCCAAAAGTGGAAATTACTGCTTTGCAACAAGATCGAAGAATGTTGGCATTCTTTTACTCAGTGAGGTTAGTAAAGAGTCACTTTCGTTAACTTTTCAGTGATGCTATTGTAGGTACTTGCTTTAAAATTTACCTAAAAAATTTACCTGACCCCTCCCAATTTTCTATAGCCCCCCCCCTATTCTACTCTGTTGGCGACGACTGACACCCCCCCCCCCCTCACCTCCCCTTAAAAACCATGTGATACCACCCAGGCGTTAAATACTTGATTACTGGTCCCTCAAATTCCAATAGTTTCTTCGCAGTGTTTAGGCGGCTAAAAGCAAGAACTTAATTTTTTTACTTTTTGCTGTAATTTCATGCTTAACCGCTTCATCATCGCTCAGGTATCCCTGGGGAAGAGTAACGAACTCTTGGCTGCAGATTATACCGCTGACAAACTGCCATCTGACTGTCAAAGTGTGAAAGGTATGGGTCGGGTAGGTCCCGATCCGAATGACACCTACACAATGTAAGTCGCCAAAGATTACAGTATTTCTTTAATGTAGTTCCTGAGAACACGGTAAGATAAAAGGGCGAAGGGAATGCACAAAGTCAAAAGAGAATATAGCTCATTCGATTTTTTCCAAATCATGACCAGGTGTGTTTGGTTTTTTGCGTATCTTTTCCTTGGCAGTTCTTCCCATTGGAAGCCGCCATATTAAAAAAAAAACCCTGGTATTTAGAGTATGGAAAAGGGATTTGTGGAGGAAAAACTGTCATAAGTACTGCCAAGAAAATTTATTTGGTTGAAATGCGACCTAAGAATGAAGGTTGAACTCTCGTTAATTGCCTCACAGGTTAGAAAATTGCATAGCTCTCTCGGAAGCAAGTAACTTTTCACCATAATTTCTTGTTTTTATCCTACAGGCCAGACGGGGTCACTGTCCCTTTTGGTAAAACTACTGAGACTGGTGTTGTAAACCCACGTGGATACACGCTGAACTATAACGGTACCTGGACATTATGTTATCTTTACTTTTGTTCCGAAAACAATCGAAGTGATGGGACGTGCCCGCTGAAACATTTTTAAGGTTCAAAGGGCGAGTATTTGAGTGTCGGCGTTGGGTTGGAGAGTAGCAATTTGAGATTATTTTTTGCAAAGTTGTGTTGCTGTTTTACTGTATTGGTGAAGTTTTGGCTTATCACTTCCCAAAGAGTTTCTTGCGAACAAAAATTTTTTATTAACCGTCTATCGTGATTTCAAAAAATCCAAGATAGTTTCCTTGGCTAGACTAAAAAAGGAGTTCTTGGAGTTATTCTGCGAATTGTTTGGTAAATTTTTAATTTCTTGTCGTGAGAAAAGATATGTCCTCTTTATAGTTAACAAAGTATTGAGGTTATTTTTTCCTTCATTCACAGAGTACATTGTCTACAACACAAGTCAGGTATGAATTGCATTATCGATTGAAACAAATCAGTAACCGTGTAACTGCAGAGCTTGCCGCCATTAGATGTAGTATGTTTGCCAAAGGCGGGGGAAAAGCCGCGGATGCAAGGGTAACAATCTTATTTGAAGGCTGAACGGAACAGGAGACATGAAAGATGTCGTGAACTTGTGCCTTTGTAAAGGTGTCCTAAGTAGCTGTTTTTAAAATGTCACACAACAACACCTTCTCTTGTGTGGGAGCGACCATGCGTGGCATAAATCCCGTAACCTCGTCCTTAGGGCGCTATTACATTAAAATAAAAGTATCCTGGTCGCCCCCCTCCCTCCCTTTCCCTCCCCTCCCTTCCCCTCCCTTCCCCTCTCCTCCCCTCCCAAATGAAAGGTCGAGAAGGAGATGCCTAATGAGGTTAAACGCCAAATATTACAAAACGTGTTTGATCAATTTTGTGCTCATCTTTTATCCTTCCTCAGGTTCGCATGCGGTACTTAGTGAAAATAAAGTTTAATTTCAAGTAGATGCACAGGTTCCCAATGGAAGGATCGTTTCGGTTATGGCTGTCAACGCAAATAGTGTTCAAGCCGAAAGTTGAAATATTTATATAGATACAACAAAATACAGTTTAGCTGATGATGAATTTGGCAGTGGCTACCATTAGATGCGTGTTGCTCCTCCTGATGTAGATGGCCCCTCCTGTGTGTGTAATGTTACAAGTAATTGGTGGAAATTACGTAACTGAAACAGACTCAGAACACTATTTGATTCTAAGTTCGCTAGTTTTCTCTTTTGGTGACGACGAAACGGTTTTTTTACACCTCTTCTTTTTTCCTTTTTCCTTGTTTTTCCTTTTTCTCAAGTAACAGGTAGTTCTTCAAACCTGTCAGAAATTACGGAGAGAAAGTGGAAACGGAAATGAAGACTTTGTAAACTTGGAGGTCATTTCGCTGTTTTTCGAGTTAGAACCAAAACGAACTATTTGATTTCTTAAGAAACTGTTGCCGGTGTTTTGTCGGTGGGCAAGTGAAAAAGCTAATGGGCTAATTACAGGTATTTAAAACGCTGCAGCGAATTTTTGAAAGCTGCTATTTCTACCTTAAATACTTCGACGAAAAATTCTCTCAAAATTATTTGCCGCAACTCACCTACTTATGGCTGAAACCAACTAATTACAGATCTGTAAAAAAAACCGTATACGAGAGTTAAAAAAAGCTAACTTGTCAAAATGAAAGAATCAAATATCACTTCTAATATTTGTCTTTTTTATTATAAGATGTAGCTTCACGGTGAGAAGGGCCTTACAGTTAGGTCTTGCAAAAACATTTGGATCAGTTAGGCTCTTCATCTTGCTCCCTTAACCAAGATCTTAAACTTATGAGCAATGTTCACCATTTAAGGAAGCTCTTGATCGCTAAAAAAATTCTCCTTGTCAGCACCTTAAGAAATGTATAAAGAGCAGATTGGAGAATGTATAATGATGTTAGTGCGTGAAGGGTTGATCGGCCTCTTAGTGATGACCGTAGAATCGGGAAGTACTGGGTTCGACTTCTATTGGGAACACTCGGAGTTCTATTTCTCGTAGCCTACGTTTAGCCGTACCCTCTCCCCCAAGGTGAAACGGAAGCTTCCGTCTCACCAACCCGCAGTGATTACTTGCCAGATTCAGAATTAAACAGTACCCGGTCTTTAGAATACTTTTCCTTGTGTATGGCGACGTCTGTTGACCTCCCTTGCCTGTTGTGGATTAAATAAAATCTTTCTTAATAAGACGATCCTACTCAAACTTTGCCTTCTTTCCCACTCTGCACCTTTAGACATAGGGTCTCCGATGGGTTTTTCGGGATCCGTGATTGGGCTTATTTAAAGGCCGAGATCCGGGAATTTAAAGTGAGAAGGGAGCGAAATGCAGGATTGCTATTATGAACGGAAACGGGAATAGGCGATTTTGAGAAGCGGGATTCGGGAAACATTCACTTAAACAAACCGAGAACCGGGATGTCCGTTGACGAGAATTTGTCTGAAGAAATTGACCTTCTCAGTCTATGAAAAGCACCAGGCGAACAGGCGGCAGCCGGGCTGTTTATGCGCGGGAATGGAAATTATATCAGAAGCGAAGCTGCCAATTTATCAAAAATCCTGAATGGCCCCAAGGGCAACGAGGCATCTAAGACTGCTGCCTCAGTTGAAATGCTTAACGGCCTTGAAAAACCTCCAGCAAGTCTCAGAATTATATCTATTTGACGCACTTAACCTCTTGAGTCGCACGACACTGGACGTGACGAATGTTCACGGTATTCAATTTTCACGGTGTTAGATTACCCAAGAAAGTTTGGAAATGCAGCTAAAGAAGGCTTAAGGAGGAAAACCCATTGGTCGGCATACTATTTAACGAATCCAAATTCTTGATATCCTGTACCCGAACGTGCCATGATCCTTTCGGCCATACCGACAATTTAACCATTACCACCTGTACCGATGGACCACAGAGCATACAGTCACAGCAGGCGCTGCAACTCAATCAGACATTAACCTCTTGGCGTATTTTCCATTGTCTTCAGAGACAGAGGGATGCCGATCGTACATGATCGTACAGAGTATACAGAAGATGAGGGACTGAGCCTAAACATTTGTCGCAGCGGTGCGTCAGCGCTCTGTCAAACAGGAAACAACGACGGCAAGAGCTGGAACTCCCCCTCGTACCTCTATCAGAGAGAAATTAAGCCGGGCGAACCGGTCAGCCTCGAACGTTCTGACTTGAAGGAGCAGCAAGAAAACAGCGGAAAACAAGACGAAGAGGAAGATGGAATATTAGAGTACGATTCCCGAGTGATGATGGTGACATTCCATCTGTGGAACAAGAGGCTGATTTTCACCTCGGAAGAGGTTCCCGCTTAGTGAGAAGTTTTCGCTTCAACGGCAGAGTTGTGTTCAGCTGATTTTTCTTTATCTTCCTTGCTATGGAACTATGGGATTGCCATCACCTTTTGTGTTTTATGCACTTGTTGATACTGTTATTCGTTTCTTTGATACCGACCTGTCTGTACTAATACGTTTGTCCGTGATCGAAGTTTGACAGAAGGAAGCCGTTACCGTGACTAGCGTACGTTATTCGTGCAAAACTTTGAAAACTTCTAAATGAACGATATCATTATTCTGGTGAAAAGAGATAAACTTACGCCTTACAGCGACCATAGACTTCAACGGATCAATGCTGGTTGAGAAAATCATCACCCAACGTGAAGGCCCTCCTAAGTTTAGGAAATGGATCAAGACAGAATTGTGTGATCGGGACGGGATTGAGAAAAAATTTTATTCGGGATCGCAGAATTGAAGAACCCTAATGGGGACCCTCTAGGCAGGTTGATGTACGCTTTAGCTAGGATAAAAAAAAGGCTCCTGGTTTAGCTCATCATTGTGTTTTCGCAAGTAAAACAGAAAAAAGAAAAAATACTTATTAGCGGGATAGAGCTATGATTTTTCGCAACCGCATGATGATAACTAAAATGGTAGATGAATTCTAATACACTTCCTAACGACCCTCTGCAAATGTATTGTCGACCTTTTGACACCAAGCACGTGTTACAATTCTCGAACAGGACTGGGTACAAGTTAGTCCGATAAGATGGCGGGTAATCTAGCATGTTGTCTTTGTCTAAGGTCGCCTTGTTTTAGTTAGGAAACCGGGAAACTGACACCTTATCATGGCGGATAAAAGGCCCAAGCGACAACGGACTGGAAGATCCTGTATGGTAAGTGGTCTAAAACGATGGTTTTTGGCTATACTTGAGGAAATCGCGATTTTGAGTTGGCGCAAAAGACGCTTGAAAACGTGCTCCAATCAAAACAATGAAATTATTTGAAAGGGACTCGGAAAATATCGTGCTAGTACACATGTTTACGTTTAATGTTACTCGCAAGTGTAGTTCAGACTTGTGATTTATTAGCGAGTTGCACTAAACTCAAATAAAGCCAATCTGGTGAAGAATTTAGAACAGAAAAGGCACAATCTAAGCTTAAAAGATTCAGTGACCCTCTTTGGTTGATTTCGTTCTAATCAGAGAACGGATTAGATTCAAAGTAAATCATCTTTAAAGATTATGTTTAGGTACTAGTTACTCTGACGACATAGATCACTGAGCTCTTTTTGCTGCAAAATGTTTCTGAATTATCAGTGAATATGCGATGCGCTCCTCTTGCAAATAAAGAAAAAAAAAGATTAGCACCAACGCTGTTTAATTTAATCGGATAAAGCCGGCTAGTGTACTTGAGATCTACGCTTAGGATTTGCCTTTAAGATCAGTATAGAAAGGATCGGATTTGGCAGAAAAGTTGAAGTACTTTCAACCTCTTCAGGTCCCTGTGTACTTCATTGGTAAAACAGTCTTACAATTCCTGGTGACCCTGCTTTTCGAGACGCGCGGCCTTAGTTCTTTTGATTAAATGCCCATGGAAATTGCTCTTCACTTGAATTTTAAGCTCTGTTTCTTTTTCAAGCAGTTCTTTGATGCAAGTCTGCAACACAGAGAAGAAATCGAGTTAAGAAGGGCACTTAATGAGTCTTTGAAAGAAGCACGAAGTGCACAACAGAAACACGAAGAGCCCGCACAACCGAGCGCAGAAACAAGATCGATATGCACTAATACTGAAACAAGGCTACGTTTGAAAAAACCCCGTGGTCCTAAACTGAAAAAGTGCAGCAAAACCCGCTCTTTAGAAATAAAACAGAATGAAGGTATAACGAAAGGGAGTGAACCTACCATCACAAATGAGGAGGTATTAGCGAAATCCAAAGACCAAAAAGGAGATTCAGCTAAATGGAGAAAGCTTCAGAACAAGGGATCCCTGAGTGAAAAACAACAGAGAAAAGAACTTCAAAGTCCAGAAAAATCAGACAAAGTTATTAAGTCAAACAAATTGGTGAAGGCTGGTCAGAAGAGAGAGCTTAAGATTGTTTTAAATAAACAGAAGACAAATGGGAATTTATTCACTTGCAAGAAAGGGAATGATGGAAAGAAAAGAAACGTTGTTAAAAGCTTGACTGAGAAATTTAATACTGCTAGCAAAGATGAAAAACAACCATCCACAAAATGCGCAAAGCAAAAGCAAGAAAATAACAATCAAAATGACATTGAAACTTGCAATGATCAGGTTAAGAAGAGAAAAATCACACCTCCAAAGCTTGTACCTGAAGTTTTACTAAAAACAGAAAAAACTCTGTTTTCAGTAGAAGAGAGGTACACCTCTGATATATCTGCCCTTAAACAAGAAGTATCTGATGTGCTGCAGGGAAAACTTAGAAAAAAGCATAAACAAAGGCTTAAAGACAGAAAACTTGTGAGTCCACTGGGAGAAATCTACATCCCAGCTAATACAGCCAAGACAGAAGATTTCCTGACTTTCTTATGTTTGAGGGGTAAGTAGGTGATTTAAAGTGATCAATCAGATCTTAGAATTACTTGATAATTTGGTTTTATCAACTAAGGTGACTATGTAAATATGACACTGGGGAGGCTTTCTAGAGCTGACACTTTGGTCACAGGCCCTCCTTCCTTCACTCTTACGATGGGCTAATGCTGAAAATGTCAGCTTAAGAAACTCTCTGCAGTGACCAATTTACATTATCAACTCAGTTTATAAAACCAAATCATCCTGTAATACAACCCACCTCCACAGCACCACAGTTTCTTCAGAAATTGACCCTCTTTCGATCTTGGATTAAATCCCCAAATCAAAACCTATAACCTACGCATTTGGTTGGACTGCAAGTTCCAGAAAAAATTATCCTCAGCAATTTGTCTTATGTCGGTCTCGAGTCAGAAAAAGACACTGAAAATATGAGGTGTTTTTACTGTCTTAACTAAGAGATTATGGTGTAGTTATGATTTGACGACTCTGCAATTGAGTAAGTTCTACTTTGGAAAGGAAGAGGGTGAGTTGTGATAAATTCCTGGCATTACAACTGAAATTCTGACCATACATAAAACTTTATCAGTGGTTAATGAAAAGAAATGCAACAAAGAAAGAAAAGAACAGTTAAGGAAATGAAATGAAGCCAATCATGATCCAGAGTTTGACTTGGTGACCATTAAAGGCCTCTAGATCTCCCATACAGGTCTTAGAAAACAAAGGATAAACATGAAAATAACAAAAATAATAATAATAGTAAGTGTTGCTTGTATTTAACATGTGTTGTTTGCAGGTAGTGCCAGTCTTCCAAGATCCTTTGAGGTCTTCAACAATCCTGATCCTTTCTTTACTCAGCCAACTCAGCAATTTCCAGACGAAGAAGGGTTTTCCAGTCCAATGCTCCACACACAGTCATCAGTGACCTACTCTCCACCTTTGTCAAGTTCTCCGAGTGAGTTCTCAGCAGACTCACCTATGTCTTCTATAGATGGCTGGTTGTAACAGTACTACATTTTAACAGTAGCATTGACAAAGGCAATTCAATGCATCGAGTTAACCTTGTAGTAAACCTCTATAACCCTTTGACCTCCAAGAACTATTGGCTTGTAATGTCTTCTTGTGATATCATGCCTGACTAACTCATTGTCACAAGAATAAAGAAAATGATCAACTAAAGAAGCTCTTGATTTACAAATTCTCCTTGTCAGCACTGTAGGAAATGTATAGTGAACAGTATGGAGAATGTTCATACTGATGCTAGGGTGTTAAGGGTTAACTGTTGTACATTTTCTTGTGCATCACTTATTTATGAGAGTTTTTTCTCTGTCAAGTTGACACTTAGATGATAACCTTTTTTATTCTAATCTCATTGTGCAATTACAATCAAATTGCTGTGACATACATGAAGGATTATCCTGAAAGCTAGCTTCTGGTTACTGTCTCCTAGTACTGTCTGTCAAGAGTTTTTTCAAACACTCTCTGTCCTTGAATCCTTCTACATATTTTGAATAATGAACTGAACTTGTACAGTGAAGTTACACTTCACTCCTTACAATGGAAAGATGAAGACTTATTAGTAAGACAAAGAAAAGTTTGTCATCCTGGGGCAAATTGTTTTAGAGGGAGTATAACTCATGGGAAAGCTACAAAGCCTAGTAAGTTTACTCTAATGCAAGGTTAGGAAAAATGTGTTCTGAACAACTTGGCTTAGATTGTGACTGTGGCAGAGTTTGCATTGCATCATGGGCAATATGCTTTTACAGCTTACAATTGTCTTTCTAGTTGTAACAACCCTTAAATAAGATATCAAAAGTATGTAAAATTGACAAGAATGTGAACCATGATAGGGGAATACAAATGAAGTCATATTTCTCCAATCATTATTGTGTTCAAAAAACATATATTTAATATTATGATGAAAATGTAGGATATTGTGTTCATTGGAATGTTTGCATGACTACGAGTTTAAATTTGGATATAGGGTTTTTAAAGATGACTTATGATTTTGATTATTCATATTTAGTATATACTAACAGTTGATAGTGTTGAAGGCACGCTCCTATTAGCCACTCGAACTCCAAATAATCTTTGGGGCTCACTTCCAGGCAATTTGCACTGGATCTGGGTCCAAGAATATTATAATTGTTGCAGGAGTAAACAAGTTTAAATAATCTTTTTAGGCTATACTTCTCACTGTTTTAGTACATACTTACAGCTCCGTAAATATTCACCATTGGCCACCTCCACTTTAGTGAATAGTTGTTACTTGCCATTCTATAATCATGTTAGTTTAGCTTTAGAATTTAATAGACTACTACCCATTCATGCAATAGCAAGTGCATAAAAAGAATTGGATGTTTGACCCCTTGGGCTGTACAAAAGTTAGGATGAATTAACCAGAGGTATTTATTGCAAAGTGTTGCTATTTTTGTTATTCACTAGTACATATTTTTATCATCATGTTGTACTAAAATTAATTTTTTATGCAGAGGACATCAATGTAAATAGTTTGCTTATGGCTACTGAATGAGTATTACTTTCTGGAACAACCTGCAAAGTGACCCAATAAAAAGCTATTTTTAAATAAAAGCTAAAGATTTGTCTCTTCTTGCATCTTTCGTTGAATGTGAATTAAAAGTCAAGAAATTACAACAGTGTCATTGAAAAGTTTTCGAAGTTCTTTTTTCAGCTCTGGTATACCCTTTCCATACTTTGCTGATACAGGTATAACTGGAAGAGGGAAAGTGTTCTGTAGTTGTTGGATTTCTGTCTCTGAATTAGCAATGTCTACTTTGTTAGCCACAATGGCTGCTGGTCTCTGTGATAGTTGTTCCTTGTAAAGCTCCAATTCTTGCCGTAAGGAAGCAAAAGTTGTCAGTGAGTCTGGGCGAGAAATGTCCAAAACATACAGTAGACAGCGGCATCGTTCAATATGTCGTAGGAAAGCATGTCCTAACCCTTTGTTTAGATGTGCTCCACTTATTAAACCAGGAATATCTGCTACTACAGAGTAGGAAGAGGAAAACATCAATTCAATAAAAACAAATGACAACAAAAAGACAATAGAGCAATAGATAAAAAAATAAAACAATGCTCTGAAAGGTTTCTTTCTACTGATTGCTAAAATAGCCATGGTTTATTGCACCAAACTTTTCTTGTGTCTTCTTCCATCCTGCATAGGTGATTACACCAGTTAAACCAATAGAAAATGTGGCTTACAGCTTACATAATATAGCATATAGCAGACAGTAAGCAGACTGTAAGCAGAAATTTTATCTAGATGTATCAGTTACTGTGCAATCATTCAAATGTTACCTGCAATTTGCTGGTAATCTTCAAACTCTACAATTCCAACATAGGGATTAATGGTGGTGAAAGGATAAGCAGCAACTGCTGGCATTGCCCGAGAAATTGCTCTTAGAAGAGTGGATTTTCCTGCATTAGGGAAACCAACCTGTAACATAGGACAAACCAATTTGCCAAATGCTTCAACTACAAGGCTATAAGTTTTGAACACTGGTTGAGTTCCAATAATGCAAAGCAATACTGACCAATCCAATATCAGCTATTGTCTTCAACTCCAACTCTACAACTTTTTCCTCTCCGGGGGTCCCTTCAGTGGTAACATTGGGTGCACGATCTTCTGGTGTCTTGAAATATGCATTCCCCATTCCACCAAGGCCTCCTTGAGCAGCTACAAAGGTCTCTCCCATGGCAGTCAAGTCTGCTATTACATGACCTTGCTCTTTAATAACAGTGCCCAGGGGTACCTATAAAGGGACTTTTCTAATTAGGTTACTGAAATAGGGGAACTAATCTTAATGCCAATGTTCACTCTTCTCTTCATAATATGACCATCTGTTAAGGAAAATCATGCCATGTTCTTAGGCATGACCCTTCATTTACACAGTGCTCCTGAGCAACTCAGGAAGATACATACAAGTGGTCATGACATGACCTGAAGCCAAATATTTTCCCCTCTAGCCCTCCAACTCAGTCAAATAAAACACAGTATTGCAAATGGTTAGGGAAATCTAACAAAATAGTAGCCAAAGGAGTGAAACGTGAAAGCCAGAGGCTTCAATTTAAGCCAGAAACTGGCAGCCTACTGCTGCTTATAAAGCCCCATTAAAACACCTTTAACCACCCCAAGCACATCTGTTAAGAAATTCACTTTAAGGGGTGAATGAAATTAAGTCTAGGTGACTTCTGATAGACTACAAGATTCTCCTTCTAAACTGTCAATGTGTTTCTTTGCAAAACACACGGAGAATTTGAGTCTGTATCAAAAGTCATTGAGTGCTTCATTCTGTGCATGTGGTCATTTAAACCAGCCTTCAGACCCAGTGTGCATATATATTCTCTATACTGTCCATTATATATATTTCTCACGGTACTGACTAGGAGAAGTTGTCTAACATGGTCATTTCCTTTATTCTCACGTCCATAATGTTTGGTTTTCATTAGGTTTGTGACCCGATAAGTTTGTAATTTACCTGCCACATCTGATCTGAGCCATTCTTTCCCTTACAGTCATCTGCCTTACCAGCTCCACCATTTTCAGCCTTGATATGTTTGGGAAGATGAGCAAACTCCTTAACAGAGTAATCTGCAATCAGAATGACACTCCCTCCTCTCCCACCATCTCCGCCATCTGGACCAGCTCTGGGTTGGTATCTAGATGTCGATGTTGGATATTGTGATATCATTGACTTATTGCATGATTGGGGAGAAAATATCATAACTAAATGTTACTGTATCTGATAAGCTTTTGATCTTACTTTTGTCTTTTAAAGTGAAGGCAACCATTTCCACCATTTCCTGCCTTCAGGATAACTTTTTTCCAGTCAATAAACTGCCTTTTCTGAAAAAAATTGAAATAAAAGGAACTGCCATCAAAATTCAATGGTAGCAGCATACAAGTGCAAAGACATGATCAATGGGTGACCTCATGCAATTTAATAGAGGGTTGCAATTCCCCTCCTTTTCATCAGAGGGGCTCCAATCTTCAAATATGAGTACATCTCTGGTATATTTGTTGTTACGCAAGTAGACTTGTTAAGCAGAAATAGTTGTATTTGATTTATAGATCAAAAAAGGTTCTACGATTTTACTGAAAAAATATTACCTAACTTGTTCAGTCTATTGCCTTTGTTTCCAGTGTGACTTTTGGGTTCATTCACAGCAAGCTAGGTGGTATCAAGCCTCTCCTTTTTTACCCATAAATCAGAGCAACAAAAAAACTGCTTAACCCTGTACACCCTAACTTCAGTTTGCATATTCTCCATACTGTTCTTTATACATTTCCTATGGTATTGACAAGGAGACTTTGTTTAACAATCATGAGCTCCTTTACTCTATGATCATTTTCTTTATTCCTGTGACCTGAATATGTAAATCAGAGGTGATCTAGTAAGGAGAAATTAGATTCTTGTCACTCTTAGGGGTTAAAGGGTGTAATGAATCACCATGAATTGACCTTAAAAATACACAGGAGACAAAGACAAATACAACTGAAGTGAGTTAAACTACCTTTTTTGGTTAAATCCCCTTCATTTTTTGGGGGGCATATGCAAACATTTTCTTAACCCTTTGGTTCCTAACATCAGTATGTATATTCTCCATACTGTTCTTTATACATTTCCTTCAGTACTAAGGACAAGGAAAATTTGTTTAACAAAGAGCTCCTTTCAAATGGGTGATCATTTCCTTGTAATTAAGATACAAGAATTTGGTGTCAGATCGAGATAACAACTTCAACCCAATAAGTTTGAATATTCTCATGACCTGTTTGCTGAATAATGTTTAGATATTATAGGGAGAAGTTACATTTTGATTACCTCTAGGTGTTAAAGGGGTTAAGAGGAGTTAAGAGGAGTTAAGAGAAATAAAAGTTTTCTTTTCTCCTTACCTGTCTGATGGAAAATGTGTTGATATGACTAAGAGAAGTTGCTCATTATTCACTCCTGGGAGTTGAAGGGTTTTAGTTAACTCTTTACACCCAATATGCATATTCTCTATACTGTTCCCTATACATTCCCTATGGTGCTGTGAGGAGAATTTGTTTCATAATCAAGAGCTTCTGTAGTTGGTGATCATTTCCTTTATTCTCTTGACCTTAATGTTATATACAAGGGGTGATAGTGTAAGGAGAAATTGTTTGCTGGTCACTCTTAGGGGTTAAAGGGTTTTACAAACAAGTCCTGTTGCGTCACTAATTAATACAGCCAAGATGCACCAGTGGTTTCATACTTTAGCAAAACAACCATTGCCATACTCTTAAACGGAACACATACTTAAATTAGAGTAAAACAGAAAAAGAGGCTAAGAGTAAAATAAACATAATCAAAGTTAGCAATTATTTCAGTTATTTGATTGTTGTTGTTTACACTAGATGAAGAATTTTGATTGTTTGATTAAGAATTAGATTGTCAGCACCGATTTCTATCAGAATAAATGATCAAACGATTCCTACTTTACCTTGCTTGCTTTGGAACTAAAACACCTCGAGATCACAAAACGCCATATAAAAACCATTTAAGAATGTGCCTTGAAAACAGGAAAACAAAGCTTGGTTGCTAATTCTTCAGGCGTGGCTACATAATATGAACCCGCTGACCTGTCAACACAACCTGCAATGGAAAAATCGATGTTTACAGTTCGAAGCGACTGCTGAAAATGGAGACACGGTACACGTGGTTTCTTTATTTTGTTTTCGATCAGACAGGCCTCTAACTTTACATTTAGCACCCAGTGGCTGGGAGAAGAATGGCGGCGGATCGCCCAAAGCGAAGGATCACACAACCCTGTTTGGTATGTAAAACGATTCTCTGATTGAAGGCGCCTTTGTTTCGAACTTCTGCTGTTAGCGACGGGTCGATCGCTACGTAAGGAAGCGCTTTTGGCGATTTCCTGTTACTGTTTCATTGTTCTGTCGATTCTCGCTTTTGTTCTGTTAGATCCCTAACTGAACAGCTGTGTGCGAGTGATCATTTCAACTCCGCAGTTGAAACTCTACTGCACTCAAGTTTATCTAATAGGTACTACAGCGAACGCATCACGTGAAATTAACCCGGAATAAGGGGATGTGAGCTGCCGAATCTTGCGTTGACTGGTTTTTCACAGACACCCCGAAAGAGGCAATTTCCTCATCTTTGTTTAATTTAGGTTATGGGGAGAAAGCACCATGCATTCAGTATGGGGTTTTGACTGCAGTCAAGTACTCTGTCTGAGTCTTGTATTGTGATAATTAAAAGTGCATGCCAGACAGAATCATAGCCACTTCTATTGAAAAAAAATCGTATGAGAAAAATATTCAAAATGATGTTGATCACCGCTTCAAATTCAAGTCTTTTAAATAATTAAATATTCAAATGTTCCCCTTCAGTAAAACGGGATCTACATTAGCACTTTAGCGGGTTGAATATTGTCGACGGCTTTCGAATCTTAATACGCTATCGAAGGAGTTCAACAAGCAAATTTTAATGTTTTGAGTTAAGGCTGGGCATGAAACAACCATAATATATTTGTTTTTAAGTATTATCACGTGTGTTGTTTTTAGAAAACGTAAAACTTCAGACATTATTTCAACGCCTGACATATCAGTCCATTGTAGTTTCATGCATGACTGCATCTCACAGTCCTTTAGTTCGAAAATGCGATCATTTTTATAACTTGACCCTCTGATTTCTTAATCTGAGACTTGATGGTAAAAACTTTCATCAAAGCTCAGAACTGGACAGTTTTTCTTTTCCATTTTTGATATTGGGTCAAACGTTGTTGTTTTGTTATTTGTTTTAACTGTTTTTATTATTTATTTGTCATATCTATTGATATTTATTTATACATTTACCTTTTTTTTTCCTTTACATATTAATGACAGTTTTTTCAAACTACTGCAAAACTGATCTTTACATCTGCATTCCAGCCACTTGACTTAATTTTGCAGATTACTTTTTTAAAGTGCAACTTCTGCTCTGTCATGGTGCTTGTACAAAACTGTCCAATCAAATATCAGGAAAAGAGGATTGAATTTGAAAAAAAAAGTTTTTCTCACCCCTTTTTACTCCAGCCCTGAGTCTTGTAAGAATCACTTTTCATTTCCTAAAACGTGATTGGTGAACTTTATGTTAGTGGCTTTGTACAAGACAATCATACTGGACAATGTAGTTGCTCAACCTATTTATTAGCTCATTTAAGAATCACCATATGTGTTCCTCAGTCCATTCTATTTTTAAAAATTACTATAATTCATTTTGTTGGATCTCAGGAGGTGTATACACAGATGTAAAGTAACCATTAAACTCTCAAAATCTGATTCTTACTTCTCCTTTCAAGCTGCTACTCATTGCCTTGTAAATTAGTTACGAGAATTTGGAATTAGATCAAGATAGCAACTTCTCCTTAATTAGTTTGAACATTTTCATTACTTTTTTGCTGGATAATGTATGAATACTATGGGGAGAAGTTATATGTTAATCACTTCTTTGAATTACAGGGTCTGTGTTAAGCAGAAGTTACACAATAATATGCCCCTGTGAGGTTAAAGCCAAGAGTCACACAGTGCTTTACTAGAAAAGTAGTATTTGAGTATCACAACAGATATGTGTTTTTTTTTCTCTACAGGAATACAATGGAGGACTTCTACCAAAAGAGGAAATAATGTTGCGGAAAGCCATGTATGCCTCTCTTATAGAATCTAAAAAACCTTCACCAAAAAAAATTGTTGTGCATCCCTCATCAACAGAGAATGATGGATGTTATGTTAATGGAGTGCTTGATAATGTGGAGTTAATCTCAGCGGGAGAAGAAATCAATGGCAAGCATTGTGCTATTCCTAATGAGGTTGACAACAATAATAGTCCTAATGTTCATCAATTTGAAGATGTACAAGCCATGGAGATCCACAGCCCCTCATCAAGTACAGCTACTACACAGAAAAAGACAAAAATTATCAAGGAACCTAGCAAACTGTTGAATTATGTGCTCAAGAAGAAGAAAGAGAAGAAGAATAAGGGCAGGAGTTTATTCAGAACTCCATCACCTTTGAAACTTCAAGCTCATGGTGATAGTGGAAGTGTGGATTTTTCAGGTGGAGAAGCAAATGTCCTGAGAAACTCATCTTATTTATCTCAAAATGGGAAAGTGAAAAAGAAAAAGCGGCAAAGAGGAGCTCTGGCTGTTTTTGTAGCCATGAATAAATCTGCTGGAGGAAAACTTAACAAAAGCCATAGTCTAAGCAAAGAACTGCTCATGAAGACAAAAAAGAAGAGAAGAAGAAGGCAGAAAAGCATGGAGACTCAAGCGTGTGGAGCTGAAGGAGCTGTTGGTCTTGCTGCTGAAAGTGAGGAGTTGCCCACAAAGAAATACAAGAAAGATGAAAAGAAAAAGTGAGTAATAAAAACCTGTGAACCCTTTAACTCCCATAAGTGACCAAGAGAGAATTTCTCCCTGGAATATTATTACAGCAATCAGAAAAGTAATGAGAAGAAAGAAAAACCTAAACTTGGGGATTGTTTGTTGATCCAATACCAAATTCTCCAAACTTACATCATAAATATTGTATGGCAGTCAGTTATGAGAATTACTAATGAGATTTTGGGAATGAAAGGGCTGAGGTCAGGGGGGAATTTTTAACTTCCTGTTTAAGTCATTAATTATGTATGGTGACAGGTGTTCTTTAAAACACAAAGAGGTTTTCTAAGTATTTCATTTCACCTAGCTCCTAGTTTTCATTTTCAAGTGCTAAGAATTTTTTTGGTTATTCCTCCCTTTACATAAAATGCATTTCCTTGAAATCCAGTCTTAACCCTTTAACCTTCCAAGATCTGATGGTTAATTCTCTTCTCTAGCCACTACAAATTTCCTTGTAAATAATTTACAAGAATTTGGTGTCAGATCAAGAAAACTGATTCAACCTGATAAGTTTGGATATTTTTATGACCTGTTTGCTGGATCATGTTTAGATATTATAGGGAGAAGTTACATATTAATCACCTATGGGAGTTCATGGTTAAGAGAAGTTATTGTCAAAGAGAAATAAAAGTTTTCCTTTCTCCTTACCTGTCTGATGGAAAATGTGTTGATATGACTAAGAGAAGTTGCTCATTATTCACTTCTGAGAGTTGAAAGGTTTTAGTTAACTCTTTACACCCTAACATCAGTTTGCATATTCTCCATACTGTTCCCTATACATTCCCGAAGGTGCTGATGAGGAGAATTTGTTTCATAATCAAGAGCTTCTGTTGTTGGTGATCATATTCTTTATTTTCATAACCTTTAAGTGTGATTTGGGGGTGATATTGTAAAGAAAAATTAGATGCCAGTCATTCTTAGGGGTTAGAGGGCTAGATGCAAGTGGTTTTCATCTGTTTTCATGTTCTCTGACTTACATTAATTTATAACTGTTGATTTTTCGCTGTTCTTGGGAGTTATGTATAACATAAACATGTTCAATTTAGGCAAGAAAAAAAAACTGAACAGAAAATATGCCAACAACTACAACTTAATTCACACACAGTAAAATTTGAATTACAAATTATTTCATATTGTGTGAAGTAAAAAAATGAGTCAAATCTTAGGTGACTTTTTAAACATTCAGGGTTTGAATTGAATTTTTGTAAGATCCTTAAGCTTTAATAAACTGATTGAACAAACTTTTGATTAGTATGCACACCAAAATAAGAAAACTGATCAGACAAATTGCCATCTTTTACATTCTTTGAAGAGGTCTAATGTTATGATGGTAAGTATCATCCTCAAGTAAAGAGTCATCCAATAAAAATGAAGGAATAATCATATGATAAAATGGGAAGAAAATTTTTAACTTCAACAAATTGCCTTGTTCTATAAAGGACACCTATGACTGTAGTTATTTTTTTAAACTTGAATGTGTATAATGCTGTATAATTTTGAAGATGTGCAATCATGAGATAGATTTTCAAGAGAAAAATAACAATTTTGATAGTTACATGTATTCTGCTGTCTCCTTATGTTACTTAAAATTGGAAACAATCATATTAGCATGTGTAGAGTTCTACATTGTGTTTATTATCTTGATTTGAATTCAGTTTATTGATATGTATCTTTTGTGTTTTTATAGGCCACACAGAATGGTTCAAGCACAGAGGAAATTTGCCAAGAGGCATCCATTGAGTCCCAACAGGTACAAAATTTTTTTTTAATCCCAAAATTGGTTTTTAAAAAAACTTTTTAACCCTAGCATCAGTATACATATCCTCAATACTCTTCTCTATACATTTTCTTTGGTACTGACAAGGAGAATTCGATTAACAATCAAAGTGTCTTGGTTGATGATCATTTCCTTTATTCTCATGACCTCAATGAATGATTGAGCAGTATTACTGTAAGGAGAAATTAGATGCTGGTCACTCATGGGGTTTAAAGGGTTGAATTACAGACTGGTTATATTTTAAATATATTTATTTACTTATTTGATGTCTATTTGTTTAGTATGAGATATCAGGTGGACAACAACTTATTTACAGCTCCATGCACCAGGGCAAAGACTGAAGATTTTTTGACTTTTCTGTGTTTAAGAAGTGAGTGGTGTAATCATTTAGTTAATATTTGACAATTATTCACTGAAGTGGAGGAGTTCAGTGGTGGATATTTACCTCGCTGAACAGCCGCATGGTAAATATCCACTGATACGGTCACTGACATTGAGGTGAATAAATGTTTTGAAAAGAAATGTGTTTGAATTGGGTATAAACTACAACAGTTAGATAATAATGCTCAAAAGATGATTTTAATTCATTTATTCCTTCAACGATTGCAATATTTTTGAGCGCAAACCCATATGAGTTGCTCAGAGGTGGATAGCAAAAGATTTTGGAGCTTGAGTAGCCAATCAGAGCACATCTTCAACCCAATCCACTGTTTTGGTATATACTTATAACTATTAACAACATGTGGATAATTACTATTTGTGACACTGAAAAGGTATTTGAAACCTTTTGTACATAACAGTAAAGACACAATCTTAATATTATACACATGCAAATTAAAGGAGACTGGACTCCTGTTAATTGTTGGTGAAATGTTCCGCTCCCTTCCCAGAGTTAAGTATTTTTTCAGGCAATCAAATTTTCTGGGTATCAACACTGATAAGAAGGAAATGGCAAGTTTTGCGACATCTCTGGTGAGGACTGTGGGTAAAGTGCAAGCCCAGTCATGTTCATTGAGCTGATCCAAAGTATACATCTTTACCCCTTTTTAACCCTTTAGCTCCCAGTATATGATTATTAATTCTCCCCTCTAGCTGCTACACGTTTCCTTGTATATTAGTTTCGAGAATTTAGTGCTAGATCAAGATAACTTCTACCTAATAGATTTGAGTACTCTCATTACCTGTTTGCTGGATAGTGGATGGAAATTGTAGAGAGAAGTTACATGTGAATCACTTCTGGGAGGTGAAGGGTTAATTTGAATTTTTCTGATGTTGTTGTCGAGGTTTTTTTTTTGTTGTTGTTTTTTTTTTTTTCAGGTAACCCTGTCTTACCAAAAGAACTAGAGGTCTTCAATAACCCTTGTCTACCGATGTCACCATTATCAGAGGAGGAAGACGATGTCTCCTCTCCACCCTCCCCTGTTCGATCACAATCGTCCATGTCGAACTCGTCAAGTGCTATTCAGATATCACATTCTGACTCACCTGTCCCCTCTGTGGATAGTCCAGCAACTGGTGAGGGACCCTCATGGGAGAGTGGAGTTGTTCGAATGTACGCAGATGGCCCCAAAGGGCTAGCTGCCAAAGGCAAGGAGGAGAAGAAATATGATGAACTCCTTCCAAGTGACGAGGCAGATGTGAGTGAATTGTTTTTCTTGATGTGTGAATATTGAGGCGACTGACTATGGCTGCATTTTAATTGTTATGTAAGTTCAACCTTAAATCATCGTCCGCAAGCGGCACAGCCTCTTTTTTCCTCTTCATACATGACAGTCAATTGAGGAATTGGAACTTGTTCACATATCATTGCTTACAGATTCCATTATAACTCGTGTTTCATTAATTACTGACTCTTAACTGATCAGACGTTTGAATTTTTGTTTTTATGCGATGCCTTATAGGCTTTTTCACAACAAGTCACTTGATAGATTTCACACTTTTCGACACTTTGTGGCTAGTTTCCAGGTCCTTGCTGTTCTAACGGCAGATACATGTAAGATCATTTAGGAATAAATACTTTATAGTACATTCGACTCCCGAAAACGCGAAAGGGGAAGTGAGATAAGGTTCGAGTTATCGGTTTTTCATTTTATTAAGAATTGAGACAAACTGACCAGAAATGGGAACACGGTGGTGACTGCAGTTTTATTTATACAGCGTACATTTTGATCAAATGTTATTGCCCTATAGAGAAGAGGGGTGAAGATGACATATTTCAGTTGCGAGTAGGAGTTTCCATTGACCAAAGCCTTAGTAAAACTTAAAGTGTTGTGAGAGGTTCTACTGTTGTAGGATTCAGCTTTACTTCTATAGTTGTGTTTTAAGGTCGTTATCATACATATCATCTTTTACTACCTGTCCCAGGCGTTCATTCTGGAAATGAAGCTATAGGATAAACGGCGCAATGGTAGCAGCAGAGCGAAAACGGGGAAAGTTTAAGTCTGGTGGCGAAGAGATCGGCGCTCGTCACGCGAACCCGACCCAAATCCCCCTCGTTTTTTTTTTTGTTTTGTTTTGTTTTGGTTTTTTTTCATATCTCCGCTTCAGTCTACTATCGCGTTTCGTTTTACTCTTCGTTTTACTCGCTGAACTCCTGAAAAAGGCTACCGCTATAATTAAAACAAAGTTATGAGTTGATTAATCGCTTAAAAATAAGATGACAGTCTCGACTCGAAACTTTCGAGAATCGAGGATCGAGACGCTCGATGAACTTTCGGGGATTTCGATCCGCAGGGAACGATGTTATTCTAGCACGCAGAACAATAGCAAAAGATAAAGCGCCATTCGTATCCCTTACATCCCTGCTTCCTGTTACGTTAGCCTTTCCACTTTCGTGTTTCTAAGCTCTCGCAAAATAAATTTTATACGTCTCCCTAAACTCAACGAGCCGAAAAAACGTTCAAATTTTTGCTTTTCTCCACATACGTATAAACCTTCTTTCAAATTGTTGATTAAGTGATTAAGTGTTTCCATTGTGAACCTGCGTGCTAAAGCTTCTATTCATATGAATTATGAATATTTACAATCGTTGCGCTGTAAAGCGGGTATAATATTTCTGTTCCAATTTTTTCACAAATATTTCTTGTGTCTTAATTTAGTTTTCCACCAATCTCTTCATAAATCGAACGGGGCTGGGTGCGAATGTATAGTTCCATCCAGGAAGTCAACCCGTAACTTTTGAAGGATATGAATGTTGGCTTCGCCTGCTACTCTGATTAAATGAAAGCAAACAAACCAAATGAATTCAAATTGAATTAAAAGGTGGATTCAACGGGTTCACCTTAACCACAAATAGTAATTCCCAAGGGAATTGATTTTTAGGACGCGGTAATTTGGAAGTGATAACTTCATTGTGCCCTCACATCCAATTAGAGGCTATTAACGGCAATTTTTTTATCGATAACGTTTTGTTTGAATTCTTTTTCTAGAGCCCAAGAGACCTCACAAAATCAGTGACACCACCGCTTGCTTTCAGAGTGTCCTCTCGTCCGACGAATCTGTCATCAAACCGAGTGAAGGATAAGCAGCTTCCGCGACCGATTCCGAAACCTTTCGCTGTCAAGCCCAGTCTAACAGGCTCCTCACTCACAAGGACATCATCTTCTCATTTGGCGGGCGATGTTGGTTGTGGCTCCATTCCTCCGCCTCCCAGCTTTTTACAGTCGTCAGATTCGTCATCTTGTTCCCCTCCTCCACCGCCATTACTGTACATCCCTGCGGCGGCTCAGAGAGTCACTCATCTTCACGGTCCTCCTACCCTTCAAAGATTCCCATCGACTTCTCCTACGCGAGATCAAGAAAGCACTTCGCCTTCAGAGGTAAGGCACAGGCTGACAACCATTCAAGATGATGGACCACCGCCTTTAAAGAGGTATCCTCCTGTAGATGTGGAACGAGAGGACGTGAAGAGAAACAACGTCTCGAAGGAGCCATCTTTAAGAAAGGCTGGAACTTCAGAATTCCAGCCAATTTTATGGACATCAAACAATAGTGAAAAAAAGGACCATGCTACAGTTGAAACTGCTACATTTAAGAAATCAAACACTTCTGTTTGTGACTTGACTAAAATTTCCGAGGTAGGAAAAAAGGTTGACACGAATGCAACTACCTGGAGGAGTAAGGAAATGCCACTGTTACGGAGACACTCTTCAGCAAGTGAGGTCGCGGATGTGCGCGTTGAAGATCACTTGCTTTTCTCCGGGGCATCACGTAGGATCAATTCCAGCAGTAGTCCTCCTCGTCTGCAGCGGGTTCCTATCTCGGTGGATACAGCCATTGAAATGCATCTTAATCGCGTTGTTTCCTCCGGAAATTTAACTGAACCTACCCGGAAGCATATAGAAGCTTCCAGAAGTCGTTATTCGCCAAACTTCCCGTCTCACCCTCCAAGACTGGTTAGACACTCACCAAGTCACCTTGGAAGGAACGCTAGTCCAGCATTTCTCCAAAATGACTCATTGAACATCGGCGTTGATCCCAGTCGGCGACAGTCTTCGCCGTTTTTTGATTTAGCTTCCTCTAAACCCGTAAGTGCGCAGCCTATTCAGGAAACACCTCTCGGTAGAACTATTCCTGTTGGATCTCTAGTTTCCGCCAGACATTCTCCGTTGTTTACGTCTAGTCAGGCCAGGTACAAGAGTACTTACGTTTTCTCAAATCGGCAGACGTATGTGCAGCCAGTAAATGAGACGAGACCGTTGCCAGTCAGCGCCTTGATGGTGCCCACTGCAAATGGTGTAAACGTCTCTGGAAATCATTCCGAAGTTAATGCAATGCGACTTCAATTAAATAGTGGTTTCAGCCGATTGAACGAGTGGAAGCTTTCCCACCCTGTGCAGAATCCGTGTCCAAGCCCTTCATCGTCCTCGTATATTCATCGTGGAACAAATCTCAGTGTCATGCCGGAAAATAGACAGCTTAGTAATTCTCCTGTAGGATTTAAGAGAATCCCATCTCCAAGATCTGACTTGTTCAGCGGCATTTCATCAGCACCAGTTGATATTTCATTTATGTCGCACGCTGGCCCTAAAATAGATTCTACGGTTTCAGGAGTTAAACCGTGGGCTTTCCAGCCTAGTTTAAGACAAAAAGAAAACTCTCTTGGAGGCTTGCCTCCTACATGGTCTCATTTACAGTCTCCCTATTCAATACCATCCGTTGTTTCCCGTAGTTCTCCTAAACCGTATACTTTTTCTGCAAATCTTTCACAAGCCTCGCGCCATTCTGGGTCGTATTCTGTTTTGCATTCAAACGCAGGGACGTTAGAAAGATATTCCGTAGGACCGTCTGGATCGAGTGATTGTCAGTACGTGTCAGTTATTCAGCGCGCGAATGCCAACGAAGGTGAACCATCACGGCGCGAGATTTGGACAGGCGAACAAGAAAATGTCAAAACATTTCAGTTGCCAAAGGCATTTCAAGGAGGCGATATGCGATACGATGCGAGCTCAAATGCCTTGTTAAACAAAATTTCATCACCAGATGCATCCAAGAGGGAGCAATCATCCAAAGATCATCTTAAACAAGTACAATCTTCTGTAAAAGATTTCGATTCTGTCAACTTGAATCGGCAAACGCCAAGCGCATCAAGCAATCATGAGAAGGAGAGGCCGCCAACTTCGGACTCACCCAGGTTAAAGGCAAAGAAAGACAAAGTTGCGGGTTCAACAAAATGTGTCAATACAGGTTTCAAGGTGAACAGTCCACCAAAAGTTGTAAAGAAGACTTCAGGCTCCAAGCAAAAAGAGGCGTTGTGTTCTCTTCCAGTTAAACCAAATGATTCACCTGTTTTTTATCCAAGTGAAGAGGAATTCCGCAATCCTGTTGCATACATCAACGCGATACGCGGCCACGGAGAAAAATTTGGTATCTGTGTGATTTGCCCTCCTGAATCTTGGAAGGTTTGTCTGATTTTATGTTTTTACAGTCAAATCAGTAGAAGTGGAAAAGATGTTGGTAAAATTTCCGCACAGCCCCATACTATTGTAAAACAAATCTGTCTTCCCAATGGCAATCTATTGTTTTTGTCATTGTTTTCTCTATCCAAGAACTGAATGCATAATGTAGTATGGGGCTGTGCGGAAATTTTACCAAGATGTTACTCAAGCTTTGTCAAATTACAAAAACGTAATTGCCCTTATTTATATGAAATTCCACTCTGAAATGTATTTGGTATGCACAAAGCAGCCTTTTTTCTTTCGTAGTTTACAAGTAATAGCATTCCAAACTTCATCTCTTGGGTCAAGAAACAGTGTTTTCTTCTGTCTAAATTGTATTTATTGTTGTGGTTATTATTTATCATTTTTTCTTGCATTTAGCCCGAGTTTCAGGTGTCCGACAATTTGCGTTTTAATAGCGAGTGTCAGTTGATTCACAAACTCCAAGACAGGTGAGAAACTGGTGCAAGTAAGGCTGTTAGTTAAAACCTTTCCCCCAAAAAAAAAAAAAAAAAAAAGAGACCAGGATATAAGTATCAATTATCTCCAACTTCCTGGTTAAAATTTGCGCAAGCTGTTGAGACATAAAAATTTCATTGCCTTATCCATTTCACGATGACTACATCGTTAGAGTGTAAATTAAACACTTTTTTTCATTAAACTGCTTTTCGATTGATTAACCTATACCACACTTGCCACCGTCTCAGTTTGTGAGAGCGGAGCGAATCATCATCATTAAAACCAATAAGGAAGAACCCATCGTGAATGTATGTGAGCGAGCGCGGGAAACTACAATCAGCGTTAAAACTAGTTGACATAACATGTTTGAAGAGTCCTCTTTATGTGTAGAATAACACTCCTGTTTCTTCCCCTCTTTAAATCTCTCAAATCAAGACCCTGTCTTCCCCATCTAATGTTGCCTGTAAGAAGCTTTAAGTTCATAAAATCACGGTACAACATTGTTTTTTGGGGAAAAGGCGAAAAAGGTCAACTTAACAAGAGCAAAAGAGATAAAGTTGAAGCAATAGGAGGCTGAAAAGATCAAAGTGTCAACAATTTTGTCGCCGATTGTAGGTTTTCGTTTTTTTTGCATTCGAGCGGTGGAGAGGACAGCGCTATTTCCTCTCTGTGACGCTCTTCCACGCTCAAAGGAAAAATACCTTTGTAGACGTTGTTAAGCTTTCTTGGTGTTGAATTTTCCAGGTGGGGTCCTGTGGAAGAAGAATTGGCTTGCATCCGCAAGCATCTCGATCAGCAGTCAATTTCTCTTGCGCCCATGCCTCAGGTGAGGGATTTAGTAAATTAGCTCCTAAAATTAATACCACTGATAAAAACCCTTATGTTTTTTCTGGGTAAACTATCACCATCAAATGTAAATGTTACGAATATTTATCTTGTCTCGCAGATTGGTGGATACGAACTCGATCTTCCTCAGTTTTCCAGAGTGATGAAACAATTTGGAGGACTGCAGAAGGTTGGTGGTTGTTCTTGTGTGGATAGTTACAGGCGCTGCTTCTTAGAGCTCCTTTCAAACTCGCTAAACGAAGTAGGAACTTTCAGAATTAATCTATTTCGTAAAAGACTCGGTGGCCTGGGAGTTAGCGTACTTGAATCCAGACTGAGAGGACTAGATTCGCGTCCATGCTTGGTCATTGTTTTGTGTTTATGACTAAGATACTTAACTCTCACCACAATGGCGCATTCCACCTTAGAGTGAAGCAATATTCATGGTAACGTCATGTTGGTGACACCTTGACAAGCTAAGGTAGTCATGGGCCCTGAGGCTCATAGGACCAAAACGCGCAGGAACTGCTTTATTAAATATTTATTTTCCGCGTTACTGCCGACAGTTTGCGAGGAAAAGAAAATTTCCTTCGATGTAAAAGAGATGTAGACTGCAGCTCATAAAATGAAGGCAGAAAGGCAGATTTAGTATAATTGACGGGCGAAAACTAACGGCCATTGCCGCCGTCATAGACAGTGGGAATAAACCTTTTGATTCTTTAAATGACTGTCATAATTTTCGCTTTTCTAACTGCGTCATATTTTCCTATAACTTGTTGACGAGAATTTGGTGTTGCATTGGGATAACACTTTCAAGTTGTTAAGTTTTTTAGTTTTCGTCGCTGGTCTGTGCTTTGGAACTGTTAGGAGAAATTAAACGGCAATTGCTACTGAGTTAAACTTGAAGATTGTTTTGTTTGACTTTCCAGGTTATTGACAACAAAAAATGGACGAAAATTGCCGAAGTGATGAAAATTCCTCGGGGGGTAAGTTACTAATTTTTACCTATGGAATGTATTAGATTTGTAGCGGTTTCAATAATTTTTTGCCTTAAAACGGTTGCCTGTAGGCGGCGGTGCCATAAGGCGAAACCCAAACAAGAGAACCAATACGCAGGCTCGACAGACAGCGGTAAGAGGTCTTATAGGCGGCGTCCTGATAACCAGCTTCTATAAAAGCCCTGAATTTGTCGTCCATTTGAAGCAACGACTGATCAGAAATCTCCCAGAGAAGTACTTTTAAAATGGTTTCGATCATTTTTCAATGTCACTTAGTAATTGGTCTCGCGGAAAAGTTCACGGGGATAGAGAAATCACAAAATCTCGTACATTTGACGGACTGCGTCGATGAATCAATTTCTTCGTTGTCATCAAGAATTCTCTTTTTCTCTCTTCAGACTAAATCTCTTGCTTTGGACAGACCAGAAAAAACTGTACTTGAACAAAGATTTTCGAAAAAGCCAATGTGTTTGAATTTAGAGCTTTTAACCATGCAAGACGCGTGAAAAGGAAAACTTTTCAGAATTGATAACACTTCCTCTGGTTGTTTCATTTCAGGCTCAAGACCGAATAGGAAAACTACAGGATATTTATTGTAAATACTTGCTCTCGTACGATCTGCTTCCGCAGGTGAGCTTGTTTGCTTGTACTTGGTTTAACTCTGTACATCCTAACATTTGTGTGATTTTCTCCGTACTTTTCGCTGTTCATTACTTATGGTACTGATCAGGAGAAGTTGTTATCCAGTCAAGGACTTTTTGAGCGGCTGATCATTCCCTTTATACTTGTAATCTTAACGTTTGATCCGGTAGTGATAATTTATAGAGAAATTAGATGCTAATCACTCAAAGGGGTTTAAGGATTGATATAGATAGTCTGAGTTTGTAATCTAAAATGCGTCACTTGCGAGTATTTATTTTCCAGTGTTTCTTTGTAAAACTGTTCGTTTTTCTTTCAGGAAGAAAAAGACAAATTGTTGCAACAGGTCAACGCGGAGAGGAAAAGTAACAACCCCTGTGGTACGTTCAAGGAGTGACACTGACTTACAAATTATTTCTTATTGAGAGTAAAGTTTCGCATACAGCCGTTGTATCACTACTCTCTATTTCCAGCATTGTGTTTCACTGTTTTACATTACGCCTCCAAGTTTAGTGTTGATTGTCAACGTGCGATTTTGTTTTCTCCTTTCTAGAAAAAGACGCGGATTCTTGGTCAATGAAGGTACGGGGGGCATTCTATATTTTACTTTTCACCTGTGTAGCTTTTTGTAAGTTTCCGTTGGACACTTTCACAAACTTGATGTACACGGGAAGTATATACCGACGTTGATTCCCTGGACGAAATCCCTTGTGCAGTACAAACTAAGGCATCACCATAACTTCGAGTGGCATGCCCTTTCGACTTGTTCTCATAATTCCAACAAATTTGAATTCTTGGAAGGAGCCGCGATGACAAAACGTTTCACTAAAATAAAACTCTTCTCCGGAGAGCGATACCATGGGGTAGTCTTAATGACAGTTGTTCCCGCGTGTTTGCCGATCTTAAGACAAAAGGCAACCCAGTAGACCAGCAGTATCCAAAATCTGATTTCGTCTAGCTTGCGAGCTGACCCTCATTATTAACACTGCTGGACACGCGTTTCTCAGCACCCGGAAAGATTTCAGACGACTCGGAGAGAGGTTTGCCGGTCTGTGTTAACCCTTTAACTTCCAAGATCTCATCAGTAATTCTCCTTACTGTCTTCCATACAGTTCTTGTGATGTTAGTTTGGAGAATTTGGGATAGGATCAACCTGACAATCCCCTAATTGATACTTTTCTTTATTCTCATCACTTGTCTGCTTGATACTGTATGGATATTGTAAGGAGAAATTCTGCCTTGGTCACTCATGGGAGTTAAAGTGTTAAACCCCTGACAGACCTCTCGCTGACTTTCACTGCTCTAGGGCTCATACTGTCTTGCAGTCGTAGTAAGGCTCGCGCTGAAGCGCTTAGATTTCTTCTTGCATCAGAATCCCACTTTTAATTACGAACAGCAAGTAATCTGAGCCAACTTATCAGTCAGACAGTAATATTTGATGCGTTACTATATCTTCAGAACCAATCTCATAGGAAATATACTACGGCAAGTAGAGAGAACTTCTTTGATCAGGGCACTGATTTGTTATTATCTTATGTTAGGGTCGTAACTTGTCTCTGGTACCATTCCAAAGACTTGCACGCAACGTGCAAGAGCATTTCTTTAAGAAGCCACCTTTGGCTAACGACGTCGAGGTATGCGTGTGTGTGTTTGTCATTTTGTTGTTATTTTTTAATTACGATTATATGTTTTATTTGGTTTACGAATATTGGAGGGGGGGGGGGTATTGAAGAGTGTTGCGGAAGCCTGGAAGCCTGTAGTAAGAAGTATTTGAGGAACGGCTGCAGGAACGGCTGCAGGTACTTCAAGCCATCATCCATGCATATCAATTTTTTTCATCGTTATTACTCTTGTTATTGTTTTTAGCGGGAATTCTGGAAGCTTGTTCATAATCGCGACAACTATATTTCTGTTCACCGTGGAAGTGTAGACACAAACCAGGAGAACAGCGGCTTTCCAACTGAAAAAGGAAATGTTTATTCAAAGTAAGTAATTAACAGAACTAGGAAAAAAAAAGGATTGATAGATACATAAAAGCTTATTAGTAAGGTTAAAATATCTTCCAGATTAAGACAGATAGTTCCCTGCTTTGTCTAATCAAAGTAGCTGGCGCTTCGGAAACGAGCAGCCGGTGAAAGCGCCGGTCGCCGAAGCGTCCAGCGGACATTATTTATACCTTACTCTTTACTCCATGTCTAAACTAACTAATTTTCATAGGAATGGATGGAACCTGAACGTTCTTCCACATTTGCCCGGTTCAGTTTTGAAACACCTGGGATTTGTTCAAGGTGAGAGCAATTTTGAGACAGAATCTTGTTATTTAACAGCTATAAAATCAACTCTACCCCAGTTATATACGAGATTCTGCGGATTGCAGTTTGTTTGTAAGCTCTACATAACTTGCTTTAAGATCCCCCCACCAACCGATCTCAGATGCTAGTATTAGGATTAAAGAGATGCCTTTTAAACAAGGCTTACAATGACCACACTGTCCGGTTTCAATTGCAATTTTAGATGTCACAGTGCCTTGGCTTCAGTTCGACATGATTTTCTCTGCGATTTCCTGGCAGACTCACCCTCTTGCTCTCTACACAGTGGATTACCTCCACAACGGAGGGGAGAAAATTTGGTAAGGGATTAACTCTTGCGGTTATACTAGGCATCTCGTCTAGATTTTTTAGTTTAGAGAGAAATTCAGACATTTTGCCATTATTTGGTATCACACATCATATGACTCCCTCACACCCCCACCCCTCCCCATCTGTCCACCCTCACACCCCCACCCCTCCCCAGCTGTCCACCTCACATCCCCCGTTCCTCCCCATCTGTCCACCCTCACACCCCAACCCCTCCCTTTCTGTCTACCCTCACACCCCTACCCCTCCCCATCTGCCTGACGTATTTGTATCGCTCAACCGTTTTAAGCACGCATAGCGTCAGACAAATGGTTTTTAATAGGATGGTTATTACTGGATGTGTTTTAGGTATAGTGTTCCAGTTGGAGAAAAGAAAAATTTTCTTTCTGTCTGTGGCCAAAGGCAAAGCGGAGCAACGGAAACAACAGAAGTAGACAAAATGGTGAGACTTTTTAATTGAAGACATTCAGTTTTTTGAAGACAATCAGATATGAACAGTCACATGGTGCCGAAAAGCATGCAATTAAAGTATGACGCGATTACCTACGAGAGACCAGACCAGGTGATATCAAACAAGGTGTTCGCAAAGAAAAGCATTCGTGGCGAAATGATTTTCTCGCAGTAGACAAGAGAAGGAAATGGAGAGAGACATACAGTTGTACCAAACTGTGCCGGTGGCTGTTCCTTCAATTTTTTTTTCTCCCGTTGCGAATTATTTGCATCACGTGTTTTTCAAAAAGAAGGACAGCTAATAAAGTTATGGTCAAGAAACTTATTGACAGCTCAAAACAAATTCAAGGCTAATGGTTTGTGAACATATATTACCGTTCTCTCTCATGCAACCCTGCAGGGATGACCCAACACTCGAAATGGCAGCTTTTCCATACTCGCTTGTCAATGAAATGTTTCACTCTGCTGTGGACGCAACACGTCAAGTTTCCTTCAGAACCACCCACCTTAAATTTTTTTCAATCCTAAACATTGGGCATGAAATTTTTCCCCAATTTTGTTTTTCTGCAGGTTTCTCCCAGCAGTTTATCGGACAACGGAGTGACGGTAACAAGAGTTGTACAAAAAGAGGGACAGTTCGTGATCGTCTTTCCGGACGTAAGATGTACTTTACTTTCTACCTTGAAACGTTTTCGTTGTGTCGGTAATTTGTAATAAAAGGCTACCCTAGATCTTATAGATCCAAAGTTAAGTAAACTTATTTCAGTTCAGATGAGCCAGGATGTTTCATTGCACTTATTGCAAAAAGGCGAAACAGGAAGACGACTAGACGACCGACTCCGAGAACACCTTCGTGATGTTTAGAGGAATGACAGACGTATACAAACCAGTCGTGAGACTCTTAAATTTTCCAAATCATTCTAAGCAACATATAGTAGTCTGCACCTTTTCCTTACATCAAGACGATTCGGAAAGCCGCAAAACTTTAGAACAGAGAAATGTGTTTTGAATCGGCACTCTTAATCACCACGGTATCAACGAACGCTTTTCTTAAGCTTGCTTATTTATTCTTGTTTTTCTCGTTACCATCTCCCCACCAATGGCGTAACTGCACCTTTCTGTATAGAAAACCACACACAGCCCACAATCCCACATTTTCTCTGACAAAGGGCTAACGCTCGAAACGTCAGCTTTAAAGACTCTTTACGGTGGCCAATGCACATTATCTACTCATTTAATAAAATCAAAATATTTTGATCTCTGTTGAGTTAATTTCCCGAAACAGAAAACATTTGCTATTGAAGGAATACAGCAAACATTCTTACCGAATTTTTTTTCATAGGTTTATTACAGTAGCATCAGTTGCGGATATTCTATTTCTGAAGCAGTGGCCTTTGCAACTCCTGACTGGGTTGTGCTTGGGTGTAAACGCTATAAGGTGAGATATTAGAAGAGTCATTGTTTTAACCGACGACGTCGTTGTTTTCTTGCTAAAGTACTGTTTAAAGGTGTAGTGACTTTGGCTTCCCTATTTCCCCTGTTACCTGATGTTTAAACTTATTTTCGTACATTTTAACGGAAGTAACAATGCGCACAGCATTTTGGCCAGCTGTGCAAAGATGGGTGATAGTTTCCGCTGAATCCAAAATTATTCGTCAGTTGACGGGAGCTGCATTCATTTCGCCAGGTCGACTGAAGTTCATCTCTTTCAGCATCTTTTCATTCATTTTTTGTTATTTCATTCATTTCTACTTTTTTTACCCCTCTTCAGGAATTGCAGGGCACCTCTTGGTGGAGCGAGTTTGCGTTGGAGAGGCTGTTGCTTGGCCTTGCTGAAGAGGTAAAAATACACCGGTTATGTGACTTCAACCTGGCTTTCTTTCACTCTAAAAAGCGTTATTGCACGAAGCCACGAAGGCCACTGATATCGGAGGAGGACAAACGAAAATTATGAAAATTGGTATCTTTTGAATGCAAAAATTTAACCAATTTTCTTTTTCAAGTCTAAAAGACAATGCGTAAAATGTAATAAACAAAAAACGCTTCATTAATAAACTGAAGGATTTTGAAATTGTCACGAGAGAAATATTCTGACGTTGTGGTTTACAGCTGTCACTTCAAGAATCGTTATACTACTTCTTGTTTTGTTTAGGTTTTTTTTTGTTGTTCATTATTGTTTAGTGTTTTATATATATATAATTATATATCCTAATAATCTAAGCTTGAGTCTTTGGCCCTGAATCAAACAAAATTTCTCTGCTTTACAAGATTGCTTTATAAATTGTACGGAGAAATCACTTATCGATCACCTCTTAGAGTAAAAGAGTCAAGGTTTAGTTTGAGCAAACGAAATTTTTGAGCCCAATAAAAGTGGCCGCACTGTATACCTACAGTTGCATAGTATTATGGGTGTGATATTCTTGTGGTAGGGTTCCGTTGCTGATGTTTAAGCTCTTACAATATCTTCATAATAAAGTGGATCATTGTTGAAAATTCTTCGCCTGAAAATGTGAGTGCGGTGGGTGGGTAACAGGCGGAGTGATGTTATGAATTGCATTGGGTAGTTTCGTTTCCTCTTAACTGCGAGCAAACAACAAAGCTTGTAGACAAATAAGTTTATTTGGGGAGGGCCTGACAATAACCAACCCAAAACACTAAATTGTTATTTTTCCGTGGGAGAATTTGGGATTCGAAGTAGAAATCAAGAGCTCTTTCATCCAATCCTCATTCACTTGGTTTCCTAGCTTTTTGCCAAATTGCTCGGGAATTTTTTTACCTTATGAGGAATAAAAGCTGTCGTTTCATGGTCGATACACTAGTCGGATGTTGACTTTCCGATTTGTGTTGCAATGGCGACGAACATTGAATGATTTGTGACATAAGCCGCAGAAAATCAAAACAAAGTATAATGCCTCTTACTTTTCCTTTGCTTATCAGCTGAATGTGGAAAACCAGGAAATACTTCAGTGTTTACTGACGGAGCTCAAGTCTGTGAGGTAATGCTGTTCTTGTTTGCTTTTATTTATTATTACTATTATTATTATTATTATTATTATTATTTTAACTACTTTTATTATAGTCGTTTTTATTATCGTCATCATCACCGTTATTTTTATCATTAGTATTATCATAATTGCTTTTAATTCTGCGATTGATATTGCTCTTACTATTATTATTATTATTATTATTATAATTATAGAAAAGACTTTGGTGCTTTCTCGGTGGGAGTTAACACAAGATAATTTGGTTTTATAAGCTAAGTTGATAATGTAATCGCCACCGTAAAAGAGTTTCTAAAGCTTATGTTTCAAGCGCTAACTCGTCGTCAGCGTGATTTTCTTAGTTAGGCGCTGGAAGTAGGAATGTCTCTAGAAAGCTGATAAATAGTATATAAACTTTTGAAAGTGATGTTTTTTTGTGTTTCTTTTTTCCTCCAAAGGGATGAAGAGAAGTCCTTTATGGTTCAGCTTCTAGAACTCGGTTTGGTTGAAACGCATGTCGACAACGAAAAGAAATCTTCAGGGTCGCCTGGAGGTAAGAATGGGTGGATATTTTCAGGAATAAAAACCCGTGAATGAGTTTATGATAAACCCCGGCAGGGTGAGGCATATAAATCTTGAGGAGTTTGTTGATCGATTTCTCAGAGAGAATGTTAAACTATGTTGATTTTCGTGTTAAAGATACTTTCCTTAGGAGCTTTGCTATGGCTTGTGCAACTCGGAGAAAAGTGAAAAAAATATTTCAAATGGTCATATAAATCCGTTTCAATCACGGTCCTATCCTTCCTTGGCCATATTTTTCTTGAATATCCTGTGTTTTTACGATACGAAAAATTGCCAATTCTGCATAAATTCAAATTAAGGTAGTTCTGCAACAGATGACTCAAGAATCCTTTAACGTTGCCTTTTAATTCGAGTAATGCAAGCAACGGAAGCGAACCCACGACCCTCTGCGCATCTGTCAGTTGTTGTGGAACTTGACCATAAGGAGACCCGTACCGAGATGGTCATTAGTGACAGATGTTTTTCTTAATGCTGGGAAAAGCCTTCCATGGTAAACCTCAGCATTCCATATTGCCAGTTTAGCTCTTCAATACGGTACCTGATCTTGGTACTTTTCACTAGCCTGACGAACGTCCTCATTGTCACTTTTCTGATGTTGTTTTAGGTAGGAAAGGAAAAAAGTCAACCACAAACTGGCCTCACGCTGATTCAGGCTGTGTTTTGTATTGCGAGGTCTGTGACCGTCCGTGCTACGTGTCAGCGGTGAGTGTCCACTTGCGTCTGCGTAAAGTACACAGATTTTTACCTAGGGGAAAGCTCGTCGACCTCTTTTGGATGACGCGGTGTAAGAGTGGTGTCTTTGACTATAAACAGTAACTTTTGTACTCTCTAAATTCTGTCCTCTCGATCTCCACAGGTAACAAGTGAACATGATCCTCAAGTACTCTGTCTAAAACACGCTGTGGAACATATCCGTCAGAGGGCTTCGCCTGAAGGCTTTAAAATTTTGACCAGATATGATACGGTAAGTAACGAGACGAAAAATTAACAGATTTAGGAAACACCACGCACTGTCCTAATGGTCACCATGTTGCACTACGGGTTGTGGAGTCCAGGCTCGAGTCTTGGGTTAGGGTCGTTGTGGATGTGGTACAGATGTTTCTTGATGAAATCAGCAGTGCAATGTAACGAGCGGTGGACGTCCCAGCGCGACAGTATAACGTGTTCTTTAAATTCTGATGTTATCGTGTCATGTATGTTCAATTTCTTTTCTTTTGAGACGTAACTCAAACAGGTTCTCTACTTACCCTATACAGATTTTGCGGCAGAATTACGTCGTTATTTTGCACACTTTTTTTTCAATTACTGACTGATGTGCTTTTTATTTTAGTCTCGACTGGAAGAACTTGTACGCAAGATTGAAGAAAAGCTGAAAAACGTGCAAACCTCACAAACTGCAAAGTAATATAAGTTGAACTTTGCAAGCGTCTCTTTAGAACTTCCTGAAACAAACAATGTAATTTTAAGGCATATAAAAGTGCTGGGAATAGATATAAGGTCTGGGGTGGGGACAGAAGTGAGGCGATGGGAGCTGCTAGGGAAGGAAAAATGGAGGAAAATTCTTTAAATAAATACAACAGGGGCCCCCCCCCCCTCTCCTCCCATTCTTCTGCCTTCTTCCGAGATACGGTACTTACTCTGTGTACCTCAGCACAGTCCTAACCGGGAAAGGACTAATCTTCTCTTGAGAACACCTAGTGTTTTTTTTCTTGTTTCTCGTTACCCTTTTGTTGACAGACTTTCACACAAACGTGCCTATTTTAATTTTTAGGTTTTGTACTTGTGTTTTGTTTTATTTGTTGTTTTTTTTTAATTCATACCCTTTCAAAGTTTCTTTTGCTAATTTTTATGCATTAGTTGGCTTTTTGGGTCAGAATATACGGAGAGATGTTAACTTTTACTGTGCATATGCACAATTGTGTGAGTGAAAATAAATAGCAAAAGCTAATTGTTGCTTTTAGAGGCAAGTGAATATATAGAAACAAAAATAATCTTTTATTAGGAACATATTTGAAATAATAAATACAATGCTCACAAAGATGTAATATGCTAAAGTTTATAAATAAATGATGAATTTAACGCAATTAAGATGACGTGTCTTTTCTGCAAGCAACTTTTCAGGGCTCCGATTAATAGCTGGGCTAGGTGTTTGAGCTCCCTGAATGGAATACCTTGAAAATTGCATGCGAGGAACAGCCAAGTGCGTCACTGATTTTTTTACCACATTGTGGTGTCTATTACTGTACAGAACCACGATAACTTAGAATCTCTTTGTGTTACAGAAAAAAAAAACAACTTTCGTTTTCGGGTGTAAAGAAGATTACGTTAAGAGAGAAATAGTTTTAACCCCCTCAACTTCCAACTAGAAATAATTGAATTCATTGGTGGTAACATTCACCCTTATATAATCCTTTCCAAGATACGTTTGTGAGCAACGCCAACCAAATGAATCCACCACGAGCAGAACGCTGTGAATTTGCTCCGGACGTTACGTTCACCCCGAAATTCCGCATGCATCACAGGCGATCATGTAACTATACGCTCGCGTTCCTCGTTCTAGGGTCATCTATAATGAAATGGAATAAAAGGCCGCCAATTCCAGCCTAGAGGTTTTCCGAGAGCCTTCGGATGAGGCGTTAATAGGATATCGCGGTACCCAAACCGTAAGTGTTATCAAATAGTCACTGGCATAACTGTTAAAACCACAAGCGGCCCAAGCTCCAGCTGTGAGATTATCATCCAGCGAAAAAGTATTCAGAGCGAAATTATACGAGTTTGTATGAGAATATTTACGACCGTTCTAAGGAATAAAAAAATAAGTCAAATTCTCGATAAAAAATCTCACCTTACTTCCATAGTGGATCGCTTGTTATCTGACCGTTTACTACGTTGAAGGGAACCCATTTTAGCGAGTTATCCATTTCGAGGTTTTCTCCGTACATAAGAAAAGGGCAGGACTGTTTCTTCGCAAGATGATCATTCTCCTCACTCAAGAAGTGGGGAGAAAAACTCGACTACGTCTCGTGTTTCTCCCTACACTTCTTTCGTGCTGTAGCCGCTTCCTGCGTACTTTACAACGGATCAAAGCACAAGCAAGGCTTCTCTATTTGTTAACTAGCTTGCGCGACAATATTTTCATAATATATTAAAGTTCACACAGCAACCAGGTGGACAATCAGACATAGTTTGCTGCTACTCTGGTTTGCAGATTTAATAAATGTAATCTATGAATTGTAACTTCTTCGGTTACATTCATTAAATCTGCAAACCAGAGTAGCATCAAACTATGTCTGATTTTCATAATATTTGCAACAATAACTCGCGTGATTCCATGCAGAACTTGTAAACAATTACGATATTGTAAGCGGACAGGCTTACTCCCCTATCTTGGTAGCTATAAAAACGGGCTGCCCCGAAGAGAATGTAAACATGTAACCATCCCACGCTTCAATCACAAGGCAAGGTTATTGTGATAATTATGATTATTCAAATGTTAGTTGTCACGACAACTTTGACACGCCGCCTAATCTTGAGTTTCCCAAAGTGCTCCTTCTTATTCACACATGTACCGGTAGCTACTCAATGATGACTTGGTTACTTCTCGTGGTGATTTCGGCAATTCTAGAATTGTCTGCAGTCTTCCTCAACGTTCGATTGCTCTTATTTTGCTTCAAAGACGAGAAAAGGTACAAGTTTCTTCAGAAGGGTAGAGTGTTAGTCATTTTACAGTTTGTTTGCCAAGTTACAATTCTTGTCGCGGACGCTATAGAATGGTGGAATGGATTCAATGTACAACTCAGTGAGTCGTGTGATGTCCCTAGAGTCCTGTCACTTTCTTTGATGTTCTTCCAGCCTTGTAACTTAACAGCAATCATGACGGTCTGTTGTTCCTGTGAAGATAACGCGACACAGAAAACCCAAGAGTTATCATCTAAACTACGAATCGGCGCAGCTTTAATGCTAGGATTTATCGGTTTCTGCCTGATCTGGTGGAATGGTTGCGTTAATGACGGATATTCCTCTCAGTTTGCTCTCAAATTCATCTTCGTTGTGACCACCACTTATGTCGTTTCACAATTTGGCGTGGCTTTAATCGGGGACAAAGGACTTCATCAAGAAGAACCCCTTACAGACGCCACATCTGAAGAAAAAACGATCGCTTTGAACATGTGGACAAAAAGTAGACGGCCCCTATTCATGACAGCCTTGATGCTACTTTTCCTTATTATTATCCTGAGCGGAAAACCAAGTTCTGGTTCACTTTTATGCCGCCACGACTCAGACGAAGAAACGCTTTGCACGGAGCTTGTTTATTCATTCATAACCAAGTTTGCCGTCGGTATCTTTCTACCTATGACCCTGCACGATTTGATCGATTCTAGCTACGAAGGGCACAAAGTAAAAACTTTAACACTAAATGTTATTTGATATAAAATCTTGGTGCTTTAAACTAAGAAGTAGCTCAATGTAAGGAGAACAGTATTTTATTTATTCATTCATAACCAAGTTTGCCGTCGGTATCTTTCTATCTATGACCCTGCACGATTTGATCGATTCTAGCTACGAAGGGAACAAAGTAAAAACTTTAACACTAAATGTTATTTGATATAAAATCTTGGTGCTTTAAACTAAGAAGTAGCTCAATGTAAGGAGAACAGTATTTTATTTGTAAGTGAATTTTACGTTACAGACATGAGAAGACACACAGGGCTTGCACTGTAAGTATCCCGGAGAGCTCCATACAATTCCTTATAATAAAATTATAAGGAATTGTATGGAGCTTTTTTAGCGTTAGTCGAGGCGTGGAGGGTGTTGTCACGTACGATCCTTGCGAGGTGTTTTTCCCGACACTCTTCTGACAGAAGAATGTCGCGTAATGAAAGCAAACCAGAAACGATTGAAGAGCAACTCGGGCTTTCACATATCATCAAGTTCATTAAAACGAGCATTGAATTTCCTGCACATCAACAAGCCTTTGTTTTATACTTTTACACCGATCACGAGCTCATTTGTGTTTCGGAAATAGATCAATTAGCTACATAATGATGACGGAATTTGTGAAGGAATTTGAAGATGAAGAAGAACGAAAAGAGCGAGCTATTAAATCACGAAAAAACACTCCAGAAGAAAGAAACAGACAGAGAAAAGAATTGAGAAAGAGGAAACAAGGGAAGCATATGCCGAATGCAACGAATAAAAATGTTGAACTACAATCACTCAACCGCGAAGCGAATGAGTTGGTGCCTTGTACTTCTGAGGCTAAGGAAACGAAACTGCCTCCTTCAGACCAACATTTTGAGCCACAAAATGTCAAGAAACCCCATATCCTCGCGCTTAAACCAGGCAGTGAAGAGATGAAAGAGGCCTTGGGTGGTTGTTCAAGAGCTGCTAAGATGATTCAAATGGCTGTTGGTGCCGACGCAGTTGTCTCGCAGAAACCTCGTGGGAAACGTCATCAAACCTTTTAATTGGAAAAAAAAACCACAGCGAGCAATGGATCCAGATTTGAACCCAAAGAACTCAGGCCAGAAAACATTGAATACTTGTCTAAAAATCCAGTTGGGAGTGGAAGCTTTGGACAGTGTTTTCTCGGGCGCTATCGAGGCTTCGACGTTATTGTCAAGCAAATGACTCACAACGAAACGTCAGAGGATGAAGAACGAGCAAGGAGAGATTTGCTCCACGAAGCAAACGTCGTTTCTGCTTTGGGGGACCATCCACATCTACCCATGATTTTTGGTGTTGTTACAAAGGCCTCACCATTATGCCTTGTGACTCAATTTCATGGTGTTCAGCATGAAAGTGTAACTCTCCATCAAGCGGCCGATAACAACGCAGTTACTAAAGCAAACTGTATTTCTATATTTAAAAAGATATGCAGTGTTTTAGACCACGTGCACTCTAAAGGATACCTTCATAACGACATCAAAGGAAACAATGTTGTACTAGAAGGGCGACCCTAAAAGCCGGAACGGCGGAATGGCGGAAAATGACCCCAAATCCTAAAACACGGAACGGCGGAAAATGACCCCAAATCCTAAAACACGGAACGGCGGAAAATGACCCCAAATCCTAAAACATGGAACGGCGGAAAATGACCCCAAATCCTAAAACACGGAACGGCGAAAAATGACCTCAGATCCTAAAACATCGAACGGCGGAAAATGACCCCAAATCCTAAAACACGGAACGGATGTCAGGGCATGTTGCACAAATTTTGTACAAAGACACCAAGCGCTTGGCTCATTTATCCCCACGACGATAACGCACGTGACTAAAATTAAGTGTTATTAATTTTTTTCTTTTACTGAGTGGTATAAATAATAATGAACCAATATGCATGAAAGATAGCTGCGTTTTCGCGTTGTAAACCTGTTTAGTTACCTTTTGTTAAGCAAAATTTGCCATGAAACCAAACTCGACATACCACATTACAATAAACAATTGTAACTTTGATACGTTTCCTGGTCACGTCTTTATTGATTTATTGAAACAATAATATCTCATATGCTTGTAAATGTGAGAACATCACAGGAACGTTTTCAGGCTTCTCAAAATATGACAACGTTCAGCCCCAGCTCCAAACTTAGACTAGCGTGAGAGCAAGCCCTCGTTACGAGCCCTTCAATACGAATAAGTTTTGGGACTTGAGTAACACTAGTTGAAGAGAGGTTTGTTTATTGTAGTGTGGTATGTCGAGTTGGTTTCCACATGCTGTGCGACTTTTTATGCCGCGAAAACTCATGGCAAATTTTGCATAACAAAAGGTAGCTAAACAGGTTTACAACGCGAAAACGCAGCTATCTTTCATGCATAATGGTTCATTATTATTTTGTTGGGTTTTTATTGTTGTTTAGCGGGGCTAAGTGATATTGTTTCGCATCCACGTATACATAACAAATATAAGTAATGCTGTTTTCTTTTTATCTTGTTTTTATTCAAATATAAGTAATGCTGTTTTCTTTTATTCTTGTTTTTAATATGTGATTCAAGGAAAATCCATTACTTGGCTCGTGAATTCCGCGTTAAATTGCACTTAAAAACCGATATCGCACTCATCGCTTCGCGTATCGCTTTTCGCGTGCAATTAAATGCGGAATTCCTTCGTCAAGTAATGAATCTTCCTACAATAGTTTCATTCAAGGTTTAGTTACTACAATTTCAGCGATTTTAAAATGAAGGACAACTTCTTCCCCATGATTCTACCGCAAGAAATAGTTTATGACCCAGCTTACGTGAATAAGAACCTATTGACAACAGGATAATTGTAAATCATTTTTTATCAGTTTATTACCCTTAACGTGTGAACTACATCCGATTTTGAGGGGACAAAACGGCTTTCTAATGACTGCTGGAAGGGAGAAAATATCTTTCTTAATTGGGTGTAATTCCGTGGCACATTCAGTTTCTTGGCGATCGCTGCCAAAAAGCTGTAATGTGGTCTCAAAATCGGAGCAATTTTGTCCGTTTATGGACAAAATTAGGCATAACAGTGCTGGTCAAAAATAAAATATTTCGTACCAAAAAGTATCATAGTAACATCTTTGTGTAATTGTTTTATTCCGCCACGTTATTGAAAGAAGGACATTTTCTGTCTTTTAAAAATTGCTCATTTAAATAAATATAACGCAAGAGGAGTAGCGGTACAAAAATAGTCAAGGTGCAATCGAATCGAAAAAAGCAGATCTAACGCAAGAAAAACAATAGTGAAGAGTGAATAGTGACTTTTTGCGTGACTTGCACAACTTCTTGAAAAAGACATGTAGCTCATCCAACTTGCCTTGCCACTGAACAAGGCGAGGCTCCATGTCAGCTTTAATATCTGCAAAATAGCCAAAACCTGAAATAAGACCTGAGAAAGACTGTAATGAGAGGCCCTATATGTTATCACATCATTCAAATAACTGTTGCAAGTAAACATTTTGTTTTCCTTGGGTAAATATTTTGAGGAATTAAAACAAAAAGCTCTTTTTTGATGTGGCTAAATATCATTTAGGCAAAGTTAAACTGGAGCAAAGCTGGTCAGTGGGTTCACACTAACCTTTTAGGTACCAGCTCCTAAGCTCATCATTAGCAATAAGTTTAATTATTTTAATATTTTCCAAACTCATTTTCCAAAATTTTTATATTTCAGCATAAAACACTCAATAAAGTCATATTATAGTATGGTAAACCTTCTTTAGCCAGTGAGAAAAAATCAGAACTTGTAACCAAAGAAAAAACAAAATGTTATTACTACTGTTGTTCTACAAACCTGAGCCTTCCAAATCAATTATCTCAGTATGTGTACCAAAATCTCTTACAAAAGTGCCCTTGCTTAAAGCTTCTGAAAAGTACTAAACATTTGGAAAAATGCATTAATTACATAACATTGTGCTACCATACTACTTGAAGAAATGTTCCCTCACACCAATTTCATTGTCTTAAAGAGAATGTCTGCATGTCTTTATGCTACTTAAAGGACAGCACTTTCTTGAAAAAACTGAACTGGGTTACAGTCACTCAGTAGCAACACTAGGTTACACTGCACCCATGGATGTGCCACCTAAAGTGCAGCCTATGTTAATTACCTTTAATTAAATAAGACACTGGGTTACACAGCACCCATGGGTGTGCCACCTAAAGTGCAGCCAAAGGAAGTTACCTTTACTAAATACAACACTGGGCTACACTGCACCCATGGGTATGCCACCTAACGTGCAGCCTATGTTAATTACCTTTAACTAAATAAAACATTAGGTTATACTGCACCCATGGGTGCGCCACCTAAAGTGCAGCCTATGTTAGTTACCGTTTACTAAAGAAAACACTGGGTTACACTGCACCTATGGGTGTGCCACCTAAAGTACAGCCTATGTTAATTACCTTTAACTAAATAAAACACTAGGTTACACTGCACCCCTGGATGTGCCACCTAAAGTGCAGCATATGTTAGTTACCGTTTACTAAAGAAAACACTGGGTTACACTGCACCTATGGGTGTGCCACCTAAAGTGCAGCCTACAATACTTACCTTTAACTAAATAAAACACTGGGTTACACTGCACCCATGGGCGTGCCACCTAAAATGCAGCCTATGTTAGTTACCTTGAACTAAAGAAAACACTGGGTTACACTGCACCTATGGGTGTACCACCAAAATGCAGCCAAAGTAAGTTTCCTTTAACTAAAGAAAACAATGGGTTACACTGCACCCATGGTTGTGCCACCAAAAGTGCAACCTATGTTAGTTACCTTTAACTAAATAAGACACTGGTTTACACTGCACCCATAGGTGTGCCACCTAAAGTGCAACCTATGTTAGTTACCGTTTACTAAAGAAAACACTGGGTTACACTGCACCTATGGGTGTGCCACCTAAAGTGCAGTCTACAGTAGTGACCTTGAACTAAATAAAACACTGGGTTACACTGCACCCATGGGTGTGCCACCTAAAATGCAGCCTATGTTAGTTACCTTTACTAAATACAACACTGGGCTACACTACACCCATGGGTGTGCCACCTAAAGTGCAGCCTATGTTAATTACCTTTAACTAAATAAAACACTAGGTTATACTGCACCCATGGGTGTGCCACCTAAAGTGCAGCCTATGTTAGTTACCGTTTACTAAATAAAACACTGGGTTACACTGCACCCATGGGTGTGCCACCTAAAGTGCAGCCTATGTTAATTACCTTTAACTAAATAAAACACTAGGTTACACTGCACCCATGGGTGTGCCACCTTAAGTGCAGCCTATGTTAGTTACTGTTTACTAAAAGAAAACACTGGGTTACACTGCACCTATGGGTGTGCCACCTAACGTGCAGCCTATGTTAGTTACCTTTAACTAAATTAAACACTGGGTTACACTGCACCCATGGGTGTACCACCTAAAGTGCAGCCTATGTTAGTTACCTTGAACTAAATTAAACACTGGGTTACACTGCACCTATGGATCTCTAACTATAGAAAATTCTGTGTTACTCTACACTTTAAGGTGTGTTAACTAACAGAATCAGACATGCTAAAATTAAACAATGGTTCACACTTCAATCCTGAGCTCACATATATTCCTACATGCAGTAGCTTTCAGTTAATGGAGCTCCATTAATTTCAAGCTGCTGTGTGATGGAATTAGTCATAAGATGGGCAAATTACATAGGAGACTGTAGCAATTAAAGAAATACTCACAGAGGTATTTGATTCCTAAAGCGCACTCCGACGGATCGTCTGGACGCTGTATGAACTCAATGAATACACATTACCAATGATCTTGACTACATGATGTTAAATCAAGTGGCAAGTATAAAAATAATAGTTGCTTCTTACTAACATCAACACGAGCCTGGTAAAATGTAACTCTGTTAAGGATCATTGAGTTCAGGATTTGCCGTGTTCACATCTTCATACGGCTTCTTGAATTTATCCAGTGGTATGGCAAGTTCTACAATTTCTTCAAGGTGTTGAAGGATTTCCCGATCTGTTGGATCTGAAACACAACAGCATGAGAGTAAATTAAAAAAGAAAAAAAAAAAATTTTACCTAAGACCTATGGAAAACATCTCTTGAAAAAATTATTTTAGGAAATGTCTTACCAGACATTGAACTGACATGGATATTCTGCTTTGTAATAGCAGACTGTTGATCTGACTTCTTCTTTACTGAGATGCGATCGCCATGAAATGACTCTGGGCCATAGTTTTTCAAGGCAGCATTGGCCTCTGCTAGGGAATCTACCCTGTATGCAAGAAGACCAATGGATGCCAACAACTGTTCAGTGTTGCGCATCTCCATATGGAGAGCACAAAGTTGAATGTTGCAAAGCTCTTCGTCCAAAAGAAAAACCAGATCATCTCATATACCAGTTGATCTACAAGACAATTTCAAAGAATGATTGATTTTCTGAAGCAATGAATTATTTCATGTTTTTCTCTAAAAATGTTTTTCTTTTTCTTTTTCAATAACCAAACTATGAGTACTCCTTTCCTGACAGTATGAAAACAATTTTTGGCAACCTTCCAAGTTTGGCAAAAGATCCTGAATGAGGATTTTAGTTTACTAGCAACAATTTTAAAAAAAAACCCCAAACTATACACTTAATTTCAGTTCATGCTTTAGTACAAGTCATTTCCCCATGGCTTACAAAATTCATTTTGTTATGTAACAGTAAGAAAATCCCCTTTATGAGTTCGAATGTAATTTAATATGACAATGATCAAATGCCTACACACCTTCCCATGTTGCATTTGCTTCTGAGGCAATCCAGGCATGTCTCATCTGGAGCAACATCATGGCATTTGCAACCCTGACAAAAACAGGCACACTATCAAATAATATATAATATTATAATTTCAGATAGAACTACACATTTATCATGCTTCCGATTATCTTCTTCAGAGTTCATGCAGATTTTTGGATCCAAAATTCAAGACTTTTCCCAGACCTTTTTCCAAAACATCAATTTATTTTTCCAGACTGAAGATGGTCAAATAGGTGATCAATAGAGATCTTGAAAATGCAGAAACCAAGCTTCTTTCATGATGCACTGCAAATGTACAATAACCATGGTGCAATTGTGAAACTTCTCATTCTGTGATTGAATGTCTTAGCTACAGGCGAGATTGAATTGACCACAGGGGAAAAAAATGAACTTATTAAGCACTTTTTGTAGCTATAAAAAAACTCCAGACTTGAACTATTTTTCTAGACATTATCTTCAATTTCAAGACTCTTTCCAGGTCTGGAAAATCAAGACTTTTCAAGAATTTATGACTCTGTGTGAGCCCTGTTCTTTTTACAGTACATGTATTCATACTTTCAGTGATTTTTAAATGTTTTAAAAGCAGAATGACCTTTAGAGAAGTACTTTACAACTTTTTTTGACTAAATTAAAGCTACTTGATGTTTCTATCACTCACTAATTATTTTCCCAAATATTGGCAAAGATCAAAGTCATCTGAAATCACTGTAAAAAAAGTTGATGAACTGATGCAGCACTTTTATGTACCTCAACTTTAACAGCACAAGTTGCAGTTGCCCCATACTAATTTCTATATCATTTGAGTACTTTACCCTGATAGCATTGCAGATGAAACAGAACTCGACACTGACACCTCTACCACCTAACATGAATGAAGCATTCATCTTCTTCACCAAAAGAAGTACCAAGGTCTTGTAGTCCAGTACAACTAAGTTTGATAACAGAAATGGGAAAGCAAAAGTTAACATGCTAAACTTTCCAGGAAATTAATCTCTAATGTATCTAAAGAAAAGGGTAGTCAAATCAATTTCTGACATAAAATAGTAATAAATTCCAGGTTTTATTTCTTGCTGCTGCAGTTAAACCTTAAACATGTTTTACAATTTAAAAAACTCTTAATTTACTATAGTTTGACTACTGCTTCAATCTAGTTCTAGTCAGACTACCAACTGGGTAGAAACACAATAAATTGCTATAAATAGTATTATGAACAAGAAGTTGACTTTTAAAGCAAATTCCAAGACTAACATTGATTCTTACCCAGAAATTCAACGGTGTAATGTCTACCATCAACTGTCATTCCTTTTTCCTTTAATATTTTCTTCTGGTGGTTGATGTCCTCAAAAAGAATCTTGAGGTTGTCTCTGTCAACAAACAAAAACCAAAAATCTATACAGTCATTATTATATTTAGTGCATTAAAGCCAAATTAGGGATATTGATATCAATCCACTTAGATCTCAGAGTGGATGCATGACCTGGTGATATTGCAACTGAGTGGGGCTTACAAAAATCTGTCATTGTGTTATTTAAGTTAAATGCACATACAACCACAAGCATATTCTAGCCAGAAGGTAGTAAAGAGTTCAAGCAAGTTGAAATTCACAAACCTGTCTTCTTTACAGTTGGCAATTGTCAATGTGTAGACTGATTTTGCACTTTGCTGGCTATATACAGCACCATCACGGGGAACAATTCCAAACAACATATGAGCTCTACCTGCAAAACAATTTTTTACACTAAATTAGTCAAGACAAAAACTGCACCCTTCACCAACCCATTTCACCTTACACATTATTATAATGACCACCTTCCATACAAAGAACTGCTTGCAAAGCCAAAAAAATTAAACAGTTATAGTTATTTTGATTTGGAAGTACAACACACACACACAAAAAAAATATGTGGATGATTATCATACGGCTTCCAGCATATTTCACCAGCTGAAAAAAGGGCTTACCACTGGCTGAAATTGCTCTGGAAAACAGACCTAGGGTAATTTTGAAGACGCAGTTGAGTAAAACGCCCGCTTAAGTAATAAAAAAAAGCCTGCTTATCTTTTCCTGTACAAGGCTTCGCTTACGAGAATAACTGAATAAAACAAAAGAAAGAGCTGCTATAAACATTGAGGCTTGCGATTGAATAGTTCTTTTTTTGTTCTTTTATTCCCTTAGCCGGGGCGCCAAGTATGAATATTAATATACCGACGTAAGACCAACGTAACTAAACATCTTACCCCCGTCCTTCTGAGCCCTGTGATGTTTATCACGGATTGCCACGTTTTCGAAGAAACTCTCGCCATCGCCTGGAAAAGGACAAGCTTCCAATCAGGAACTCTCAGGCACGCCACGTACTTCGACATTGTGTCGTCGCCAACTAGCTCTTCCACACTCCTCTTTACTCCCATTTTAACAGCCATCTCTTCGACAGTTTCGACCCAATTTAAATTTCTATGGGAGAAGCGAACACCAAAGTTTTAACACGCTTTGAAAATTATGCATGCACAGGATGTGTGCATTAAATTTTTATTACTTATACTGAAAACCGGTTGATAACTCTACACTTTGCAATTTCCACGTTGATGTAGATAATTTTTCAGACAATCGAAAACAACTCAGCAGAGTCTGCATACAAACGGGGGAGCAAAGTACACATTTTCGGTCACGTGCTGTGTGGCGTGATTAATGTGGCCCCACGTCCACAGGTTCACTCAGTGATCCCTTCATGGGTTGTGGCAAGCAAGGCATCAGCAAGATAATTTCTTGAGATACAGATATTGCTGTTAAAGAAATTAAAAAATAACAAACGAAAATTTTATGGAAGGAAATCCTTTGTTATGTTAACATAGGTTAAAATTCAATTGAGGGAACACGAGGTAGATAAAAGATTGATGAGCGATGTACGTAGTACGAGACAATTCTCCCTCCCCCTCTGCTCCGCTTGCTTGTCATTTCGAAACAGACTTGGACGACCACAATTTTCAGTTGTCTGTTGCACATTAAAAAGTGAATTAACAACTAGTAATAACCACAGGTTAGGAAGTGCGTGCGAGGGCTATGCATGATTTGTTTGCGTTTGTAACAGCTCTCGATCGCTCTACAGTTCAAGTCTTCAATGGATCAACGCCAAGGTCAATGGACGCACAGCTCTCGATCGCTCTACAGTTCAAGTCTTCAATGGATCAACGCCAAGGTCAATGGACGCACAGCTCTCGCAGTTCAACAACGCCAAGGAGGAACACAGATCTCTCGCAATGGCCGGAAGATTTCGATACCCGACAACAACAGACACGAACAGGAAACGTTCCGATGACAAGTTCACACGCTCGATTTTGATTGGACGGCGCGCCAGCTATGCATGAGCTGCACGTGATTCTTCGACGAAATAGACGTCGTCCACGTGATAAAATTGTGTTGTGTGCATTCCAATTTATGGACCGCCACTTCTGCATGAACTGCACGTGATTCTTGACATTCTTAGCTTCAAGAAGGCGAAATGTACATATTATTTGAGCCCTTCAACTACATTAAAGATCATTGACTATGGAACGTGAAACAGCTATGCTTTGGTGAGAATTGTCTTCTGCTTGGTGTTGGTTTCTAGCGGTCAGAGCACCTGTGCTCAAATTACTGCTGCTTCGTGTTTGTCTCGCGTGGTCAAAGCGCCTATGCTCAAATTACGTCCTTTCATTTCATTGGTTCTTAGTGTCCCTAGGGACAAATATTTGGAAGGACGACTTTTTTTGCTAAATTCGAGTCACTGCAAGGCTATATAACTGCCGCGCATGCGTTTGTAACCAATGTTGAGATTAGGATTGTGGGCTCCGCTGGTCGCTCGCAATAAATTGTCGTCACAAAATGTTAACTACTAAATTGCTACGGATTTCAGCGTGGTCTTTCATTTATACCGACACGATGACATTCTAACGAACGCGCAGTTCAGAACCGTACATAGATTACGGAGATCTAACCAATTCGAGGATAATGCGCCTCACGACAGACATAAAATACAAAAATATAATTCTAAATACCTTTAGATCCATTCATGAGTGCATATCCCTTTCTTGTCGTAGTTATTGTTTGCGTAAAGCCTTCTGCGATGCCGAAGCGTCGCCCAAACCCACAGTAACACAAACGAGGTCTCAAACGACGTAAGTGGTAGATAGAAATATAAACTTTCGTTTATATTTTCATTATTTCAAACGTTTGTGCTTTAATAAATAATCAAATTATTTCACTTGAGAGGACACAGTATAACACACGATGAGCATCATTGTAAAATTCCCGAGAAAAGGCATTTGTGGGTTAGCAACTTAAACTTATAGACGACTGTAGACCAAAGAACACAACGCATGGCGTGACGTAATTTCATATTCTACATTTGGTTGGACAATAGTTTTCCCATGTTGCAGAGCACGTGTTTAGCCTGTGTCGAAGGCATTAATGTACATACCGCGCTGGTCTGTGCGGAAATTTTACCCAACCAAGAGGTGTAAGAAAACAAAGGATCCGAAAATAAGCACATAAGGACCTTCAAGTCATGTGTATTAATTTTATATGTAAAAACAGGACCTGGCTGGGAGCAACTCGAGAACACCCGGCCACCATTTACATTTCATTGAATAAGAATGGCGTCTATTGTGTTAGGCCTCGATCTTCAAAGCCCCCCAACACATGTAAGTGAAGTGGACAAAAGTGGCCGGGTATTCTGCAGTTTAGCCCATGGCTGGGAGAACAAATGCCAATAACAAACATTTAATTTACTATTGCACGAAATTCTCATGATTACGATCAAATCCTTTTATTGTATGATTGGAGTAACCCGAAGTTTGTCAGTTTTCACCAAAATGTGATGTAGTAATTAATATTTAACTCAATCTACATCTGCATAGTTGGATCAAAATTACCACAAAAAATGTATTATTCAACAGCAGTAGAAACAATATATCTAAACAAATTTTAGAATAGGTAACAACATGAATTCGAAGGCAAGTTTGTTTTAAAAAGCACGCGTAAAGTTTTCAAAGACAACATAATTGCACGAACTCCTAAGGCTCTGAAGGGACTGCATTGCAAACACAATGTTAATGAGGTGACATCGATCACGCCACACAAGTACGTGCATAAATTAAAAAAATCATCATCTTTCTTATTCTTCTTGCATCATTTTATGTAAAATCAAACGTTATTTACTATCTATGAAGTTATTACACTGCATCTTGTTAAAGGTCATATCAATTTTGAGTAAGAAACCTCAGATCGAAACATCGGCACAAAATATGTCATTAAATAATCTCTGAAGTTTCTACAACATGAATGATTGTTTTATGCCCTCAGGAATATTAAGAGAAAAAAAAGAACAGGAAAACCTAATTTCAACCCTTTTCACAAAAACTTGAAGCCTAATTCCTTGAGATTCATTTTCAAAACATTTTACTGACAGCCAACACTTTGATATCTTGGACTATTTTATATTTTCCATTCCCTACGTAATTGTAGTTTGAGGGGCTCAGTGATAAATGATCATGAAAGAAAATAACTTGAAATGGTGTGCCCTTTCGCCATTCCTGGATACTCCATAACAAGCAGCGCATATTTGAGTCCCAAAATGAACTGGGTTAAATATACCGCACTAACATCATCTTTATTCTACTTTTGGGAGAGGAGGAAATGTATCCAGTTTGAAATATTAACGTGCAAATAAAATATTTGTGGTCTCTAATGGGTTTTGTTTCGACTCAAAGTCCATAGACTCTCCATCAAATAGCAATCGAAGATGCACGTTTTTCTATGTTACTTTTACAGCTAGAATTAATTAAATCGTAGAGTTTCATTGGTAGATAGATTCCGACGGCAAACTTGGTTATGAGCGATAAAATAACGTTCAAGCATAGCGCTTCATTATCTGAATCGTGGCGACATAAAAGTGGTTTATATTTAGATCGAGCACCGCTCAAGATCAATACCAAACACATTAACATCAAGGCTGTAGAAAGGAAAGGCCATTTGTTTTTCTTCCACATGTTCAGAACGCTTTCTATTTTTGAGGTGCTGTATGTGAGTTGTTCTCCTCCTTCGCCTCTGATAAGAACCATGGCTATTTCTGAAACGATAAAAGCGACAGTCACAAAGAAAGTTACTATGAGGGCCAACAGAGACCGATGTCCCTCATAAAAGCAACTATGCCAACAAAACATGGCAGGCCCAAAAAATCCCAGCGTAAGCGTTGCAGACACCCGCAAATTAACAGATATTTCTTGGTTGGTTTGTGTCGCTGGATCTTCCGGAGCACTTGAGACTATGATCATCGCTGTTAGGTTACAAGGTTGGAAAAACAATATAGAAACGAAGACAACTCTAAAAAAATCACATGGCTCTTTGGGTTGAGCAGGGAATCCGTTCCACCAATGCATAACATCCATGAGAAGAAGTGTAACTTGGCAGACAAATTGACAAATGACCAAGACTCTTCCTTTTTGTAGGAACTTGTACTTTGCTTTGTCTTTGACAGAAATTATGAAAAGTCGTGCGTTAAAGAAGACTGCAGAAAAATCGAGAAGGGCTGAAATCATTACGAGAAGTAACCAAGTCATAATCAGAACGCTATGTTTGTCCCCTCCAGCTTGGATGTGGTTTTGAAGAAGGAGAGCGTTCCCGTGGGTGAGTTTGGATATTTTCTATTAGTCTTGCCGGGCGGCGTTTTATGTAATGTCGTAACACCAGGTCCAGATTGTTCGTATAATCATAATACAACGTATGTCACGCCATGGTGATTGTGCACATGTTTATTGAAAATAATCGTTTCGTGCAAATCAGCCGACTTTGAGAGTTTGATATTGAGGGAGATACTGGACTAAAATGCAATTAGATCGAAGGCTTCATCTACTCATTCCATTTTGCTCGCCTTATTATAGCATTACATTGCATCTCCATGCCATTAGATTATACCCCGTGTCGTTATATCGTACCTCCATGCCATTCGACTGCAATTATGTACTGTCATATCGTTCTTCCATGTCATTGGATCGTACCTCCATGCCATTATGTCGTATCTTTAGGCCATATATTCGACCGTAACTCCATTGATTCCATTGGATCATTCCACTTCATCAGACCTCTACGTCATTTGATTCTACCTCATAACATTTGATCCCCTCTAAATATAAGATTGCCAAAGGTTATTCAATGTTGAGGGTGTTATTGTCAAATTAATAACAATCACAAATTCAGCATTTGTCGCGGTCGTTTCCATGACGTAACAATTGTCAAGAGAGAAATGATGTGGCGATCAAAGATCCCGATTTCAAAGTAAACAGTTCGGACCTCCATTATGCTCAGCACATTGCCTCTTTAGCACGATTGAAATTTTCCCAGTTCAATTCAGAACGCTACAATACCAAGAAGGGAGGAATTGTCTCAGATCGAAGACGCGTTTCAAAATTTCCACTTCGCCGTTGCCCCTTACTTTGCTCGGTAGGGAAGGAAAGAGCCATTGAAGATCTATTGTTTTGTGTGATTTTGTAAGGGGTATATTTCCTAGCCTTTTTGTTTCTGGCGCGACCACAAGTAATCTCCGAGTAAAATGAAAAAGCATACAACAAAGAGAGAACAGCCGTAAAAACTGTGTTCAAACTAGAGGGTAAGACCATGTTGTGTTTCATTGTTCACTCAGGCGGAAAAGGAAATATATTAATGATCCGTTGATCGTGTAGGCTGATTAAAAGTCTGCAGAAAGTCCTGGGAAGATCCATTGTCGGTAGTTGATGGAGAAGATTTAACAACCTCATCTCACTTGTCTTAATATTGAGCTACCTTAAATTAGTTTTCTCGGTGTTGAACTCAGGAGGTCCATGATGGTTGCTATGTCAGCAACAGCAAACATCAGTTAAGTCACAGGCTCATCAAGTCAAATCAGACTTTCGGTCTCTTTACGAACGGTGCTGCGAAGCTATTAAATTAAAGCAAGTTGTTTCTTGCAGTGGTTCTTTCGGTTGAGAGAAGAGTCGCTCTTTCTTCACGCTTGCAGTGGAGCTATCCCTTAAACAAATCTGTAAAAACCTTGAGATCCTGCGACAAGTGATCTAAAATTTTTTCGACGACCGTGGCACTGTTTATAAATGCGAACAGAAACCGCGTGGACGTTTAAATCTAGCTTCGTAGGCGCGATGCTAATCGAACATCGTCCTCTTCTTAATCTATACCAGAAATCGCTCATAATCTTTTCTTATATCCTTAAATCAAAATACATACTTGAACTCAGACGCTGAATGGCAAATTCACCCGAAAAATAGAAAATTGATTCACTTCGATTATTTTTGTTTATCTCGATAACCTTCACGCCAACACGTACCACTTTGCAAAAAATATTAACAAGTAACATTATTTTGCATAATTTAGAGTGACGTCACGGAACACGGTTAGTGTTTGGTTTGCGCGGATGTTCTCTCGCCTCCATTTCACTTTGGGGGGGGGGAGGGTACGGCTGCACGTAGGCTTAAAAAATGGGCTTAGTTTAAGGATACTCTTAAGTCTAAAGGAACAAAACACCTGCTTCATTTGACGCGTTGCTGAACGATACGAGAGAACTTGAACGACACTAGCTCTACTCATTGCATTCTCAGGGTCCAAACCATGTATCCTTCGAAGTTTTCTACGAAATTGTTGACTTTTTCGTGATTGATATGTGTTCTAAACCTATGTTTTGTTTAATAACTGCTCACAGACGCAAACATTCGCTCATGGTTGCTAGAACCGCAAAAAGGTGCTCAAAAGTTGCCGGGCACTGTAATCGGGACGGGCCTATTGACAGTTATCGAATTTGGAATAAGGTCAGCAGCTCCAGCTAAACGATTAAATATCATGCTGGACGAGTATGCGTAAATGTTTAACCGCTTCTCTCCAACTTACATGAATAACGAATTCCAATGTATGATCTAAATCAAACATTTTAATCCAACATTTTTCTCCACAAGCAACTATTTGATCATTCAGCCACCCAATCAGCTTGATCCTCCCCGCCATTTAGCTACTTTCAAGTTTTACTCACCTGTATGGTTCAAATTGGTCGGTAACTTTTAAGCTGACGGATCCAATGTCGGCAAATTTATTCTAGTGGTTGTTTGGGTAAAGCGAGCTATTAAGGAGGAGCAATACATCCTTCACCCAGCACCTTTTTATCAAATGTTGAACATAGACCAGACTTATTTATGGAAGGTATTCCTCTTTGTCGGTGCTTTGTTCGTTCACTCGCAGAACCACATGCGGTAAGCTCACGCCTCGAGAAAAAGCAAACGTGTGACTCGGTGTTCAGTGACGAGAGGAACCGTTGAGAATTTGAACACGTTCTAATGAATAGTATGAGGAACAAAATACGGTCGATTTGCAACGATAAATATTTCGAAATATGAACAATCTACATGTAAAATCAATAGAACTTATGCACATCTTGTGTGTCCGTTGCCGTTTTCAGCTTGCTTTGCCATCACTGTTATTCCTGTCATAGGACGAAGTCACGGCTGCACACTCTGATTTCGACCGTTGACCACGCGGAGGTGGTTTGCGCCCTGAAAATCCTCCCGATCGGCATTTTTCTCAGCCACAGCTTACGATCTAAGATCACTGCTCTCTGGGACCAATCTCAATACCAATTCTACCTACATTTCCACGTTAGCTTCTCTCTGTCTGTACCCATGATGACTAGACTGAAAACGGTCACAAACTACAAAGTAAGATAAGTCGAACTTTGCAAGCATCTCTTTAGAACTTCCTGAAACAAAAAATATAATTGTAAGGTATATAACAGTGCTGGGAATAAATATGAGGTCTGAGGTGGGGCCAGAAGTGAGGCAATGGGCGCTGCTAAGGGAGGAAAAATGGAGGAAATTCCCCCTTCCATCCCCCCCGCCCCCCTCCTCTTTTTCTTGAAAACACTTGGTGTTTTTTTCTTGTTTCTCGTTACCCTTCTATTGACAGACGTCCACAAAAATGTGCCAATTTTAACTTTTAGGTTTTGTACTTGTGTTTTGTTTTATTTGTTTTCTTTTTTAATTCAAATCCTTTCAAAGTTTATTTTGCTAATTTTTATGTACTAGTTGGCTTTTTGGGTCAGAATGTAAGGAGAGATTTTTAAATTCTTTTACTGTGCATCTGCACGATTGAGTGATTGAAAATAAATAGCAAAAGCTGATTGTTGCTTTTAGAGGAAAATGAATATATAGAAACAAAAATAATCTATTATTAAGAACATATTTGAAATAATAAATACAATGCTCACAAAGATGCTAAATTTTATAAATAAATAATGAATTTAACGCAATTGAGATGACGTTTCCTTTCTGCAGGCATCTTTCTAGGGCTCCAATCAATAGCAGGGCTGGGTTCTTGAGCTCCCTGAATGGACTACCTTGAAAATTGCAAGATGTTTAATGTTTATTAGGTGTATTTTCTTAAAATAGACGTCTATATCTCTATCTTTGGTCTGTCGTAAGCGTTGAGCTGTTGATTGTTTCAGTAGTTGGAGTATGTCGGAAAGTTTAAAGGTGCGTTTGACAAAATCGTCGGTTCTTGAAGGAGTTGAAAACTCAAGAGAAATTCTAAATCTATGTGCGTTCATATATCATTCTGTATTTATCTCCTGAGATACAATGTGAATCAGAGATTCAAAAGAGGACCAAAACCAAATTACCCTAATAATCACAACTGCCGTCTGTTGCTGGCCTGTCCATTCTCTTTAAAGAGAACGTAACATGGCTACCAAGTTCGTAGCACTTGTTATCGCTGTAGCGCTTCTTTTCATCGCCTCCTCAGTAGGCAATCCCCTAGAGGAAAAGTTTGACGTCTCCTCGGAAAAACCTACGTCAGCTTATGTTTGCAGAACTGAGCGTTCTGATGACTCGAGTAGCGGAGCATGCGCACTCGTTTTACCGCTGTGTCGGTAATTTTATGAACCTCGAAGAAACATTATACTTGCGTAATGCGAATGTTGGAAAGGCTCACTAAGGGGTTTTACTAAACTAAGGATCATCAAACCGCAGAACCTTTGGAAAAATATAAGAGTTTGTATGAGAATATTTACGACCGCTCTAAGGAATAAAAATATAAGTCAAATTCTCAATAAAAATACCTCACCTTAATTCAACAGTGAATAAAGGGGTAAGTTTCTGAAGAAACTGTGGTGCTGCGTCGGTGGGAGAGTATAGCAGGTAATTTAGTGTTAACAACTGGGTTGAAAACGTAAATTAGCCACCGTAAAGGGTAAAAAAGCTACGCCATTGGTGGGAATGTGGTGACGAGAAAACAGGAATAAATTAGTTGAATGAAAAGCGCTCGTTGATTCCGTGGGGATTAAGGGTGCCGATTTGGAATATAAATTTTTGTTCTAGTGTTTTACGGCTTTCCGAACTGCCTAGATGTAAGGAAAGGCCGCAAACTGCCATATGCTGTTTAGAATGATAAGGAAGATTAAAGTCCCGATATTTTCTCTACGTTATGAATGAAAGGACAAGTTTTGCATCGTGAGCGAACGCGAACGCGAACGCGTCCTTTCATTCATAACGTAGAGAAAATATCGGGACCCAAAAGGTCCATTAAGATCATTGATCACTTTACGTGTACCTCCGCCAATGTTATTTACTGCATAACTTGCACTTATTGCAATAAGTTATACAGCGGCGAAACAGGAAGACGACTGGGTGACCGATTCCGAGAACGCCTTCGCGATGTGGAAAGAAATGACAAGGACGCATCCAAACTAGTCGCTAGACACTGCAACAAAACAGACAACAAACAAGGCTTCTCTATTTGTTAACTAACTTGCGCGACCGTATTGTAAGGCTTACTACCCTATCTAAGTAAATATAAAAATGGGCTGCCCCGAAGAGAATGTAAACATTGGAAACCATTCCACGCTTCAATCACAAGGCAAGGTTATTGTGATAATTATGATTATTCAACAGTCAGTTGTCACGACAACTTTGACGAGCCGCGTAGCCCTGAGGTTTCCCAAAGTGCTCCTTCTTATTCACACATGTACCGGTAGCCACTCAATGATGACTTGGTTACTTCTCGTGGTGATTTCGGCAATTCTAGAATTGTCTGCAGTCTTCCTCAACGTTCGATTGCTCTTATTTTGCTTCAAAGACGAGGAAAGGTACAAGTTTCTTCAGAAGGGTAGAGTTTTAGTCATTTTACAGTTTGTTTGCCAAGTTACAATTCTTGTCGCGGACGCTATAAAATGGTGGAATGGATTCAATGTACAACTCAGTGAGTCGTGTGATGTCCTTAGAGTCCTGTCACTTTCTTTGATGTTCTTCCAGCCTTGTAACTTAACAGCAATCATGACGGTCTGTTGTTCCTGTGAAGATAACGCGACACAGAAAACCCAAGAGTTATCATCTAAACTACGAATCGGCGCAGCTCTAACGCTAGGATTTATCGGTTCCTGCCTGATCTGGTGGAATGGTTGCGTTAATGACGGATATTCCTCTCAGTTTGCTCTCAAATTCATCTTCGTTGTGACCACCACATATGTCGTTTCACAATTTGGCGTGGCTTTAATCGGAGACAAAGGTCTTTATCAAGAAGAACCCCTTACAGACGCCACATCTGAAGAAAAAGCGAACGCTTTGGGCATGTGGACAAAAGGTAGACGGCCCCTATTCATGACAGCCTTGATGTTACTTTTCCTTATTATTATCCTGAGCGGAAAACCAAGTTCTGGTTCACTTTTATGCCGCCACGACTCAGACGAAGAAACGCTTTGCACGGAGCTTGTTTATTCATTCATAACCAAGTTTGCCGTCGGTATCTTTCTACCTATGACCCTGCACGATTTGATCGATTCTAGCTACGAAGGGAACAAAGTAAAAACTTTAACACTAAATGTTATTTGATATAAAATCTAGGTGCTTTAAACTAAGAAGTAGCTCACTGTGAGGAGAACTGTATTTTATTTGTAAGTGATTTTACGTTACAGAATTAATACATGATCGTTGAGGTGCTGTCATTAGGTTAGCTTCCGCAGAGAACCTGCAAAACGAAAGATACAAAGATTTTAACGATATATATACCGCCGTATATTAAATGGCTCACAATAAATTTTAAAAAGTGGACCAAAGAACAAAAATTGCATTGATTGCTAGCGGCCATAGTTGTTTTTACTCGGGCTACTCTGCTTCCATAATGAAGCTTTAAGTTGCCCCAGAGCTGGCAAAACACCTATTCTTTTTTACCTACACTGCTTCACGCTTAAGTGAGAGGAAAAAAGTTTAAGCGATATTCCAAACAATTCAAGTTAGAAGAGATTACTGATCGGAATGGATGTCAGATCATGGGTTCAAAAAACAAACCCAAAGCTCGATTTAGAAAGGTTTCGACCCAATTTAAATTTCTACGAAGGTAGCGAACATCATAGTGTTAACACGTTTCGAAAATTATGCCTGCTTAATTGTAGGGATGTGCGAATCAAATTTTTATTCTTTATACCGAAACCGGTTCATGACTCTACACTGTGCAATTTCCACGCTAACGTAGATAATTTCCAGACAATCACAAACAGCACAGCATACAGACTACATATAAACAGAAGAGCAAAGTACACATTTTTGGTCACGTGCTGGTGGCGTGATCAATGTGGCCCCACGTCCACAGGTTCACTCAGTGATCCCTTCAGGGGTAGTGGCAAGCAAGGCATCTGCAAAAATGATAATTTATTGGGAAACAGATGTTGCTGTTAAAGAATAAAAAAATAACGCACGAAATTTTTATGGAAGGAAATCCTTTGTTATGTTAACATAGGTTAAAATTCAATTGAGGGAACACGAGGTAGATAAAAGATTGATGAGCGATGTACGTAGTACGAGACAATTCTCCCTCCCCCTCTGCTCCGCGCGCTGGTTCGTCATTTCGAAACAGACTTAGACGACCACAATTTTCAGTTGTCTGTTGCGCATTAAAAGGTGAATTAACAATAAATTGTCGTCACATAATGTTAACTACTAAATTGCTATAAGGATTTCAGAGTGGTCTTTCATTTATACCAACACGATGACATTCTAACGAACGCGCAGTTCAGAACCGTACATAGATTACGGAGATCTAACCAATTCGAGGATAATGCGCGTCACGATAGACATAATTTACAAAAATACAATTCTAAATACCTTCAGATCCATTCATGAGTGCATATTCCTTTCTTGTCGTAGTTATTGTTTGCGTGAAGCGAGCCGCGATGCCGAAGCGTCGCCCAAACCCACAGTAACCCAAATGGAGTTTCCCTAATGGTCGCGGGTCGCGGGTTTCAAGTCGCGTGTCGCGGGTTTTAAAGAAGTCGCGGGTTTTGAAAAAGTCGCGGGTTTTAAAAAAGTCGCGGGTTTTGAAAAAGTCGCGGGTTTTGAAAAAGTCGCGGGTTTTGAAAAAGTCGCGGGTTTTCAGAAGATTGCATTATAGGAATATAACGAAGAACAAAATCGACGCGTTAATGCGAATTTTCGCAAAGTTAAGTTTACATTTATTTTTTTAATTAACGCGAATTTGCGTGTGTTTGTAAGAACTATTTCGTAGTGAATTTCAAGCCTGTGCGTTAAAATTTCACAAAATAAAACAGCCACGTTCAGCACCGTCAAATTTACGAATCTAAAGATGTTTTCAATCAACTGAATGACAATATGTCAACTAACTCTGACGGCGAGGTAGATTTTCTCGAAATAAAGGCATCTTTAAATAACGATGCTGTAAAAAAGCATGATTTAAATTGATGATGATGCAAAGAAAGGTCCATAAAATTAAAGCGAATGTTTGAAATTAGTGTTAATAAAATGCATCGTTTGACTGGTTGCCCTGATTGTATCAGAATTTACCTTTCCATTTCCATAAACTGGTTAGTACACACGTGGCACTGAGGAACGGAATGCAAAGACCATTCCGACCGATTGGCCTGGTTTCATCGGAAAATGTTCAATTTTGCAATAGCTTATCTTGGTTAGTCCCACTGATCAGACTGTAAAAATGAAATGCACCTTCGGTTTTCCCGCCTTTAGATCTGAAAAGCAAGAGCCCGGATGATAGTGTGCGACGGTGCATTGTAAAATTACGCATTCTAGAATGGAGAGTCAGCAAGGAATGTTTAAGCTTCGTCAGCGACTAAAGAAATGGGGTTTTTTTATTTCCTTCGATCCGAGAGGTGATGGCGATTGTTTTTATACGGCGGCAGCCCACCAACTAAGCCTGGAGAGAGAACAAGTCAAGAAGCTCGTTTTCCAGCTCACATCTGGACAAGAACCGAACGAGCAAACGAGGCAACCATGTGAGCGCCAAGACAGGAGGTTGCATTTATGATAGCATTAATTACTAAACTTTTAAAAAATTTTGTGGGCTACGATGACAGCGGTGGTGTACGAATTTGATGAGAATTTTTTTGACGGTTCAAAACTTAGCTTTGATTTCAGTTGAGAAAATTATATTGCTATGTTTACAAAAAAACGCATATATACGAGCTTAGACAAATTGTAATTGTGTGAAAAAACCTTAATTGAAAGCAACAACAAGAGCAATGTACGGTGCGTTTATTATTTATCACTTCTCGATAAGCAGCAGCATTTGAAAGCGGAAATAAACTTTATAATTATTTTACGAAACTTAGATCAACCAACATGCATGATCTAGGGCAGCCTTTTTGCAGCCTTTTGTAATTGATGTTCTTTCTCTCATATGATGAATGTAATCTGGCAGGAAAATGGACTGGACAGATTCGATTTCTTGTGTGAGGTCAACTTCCAGGACACAGTGAAGCCGAAAACCTGGCTGGAAGCACTGGAAAAGCTTAAGAAGAATTATGTGACTGACCGGCATGGTGATTTCTGCTTTGGCTAACGTACTTAACTTCAAGATAGTTATTGTGACAGTACATGGGGTAAGTTGTTGTCATTATTGCATAGTGCTTTCACAAATTTATAACATTTTATGCAAAACATGTAGCAAACTTGTTAAATGTGGGTCTACGACACTTCTTACATTTATTTGAGTATTAAAAAAGGATTACATTTCAAGTAGAAAACCATTATGATTAAACATTACATTTGTGATGTCTTAAGTGGCAACATGGCAAAGAGTGGTTTAATTCTAATTTGAAAAGCTCTGGTTGCCTGTAAAATCAGACATATTTGTAATCTGGTTGGCCAAGATATCAATGTTTTTGTGTGATTGCCATTAGAAACAGCACGAAAATTGTTTCTCCAACTTTTCTGACCCCTCACCAACCTGGCCACCCCCTACCCTTACCACCACTACAAAAAAGTGTTTGAGGTCCACACTTTGATTATTTTTCCATAGTTAGTAGAGGAGTCTCCTCTACTAACTATGATTTTTCAGAATGACACCAAAGATTGTATTAAGAGCATTGAACCACAATCAGGAGTCAGTATTGATACTCTTTTCTTTGGTCACTATGTTGTGATCAAGCCTTGGAAAAAGGTAAAAAAAATGGCCTCAGCATTTTTAAGCATTCTGCAGATTGTAGTGTAGCTTTTATTTCTCTTTTTTTTCTAGAATGGTGGTAGTAGCTATGCAGATGTGGCCAGGTCGTCCCCTGCTACTCACAGCATTAAAGTTGAAATGACAGAAGGGCCATCACCTTCAAAAAAAAATTATCAGCAATTGTTTAGACAACACTTTGTTAAAAAAAAGGTTTGCCTGCTTTGAGTTTGAATAAATTTAAAACAATTCTTGTATCTTTTGATATTGGTGAGTCAGCCGAAAAAAACTGGATTAATACAGTTATACTTTCAGAGTGACAATAGTAATCAAACACAATTTGAACCCAATAATATGATCACTGGATCACTGTATTGGCAAGGCCAAGCCACAGACACTTTTCTTGAGTGTTTGCTTCTATAGTGATTATGTTTTATACAATGTACTACCTTGTTTCTGATAAAGGCCAAACCTATGGCAAAAAAATTTATCTTGCCAGATTTTTCCCTTTAAATATTTGCATAGCAATGTTTTAAACACAGACCCAGAACAGGCAAAGTAAGGCTCCTAACATGGAATGCTGGGATGAAGAAGAATATGGTGCTGGGATACCTACATGGAAAGGTCAACCACAGGTATGTGCTACCTCTTTCATTAGTTAAATTTCCTCGTAAAAACTTCTGTTGTGAAATTGGAGCTCAAGGCAGCTTAATTGCTTAGCTGTGGCCACCCTGACAGACAAACACACAGACATATACAGTCAATAATTTTTAATTTTAGTGTATTTCTGGTACTTCGACAAATTGTTTACTGGGCAAATTTACTATACAATTTTCTTGGCTTTTATTTGGCCCCTAGTCTAAACATTTTACATCAGAGATAATATTAATAACTGATAATAGACTAAAACCCTTCACAGCATATAACAATACAGAATCTGTAAAAGGATTAATATATTCTCACATCCTCTCTTGGAGGAGTTAATACAACTCGTTGAAATCAAAATAATAATTTGCTACCTGTTTGTGTCATAGTTTCAGCTATTTTGTAAGGATGACAGCACAGTATCACCTAAAGCTCAGGTCATTTCCATCTCGTCTGATGAGGATTCCTCTCCTGTGCATGAAGCATCTGCCAAGAAATCCAAAAGGAAGCAAACATCAGTGGTAAGTTGTACCAAGATGCAGAGAGTAAAGACTGTTTAATTGGTACCCAATTTATGAAATAACATATCACATTTTTTTCTTACAGAGAATGCAGTAAAATACGCACATAACATAATCATACTTTATTAATCTCTGTCATTTAACAGTAGAAAGCACCAGGGCTGTAGCCAGATTTTTGTCATAAGGAAGGGGCAGGGTGTGGAAGCATTCACCAGGAAACTGCAAAATCTATAAGCTCTTTTTTATGAAGTATCTTG